AAATATTCTTTCCGACATTTCATTACACGAGCACTGAAAAATAACTGCAGTAGAGTTAGAGAATTTGAAACTGTCAACACGAGCTCTATTACTGTTTATTATCAATGACCTCCTGGCCCGCTTTTATTCGCTTCGGATTCATTGCTTTGTTTTTCAGTGAGGTGATGTCAGTTATTCAATGAGCATGTCTAATCAAGCGATTAACGTTTCTACTCCTTAGTTGTAAAAATTTTGTGATTGAAACCAAATAAAGCTCAATTGCAGAATTATTGTGGAATCAGAATTTTATTTGGATTGAATCGATATTTCTGTATGCAAGCAGCTCAATCTTTTCTTCAAAACAATCAATTGATTTTTCTTGAAACAGAGGATTTAAATAAATGTAACAATTAAATTAAATGCTCGAAGCAGTTTAATTTTTGATATCAGTGTTATTACGACGATAATCTATTAGCTTGGTGATATTTTTATCAAAATAATTACTAATATGAATCACAATCGATAAGAATATAAATGAATTCCATATCTTATAAGGGAGTGCGAAGTCAAATTATTTATCATTAACTTTATTTGGATACATTTCTGTATTAAAAATGGAATAAATGCTTCAAATTTTATTCAATAAAGTTTGAATGAAAAAAAGTTCACATTTCTTTTCGAACTCATTCGTTCAAGCATGTCTTTTAAAATGATAAGGTTCTCCAGACCGATACTTACCGTAATTTTTCAGGTTCATTTGAATACAGCTCATTCGACCGTGAACCGAAAGAAACGTATTAAAGAGATATAACTTTTAAACGATGATGAAAAATTACTCCTTTATAAAATTCAATACGTGACCTTCCCGGATTTTACAAAAAAACTAAATTTCAATGCACCTTATTTTTATATTTGATAAGAATTTATTCGAGATGTAGAATACTTCAACGAAACATGTAATTTTAGGTATGACCGAAACGACCGAAACTGAAACTGATCGACGCATTCAAAAATCGTAAACGGTGACAATGCGACACTGGGCGAAAGATCTTATCGGATACTTATAAAAATTATTCAAAGGATCACTCCAATGCTGTAGTATGATTTCGTTCTCATGATTAATATGAAGGTGTGCGATTGTTACGGTGGTTAGATTACAATGAAATATTAGGTCGTTACTGCTGCTCACTGCGTTGGAAGCTAAAACGCATCGAATGTGATATTTCCAATGTTTCTAGTATAACTGCAATTGTTCTTTTTCTTTCGAAAACCCGCTTTTTAATAAACAATTGATCCGAATTCAACCTTAGGTTTTAATTTCCTTTGATTTTTCATCGAAATCAACTTGTCGTAGTTCATACTACCCCGGCGTTTTTACTCGTGCGTATATCCTTCTACCATTTATCAGCGCGTATTTTCATCGGCGATTGGGCAAAAGTTCTTTGATGGTGCCCAGAAACGATTGCACTTTGTGAAGTGAAGTAATTTCTAGGGTCCCGGCGGCGACGCTATACTAAGCATGCGACGAGAGCAGCAAGTTTGTCAGGTTGGCATTCGATAATAAACTACAGCAATTATTAGGATATGAACGGTAGCGAGGTAATAGTGGAATTTTAAGTTTATTCCGCAAGTTAAACATGACAGCAAATCCAGCAGATTATGGAAACGTCGTGGGAACCAATACCCCCTCAGAAAAACTATTCGACAAAGTTCGAACGACGGATCGTGAACGGCGCTCGAAAGACGGCGTAATCGCTCGCATCGCAATCTCATGGAAACGACGACAGTCGTTAACGTCAGGCAGAAAAACAGGACGTTCGCAGGCGAGCGCATAAGAGGCCGGGCAGCCGGGCAGCCGGGCAAGGAAAACGATCATTGAATAATTCGCGAAATCGAGTCTCGCTGTGCGCGCGAACGTCGGCGCGGAGCTCTCTAAGTGATTGCTTCTCTTCATTAGTGTTTCTCGCTCTCGGCGGGCCTGAGGGACAGGTGCGGTAATGGCCCGTAACCCCCGCGAGCGACTTATACGAGTTTTCTCCGCTGCGAGGGGAGTAGCGCAGCCGGCCGACACTATTACGCGAATTGATTCGACATTGGGATCCAAACCCATCTCTGCCCTGCCCCTTTTTTCCTGGCGGAAACGCCGTTTAGATGCTCGTTTGCCTCGCGCCAAGAGACGCGGGAGGCCCGACGGCGTCTTACGTGCCCGGGGAATGCTTTGTCGGTTCGGTTTGTCCAGCTTAGCGTCTTGCTTGCGGTCGCTGTTCGCTTGGCTTTATTTCGAAACGGACGGAAGCCGAGTAGACCCGATAAGTGCAGGGGTGCATCGCATCCCGAATCGAGCGGAGCGCGGTTTACAGGCCATGTGATTAGTTTGCACCTGCCTCGCGTTGGCTCGCGCGAAGGAGCCCCGGACCGAGCGAGAAGACAAGGCAAACCCTCGTCAAACCTTTAACTCGCCGATCGATCAGAGCCAATGAAGGCGCAATCGATAAGGAACGACGGAGGAGAAAAGCTGCTCCGAATCGCAATCAAAAGCTTGGGCCGCGCTCCGCTCATCATTCCCGTCTGCCTGCAGTTTGCACGAGGTAGGTCGGCGCGCGCAACTGATTTACAGCGATATCCGCATTCTCGCTCTCCTGACTGATTTCGAGTCCAAGAGAGAGAGAAAGAGAGGGGTCGAGCGCATATACACTCCGCCCCTTAATCTAATCCGAGGATAATCCAAAATTCATGACACACATAACTGCCAGGCGATGATATATCTGGCTGGGGTGTAAAGGCCTGCGCGCGATCCCCGCCCCTCCGCCGCCTCGTGTTTTTATCGCCGCTAGTCTCGGACCTGGCAACGATCCTTTAGCCCGGCTTGATGAGGTTCAAGCGCAGCTTGCCGTGCGCTTTCGTTTGCCCAGGAGCGTGTCCTTTCAATTCGCATGTCGCGCTTGCTGGACAACGCCTGGCTGAGCTAGCTTTCGTCCAGCGACGATCCCTGGCCAAATATCATTATAAAACAGAGGAATACTCCCGCGTCGACAGCTCGCATTATGCTATAATGCTGTGAGCACAGCAGAGGCGAATGCCTTCGTGGACGTAATTGTCCGCAGACCGCGAGAACAAGTGACGCATCGCCGCATCGGTGTCCGCCATGGAAGTTCCGTCGCTGTCGACGTTTCGAGCGAGGAGAGAAAGAGTGCGTCGATCACGCGTGTCATAAATATCGCTTAATGGCCGCGAGCCAAGTCGACCGCTTAGAGGGTGCAAAACCGCCGACAATTATATCGTCGGGGTGTCTCTATACAGCGTTTTGTAATTGATGATGCTCCGCGCGCGACTATTATTTCGCAATTGTACGCCCGAGACAAAGCAGTGCCGTGAGTCACGGGCAGACTTCTCGCGCGATTCCATCGACACTGGCTTCATCAGAGCTTTGCTTTTATGCTCGGCCGCCGGTGAGCCGCGCGTGACCGGCGGCATCTTTCATTACCGCGACTTTTATTTCCCGGCAATAATGTCCGTCGACGACAAAGAAATCGCTCCTCCGCGCGCATAAAATCGCCATCTCTGTCTCTCTCGCGGCAAGTGGGCAAACGTCTCCTTGCTCCCTCGGACAATTTGTCTGAGAAAAACGCGGCAGTCGGACAAACGACAGCCAATTTGGTATGAAGAAGGGCCGAGGAAAGGGAGGAGCGAGGAAAGAAAAAATAGAGAGGCGCCTCCTTAAAGAGAAGCCTCGGATTAAAGCGCCTCGCGAATTATCCCGGTTGGAAGGTGAGGGCGGCTTCTGCTTTATTTTATTCAAGCGTCCCGCAAGGATTGCCCCGAACTCAGAAGCCTGAAAATAAAACGTGGGGGGGGGTCCGAAGGCTATATTCTCTTTCTCTCGTCGCCTTCGCCGACTCTTTTCTGCTCTTTTACGATCTTCACACTCTCTCTCTCCCTCTCTTTCCCACTCCGGATTGTATCGCTATCACCAGACTTTCACGGTTATGCGTTTTAGATTGAACATTATTGTTTTGGCGCTGTTTGCTTCATGCTCGTTTACTTGATTACCAATGCTTCCGCTCGTGATTTTAATGCGGCGTTAAGGCTCTCATTCGGCAAATCAAGCAAGAAGGGCTCAACGATATTTCCAACGAACCTTGCGTCGGCGCGCAATCAACAAGTTTCAAATCTTTAATTTGTCCATCGCGGCCACGCGCCAATAGCTCGGGTGTCCCTCCTGCTCGAATGACCACCAAGTCCATCCGCCAAGTAAGAGCCGAGGCAGCGAGTGAGACACTGATTTGCAAAAGGCGACAGCCAGCATCGTTCTGTTACTTGGATCCGAAGGACTCCGTTCTCGATCCCCCCGCTGGCCGCACTCAATCGATCGAGGGAGAGCAGTGGAACGCGCTCATCGCCAGCGCAATCGCGCAAAAATTGTATAATCTTCGCGCAGCTCTCTCTCTCTCTCTCTCTCTCTCTCTCTCTCTCTCTCGAGCAACGCCCACGAATCCCAATGAAAAGTGCAGGCGCGGCCCGAGCACGCATCGTCGCGCGCTCCGCGCAACGGCGCGAGAAAGCCACACCCAGGCGCGCGCGGCACACGGCAATCTGGCCGATCGTTAGCAATTCGTGCTCGCCGCCCGGGCTACGGCGCTTAGGATTAATGTCGCTTTTGCGCGCGCGAGCAGTTAACGGCACCCCCGGGACAAAACGGCCGCGTAACGCGATTACGCGACGCTTGATTTATCCGGCGCGCTTCGCTCGTGCGTTATTGCGTTAGCTCGCGCTGCCGGCTGCAGCGTCGCGGCTACATCTCACGGAATCGTTCGCGCCTGTTTTTTTTTTTTCTTTTTCTTTCTCTCTTCTTTTTTCTGTTCTTCCAGGCTAGAGGCACAGCGTCCAAGAATGAAAAATGACTTATCCTCGCGCGAGGAGTCGTTGCCGCCTGACGAGGCCGCATCGCCAAGGCAAACGTGGCCACTCGACAGAGAAGAAGCGCCGCGGTATATAGGTAATGGAATCAAAAGATCTTGTCGATTTTCTTTTTTCAGCTACTATGTGTTCTTTTTTTCTTTTTTTTTGTAGTTTTATTGAATTTTTGTTTCTTTCATACGGACAATTTTCCGATATGATTCGGCTGTCTTTTCTCATCCAAGCTACATACAATCGCTTCCATGTACAAGGTAATACGGATACTTTTAGCGACTGACATCTTCGCTCGTCTCTCCGTCCCAGGCGCGTGGAATATTGCTTGTTCTCGCAAACCAAAAGAAAAAAATTACAACTGTATACGCAGCCATTCGTTGTTCGATCATCGCTGCTTGCACACACACGCTCACGCGCACACACACGCACGCTGGCACGCACACGCACTCATGAAATACAAGCCACGATTAATTATTGTTCTCTACAATTAAAGGAACCGAAACATTATACATAGACATTATACATGAGTAAAACGGGAGCGTTTCGTGTATTTCCTAATCACAGTAACACACGCGCGCGCGCGCGCGCGCCAGAATTTTTCCATATTTGACTAGTAGTATACCCATCGTACCTCTTTTTCGTTCGGGGCATCGAAGCGCCTGAAAAATGTTTATACACACGTAGCACAGCGTCACTATGATATATCTTATCGTTTTGTTTGACACGTACATTCTCGAATAGTGTTCTCGTATCCGAACCGAGCCGCGAGTGTGGAAGTGTAACGAGTGATAATTGTGTTCTTTCACGCAACGAAATTGACGCTCTAAACAGCCGTAAAATTTGCGAGCCCCCACAACAACGAAACGACAACGCGAAACGCGAAACGCGAAACGCAAAACGCAAAACGCAAAACGCAATACGCAATGGGCAACAGGCCAAATGCAAAGAAGCCGAACGAGAGGGAAACACTATTCGAGGCACGCGCACGCACACTTACGCGGGTCTTTCCAGCCCGAGGGCTTCTTGGTGTCTGCGAGCTTTCAGCCTCAAGTCAGCGATGCTGCTACTCTTGGATCGACTGCTGGCGGCAGCGGCGGCGGCGGCGAGCGAGGCGGCGAGGCTGGAGCTCGGCTGCGGCAGGCAGAAGAGTCCGCCGGCTGCCGCGTAGTGCAACACGGCCGGGTCGAAGGCCGAGCTGGTGGTCACGCTGGCGGCGGCGCCGCCGGCCGGTTGCATCGGCGGATGGAGCCGCAGCGCCGGCAGGTAGGGCGCCACTCGGCACGGCTCCAGGCTCGTTGGCGGACTCCGCGGCGCCAGCACCATTCCAGCCGACACGCCTGCACGCAAAGCAACACGCTCATGGCGCGCTCCACGCTTGCCCGCGCGTACGCGCGTCGCCTGTCTATTCACCTTTGTGCAGCTGGCTCTCGTGCTTGCGACACTTGGCGCGCCGGTTCTGAAACCAGACCTGGACGCGAGCCTCGCTCAGACCCAGTCGCTGGCTCAGCTCCTCGCGCATGAACGCGTCCGGATAGTGCGTCTCGTCGAACAGCCGCTCCAGCTCGGCCAACTGCTCCAGCGTGAAATTCGTCCTGGACCGACGCTGTTTGCCGTTGCTGCTGCTGCTACTGCTACCGCCGCCGCCGCCGCCGCCACCGCCGCCGCCGCCGCCGCCGCCGCCGCTGCCACCGCCGTTCGAGCTCGGTGCCGTGCCTCTCGGCTGATTCGTCGTCGTCCCTGCAACTTTGACGGTTGACTTTTACGAGGTGCCGGGCCCGTACCTCGAGGCGTTCGCCTGTGCTCGCGGCGAGTTTTCCAGCACGCTTTTCCGCGGCAAACTCACTCGCTTTAACGAACTGCCGACTCGCCCGCGGTGGCTAATTGAATGGCAAACTCATTAAGCCGCGTGGCACGTCTCGCCAAGTAGCTCGTCGCAGCACACCTGCGTCCCCCGGCCGACTCGAAGAAACACTACGGTTAATTAATCGAGGCCGTCGGCGCTAATGGCCCCTTAATGCCGAAACTTGGAAGCACTCGCGCGATTTATATAATTTGGCAAAGTGACTCTCTCTCGCTCTCTTTCCCGCGCGCGTGCAGCGATTACGCCCACGTCGCCGAAGGGCTTGCAGTTTCTCGCGGGCTCGGTCAAGTGGAACAGACTACTGCCACCCTGACGACAGTGGTAATGAGATGGCCTCTCTCCTCGAGAGGGGGGTGGGGCAGCGAGAGCGCGCGCTCGGATTGAAAACGAGACTGAGATTCGATCGAGTGAGCTGGCACGTACGCGCGAGTGAATAAAACGATCGTATACGCGCTTCGAGGCAACGTGCCAGAAACGCCATCCTCGTTCGCTTCTTGCCGCTCCGTGCAAGTATACGCGAACGCGCTTATCAACGCGGTAATCGCTCGCTAACCGTGCCGACGTTCCTTTCTTTTTGGCGATTCGCTCCTGAGGCGCCCACCGGGTATGGGACGTCATTGCTTCCAGCCTTGGTTGCGTTCGGTTGCGAGCGCGTAGTGCTCGAATCAGCGGGTCGCAGCGACGACCGAACGACCATCGACTGTTTCTCATGCTTCTCGTGGCTTGCGTGCGACAACTCAAAAACAAACAAACGAGTAAATGAATCATTTCATAAAGCAGGCAGTAAGAAAATTCGGACAGTCTCCAAATCCAACCTCGTGCTATCGCGGCGCAACCGAATAATATCATATAGCCATAAAAGTATATTAAATTGCAGCTGGAGCGCCAAACGAGCCCGCAAAAGTGCGCAATCAAAACAAGACGTTACTCGGCACCCCTGCGCGTCTGGAAAACACTTCATCCGCTTGGTGTCGGGGACCGACGCTCCAGTTTTAATCAATTAGCGCGGCCGGGCAGGGGGACACCTAGCGGTAATCCAATCTCGCGCATATGCGTGCGTGGTTTTAGAACGCCACCCTTCCCTCGCGCACGCGTGTTTGGATAATTTCTCGCTCGCTTTTATTTCGCGCGCGCTGCGTAATCTAATGAAGAGAAATTTTAAGAGAGCGGCACGAGAGGAGGGGGCTAGCTGGTGCAAACCTCGTTGACGCGATTTGATTTACCGACGGCAAGTGAGTCACCTATCGATGAACTGGCGGGACACGATTTTGTGCGAGCTCTTCGTGCGTGTGCCTGCATGCTCTGAAACTCATCTGGACGTACCCCAGAACCCCAGAACAGGCAAGCCGGTAGATTACGTCGGAGATCGTATTTCCGAGATGCCGACACTGAGATCGCGGCCTCCACCGACAATGTCATTGTCGGCTTGATCAGCTGTGTCGTAGAAAGCAGTCGACAATCGACTGTTACGGGAATGCCAAACTACGCGCCGTCGTCAGAAATTCAGGCTGCACTCTCCACAACGCAATCCCGGCCGCGTTCCCGGCACAAACGCGTCAGCAATTCGCTCGCGGGCCGGCGGCGGCGGCGGGGCACACGCGCGCGTAAATACGTAATAAAAACGCAAACGCACACACAGGCGGACGAACGCGAGCGGAAAGCGGAAGCAGAGAGAGAGAGAGAGAGAGAGAGAGAGAAAAGCCCGTTCGCTCGCGCAATCACACTCGCCTCTAAGGGGTCGGTAATTCGATTACCCAACAGCTTCTCCCCCTTCCTAATACACTTGACTCCATCCATCTCCTCGCGCGTTGCTGCCCGCGCTGCTGCAGCGTCACACTCTGCGACGCGGATTCCCTCCTGCTATCTCCGCTCAGGATTAGTCGACGACGGCGCGCTGCGATACACGCCAAGAGTTGGCCCGATTATGGTGATCGTTTCTTACTAGCCGTTGAGTGCGCGAGCCTCGGAGATTGATGAACTGACCGATCTAATCGTATGGACGAAGCTAATGGATTGTAATCGTGCGTAATGGCGCTGGATTAAGAATAGACTTTTTTGCCGTGCCTAGATAGCCGCGCGGTATGATTTGTCCGGCGTAAAATCAGCTCCAACTCAGTGTCAACGGCAATTTCAAGCTCGTAATCGTCTAACCGGTCGAACCCACTGCCGCTTCGATATGACCTTGCTTATCGAATTCAATCTAATTGAAAACGAAATTATGTAATATCGAGAAAAAGAAACGGATAAAGCTAAACGGGATTCGCTTTACGACGCAAAGCCATGGATTTATGGTTTAATATGCATCGGCGACAGCCTTGAAAAGGCAACCGCCTCCCGTAAGTCTTGGCGATTAAGCGCAACTCGAAAAGCAATTCGCGCGAGCCGCCGGCCAAGTAAAATAATAAATAACCGAGAAAAGTGCCGTAGATCAGAGCACTTTGCCTCTCTCTCTCTCTCGCTCGAGTTTCACTGCTGATCTTACAAATTTATGGCCCCTCGGGCGGTAGAGAGACTGACCCTCGGTCAAGTGGCTCCGCGCTGACTTTGCCCTTGCAAGCCACCGTCATGCTTACATTCTCGTATGGGAAAGTAAGTATTTATGATGCTTTTTGCAGATTTTTTTACAGTGCCGGAGGTAGAAGCTACGGAGGAGGGGGTGGAATTTCATTTTATACAGCGCGTACTTGAGTTAGATGGGTAAATTTGCTATGGATAAGTAATCAATGTAATATCTCATTTCGCTTGATTTTACGGTGACGCAAGTACTACATATAGAAAGCCAAATTGGTAGGCGAACGAATGAACGTTGAGTTGGGATAACACAAGAGAAACAAGTTGGCTTGCGGTGAAGCGAATGTTTCACTTGTTTTGTATTTATAAGGAAAACGTTGATTGGCATTGTCAATTATCTTCAATTTGCAGTACCAATCTCTGCTAATTCCTAATGCTAATGTGCGTAAAGAACAGAATGTATACGATTAACATAGTAGGAATAATAGATTCTTAAAAACTAACTGTTCAAGCGACTGTTCAACCTTCATCTACACGTTTACGCGAAAATGGGAACGCAGGCGCTTAAAAAATTGGGAATTTATGAACAATAGAATCTCATTTACGTAAGAATCGGCCGTATAATTAGCGGTCTACATTGATATAGGTATGGAAAGAATCGTTATCCGTGTAGTGTCCAGCGGCTATATACGAAAGTGTGGCGAGCGACCTAGTGGGAGCCGCGCGCTTCAGCACCCGGTACATCGATTCCTCCGCCGTCTAAAAATACAATCCACAGGCTGATGCACTTGCCGCCAATCTCGGGAAATCGAAAACGAAGCAGTGCCGGCACTTGGCGTCGGATCCATTCCGCGCGTCACCGCGCGCGGCCGAATCGAAGATGACGTCCCGAGCGCGCTCGCGTACGCGTGTGCCGGCTCGATCGCCTCGCGAGGCTTATTGACGTCTGAATAATAGACGAGCCGAGGGGGCGAGCGGCAGCAGCTGACCGAGAGAAGGCGGCCAGTCGATTGGCAAATATTATGGGCCGATCGCGCGAATAATCGATCGACCGGGAGGAACGCCCGGGCGCGGTGGGCCCACGGGCCCGAACGGTCGCAGCCGGCTGGCTCACCTTTGCCCGCGTCCTCGTGGATGAGCGTGGTGGTCGGCCTGACGAGCACGCTCGCGTGTCTGGTCTCGGGGCTGGGGCCCCTGGCCGGCGGCTCGTCGCCGGGACTCGCCGATCGCTCCCTCGCCGGCGCCGGCGGCGGCGACGGCGTGGCGCAGCCCAGGAGCTTGCGCACCGAGAGCTTCAGCTCCGGCTGCCTGGACGCCGCTGTCGACTGCGGCGAGCGCTTCTCCGGTTCGCCGCCGTCCTTCTGCCGCTGCGAGGACACCGACAGGTCCTCCGGCTGCAGGCGTGGCTCCGGCGACGGCACCGGCTCCTTTATCGGCGACGCTTTGCCCGAGGAGTCGCGCTGCTGCTGCTGCCGCTGCTGCTCCGACTCGACCATCTCGGGTGGCGCATCTGTGGAAGTGAAAGTGGCTCGTTAGCAGTGCGGCTGGTCCGCGGCGAGTCGGGTGCCGACGTACCGTCGCGCGCACTCAGTGCCAGCTGTCGGCCGCGCTCGGCGTCATCGTCGCCCGGCGGTTCGGCGCCGCGCGGGGAGGCGGCGGCGGCCTGCACGGCGCCGACGAGCTGCGCGACGCTCAAGGTTATCGCGGCCAGGCCCTGGGGCCGACGCTGCTGCTGCTGCTGCTGCTGTTGCTGCTGCGTGCGGCGCTGACAGCGGCCCTCGGGCTCGAGCTCGCAGGGTCGCGCGCGGCGAGCCTCGAAACTCTGCGTGACGAACTGCGCGAGCTGCTCCATGCTGTCGCGCGGCCGCCTGGCGCGGGCGCTCACGACTATCTCTCTGTCTCGGTCGGGCGCCGCGGGCTCTCTTTCTCGCCGCAAAGCTCGCCGCTGCTCGGGCTCGAATGGCCGTTGGCCCGGCCAATGGCGCGCCCGCGGAGGCGGGGCCGGCCGATCGCGAGGGAGGGTTTGCCGCCCGGCCGAGGGATGGTGCGCCCGCGAGGAGGTGTATCGCCCGCCGCCGCGCTCGCGCCGCCGGGAGGAGGGATTATTGATAACGGCGAGGAGAGAGCCGGGCGCTGCGCGATGCCGCGCTTCTTCGGGGTCGCGCAGCGACTGCTGGCCTTTGATGTGGTCCGCGCTGCCGGCAAGTGCTGATGTAAGGCGAATGGCTGCGAGAGCGTGTTTGATTTGGCTGTTTGGCACGACTCGATGAATCTGTTTGAAGACCTAACTGGTTAATGAACGCCACCGGCTGCCGCGACTCTCTCGACGGGATATATCTCTCCCGTAATCCGATGTGTATCTTTTCTTGCCGATTCGCCGACTCCTCGCCTCTACTGTGTACCTTCGCCGATCATCTCGCCATTCGCTTTTGCAATTTTTCCGTGTGCTCGCTTGACCGACAGCCCGATGGTTTGCCAATCAACTCAAGCAAACGGACTTCTTTTGACTTTCTGCACTTTTACATACCGTTTTGCCGCTGTTCTTTTCGACTCTCCCAGCAGCTTTCCACTAGCGCTAATTCGATAATATCGGACGAAATGGACCGATAGCTCTTGTATTCGTTTTGCGACTCGATGCAATCATTTGTCTCGGATCGACAAGAGACGCCGCAATAAACTTACCATGCATGTTGATAATCATATAATGACGGATGTATCAGTGCTATAACTACAATATTTCAAAGAAATATTTAAACGAGTAAAGTAAAAAGTATCAGTCGACGCCAATGATGATAGTAATAACGATTAATGAGTCGAAAAGATTTCGAAGAAATACTGGAAACATCGGTAAGAAGTAACCATCGACGTTAAACGTCAATGATTGTAATGATAATAATAGACGTATCGGACGTTAAATGAAAATATTTGGAAGAAATATCCGAAACGATAGCGAGCAAGCTCCTAGCAACAAATATCTGATTAAATTTTTCTAATAAAAATATGACGAAAAGCTAGATAACACGGAACTTTGTAATAAATCATTTCTCGTGCAAGTTTTTAGGACTACAGTCGACTGGGATGATATGCCCTGTTGAAAGTGGATGTAAATCCATGAGAAGTTCGATCTTTACTAATAATAAAAGTACGATAATACGCGTGCCTTTCCATATATGATTTCTCATTGCAAGTGCACGAGACAAGGGCTAGCCCCTGGTCAGAATTTTCCCGTCGTAGCCGCGAACGGCTAATGCCCATTTTGCATAATAGATTGGTAAACATTCCAGCCAGCCGATCGTCTTCGAGGGCAAGACGAGCGCCAGGGCCCGAAATCGCCTCTGCGTGTGCGCACGTGCGAGTCGCCGCGCGCCGCGTATGCGCAGCGTGCAGCGCGCGAATTGCCATCTCGCGTTACGCACGCACGAGCTTTCTCCCTCGTCTGCGCACACGCTCGGCATAATACGCATACGTACCTACGTGTGTGCGCTCTCGCGAGCGCTCGCAGCTTTCGTGCTTTTATGCACACCTTGCGACAAAGACGAGCGAGGATCGCCTGACTGCGTACTCTTGACGCTCCACGCTGGACAGTCATAACAACGGAGTAAGAGGATTTACGAGCCAATGGTAATCGTCCGGGGACTGTCGTCAATGGCGGCGATGAATCATTGCTAATTGGAAATCATCGCGTGGCAAATCTCACGTGTACAGGCATTGTTTACGTAAATTATCTACTCTGTGAGGTCGCTCTCTCTCTCTTTCTCTCTCTCACACTCTCTCTCTCTCTAGTCATTATATCATATCTGTCGGCAAACTGGACGTTTGTTTGCCAAATGTATCTCGATATCGTCGGGCATTGTTATTTTACTATCGATCGATGTGTGGCGTTACTTCACTGTTTACCTTGACGTAATTTCAATTGGTCTAGTCGATCGGAACGGAAAATAGCGAATAATCTTGCCAATATTTTTGTATTTCCAGTCAATTCATAATTAAGGTTCTAACATTCACAGTTGGCTATTCAAAATTACCGAATGGTGTTGTAAAGGATGTATTTTACACTTCTCTTTCAAACAAATACATTCTGTATAAATTTCCGAGCTTGCAAGCTTCCAGATACACCTGTTTACGTTTATTGCTACGAAATAACCTGATCTTTGTTTTCTCGGCGCTTGGAACAAACGTCGATGCATGCATAGCAATATCGCGTAAACATATACACGCGAGAAATTGGAAATTTAAAAGAAAAAGGAGAATCTTTCGAATTAATATTCATTTGTGAAGTTGCCGCATGTATTTCGTAAATTTTTCAACTCTTTTGTCCACATTGGTATGACTATCAATCATCTTTTAACAATTATTCCGATCATATCGACTTTTGTATATTTACATAAATGTTACGTTACTAATCAACTTTCTACTGTCAAACTACTTATTCCTTAATGTAACGCAACAACAAATTCACGCGCACGGCTCAGAATCGCGAACAACGGAAACATACTTTTCCGCTGTGCTTTTCATCCGCGCTATTTTTCCCTCTCTCAATGACAAACGGGGAGGAAAGTAAAACTTCACCTCGAAGGCAAAGAACTTTCCCTCCAGACGCAAGTAGCGTCGCGGAGTCGAAAAGAGCAATTAAATATCGTCGCTTCCCCGGCTACAGCCATAAAAACGCATCGGTTCGATCATCCGTGTAACGGCGCCTCGAGATAATTCACGGGGCGTCTCGGCCCCGCGACTCGTAAAAAAGAACCGCGGACGCGCTACAATGTCATAATCGCGCGTTGCATCATCACTTTTAAAAACGAAGAGAAAAGTTTTGGTCGTATTAAGAGGGAGAGAGAGAGAGAGAGAGGGAGAGAAAGGGAAGATTCGGGGAGAGAGCGAGAGAGAATTCGTGCGTCGGTGGGTGGATATTTAAATGGGATTGCGTTCGGGAATGTAATTGCCGCGGCAAACAGGCGGCGGCGCGGAGCGAAAGAGGAGGCAGGCAGGCAGACGGAGCCAATCAGGGGGCAATGCGATTAGCTTAACGAGAAATCCGATTACTTATTCATTCGCCTAACTGGAAATCAGTTTAACTAATCGTTTAATTCGCTCTCTCTCTCTCTCTCTCTCTCTCTCTCTTCGCTCCGAGAGCTCTGCGGCCAGCTTGCGATAGTCGCCGCGAGAAAAGAGCCAAGAGGGAGGCTGTTATATACCGCGCCCCGAAAAGGAGGGATACGTATGCGCGCCGCGGACAAAGAGTGTGTACGAACGGGGAGGTGACGACACGCGCGCTGACTGCGCGTACAAAGCCGCGGCTACGTCCTTTCCGTTCTCACTCGTTGCTGCTCGGCACGAGCTCGCGCGAAAGTCATTTTGCCCGCGACGAGCGAACGCCGCTTGCAGCTGTATACATAAAGATTCGTTGGCGCGCATCGAGCGCTCCTGTACGATTGTGATTAGCCCCGTGGCCGGTTCAACGCCCGAAAGGTCAGGCGCGCCGACAATGCCCCAAGCATTAAGCGAAAAATGTCCGGAGGTTCGCTGATAAGGATAGCTGGAGCAGTGGAGCGGTGGCACAGAGAGAAAGAGGAAATCACGGTAGCTCGGTATATACCCAGCAGAGCCGAGTAAGGGGAGAGGATTGCGGAGGCCTTATTCAATTCAATTACGTAATGAATTGTCGTGTCTTGAGTAAACAGCCTTCCTCCCTCTCTCTCTCTCTCGGTGGATTCGCTGGGGCGCAGCGAGGCACACCGTGCAGACATACCCACCGCGCCCCTTCTCTCCCCGCCGCTCTTTCTTTACCAACTCGGCGCCTCGTTACGCTAATAAAACGCGCCCAAGTCTGATACGGCCTAATCAGCCCGATCGAGAGTCTCGCGGATTAGCATGATGATCAGCGTATCACCGTGGTCGCACCTGCGAGCGAGCGCGCTCGGTGTTTGCGCGCGAGCCCGGCTGGATATGTATGCCCAGCGCCAATCGCCGATCATTGATCCGCGCGCGCCTGTACGCACACACGGCCGTATGATTGGCGCGGGCCGCCGCGACAAAAAACAATCGCGCGCGAGCGATGGCGTGAGTGCGACTTCTTTCGGTCTTTCGCGATCCTGCATTTGGCCCCGGCCATGGCGGTCAGCCTTCAAATTTCCAGTTTCAGATTTGCTTGCCTAGTGGGTTCTCGCGTCGCGCGTCGCTGGCCTTGCCGTCGTGCTGTCATGGATTTGCCATGACGCGCTGGACGTCGCGGCCGTAGCCCGGCACCGAAGATTAATGAGGTTCGTTGGCGCTTGCAGCCTCGGCTACTCAGCACCGTCGGCTCGTGGCGAAGCGACGAAAGGCTACTCTGGTCGTGGTGCGGCAAAAAGCGCGACAAATCAACGGCTGCGACGACGACGACGACAGCAGCTACGGCTGCAAGTTGCAAATCTGATAATGTCTTCCGAGAGAGTAACTGCAGGAGACGATTACCGCAGTGTCCCGAACACATCGACACGGGAGATCCTTCCAAGTGCTGCGAACAGGGTTACGGTAAACTTGATAACCAAGTCGTTCGCGGAGTACGAGCAAGATCAATGATTGTTGCATCCCAAAGGTAAACCTGTGAAGGTAAAGAAGACGTGGTGGACCAACGTCAGAGCGTCTCCTCCGATGGTCAAACAAAAGCCCTCGAATTGCGATCCACCGCCGTGCCCGAAGGAAGAGACGTTCATGGAATATATATTCGGTCCGGAAAAGCCACTTCCTGAGCCGAACAGCTGTCGAAGAGCATGGAAAATCAAGCAATCGTGCAAGTAGGCGTCGGCGAAAGGATACGGAAAACACGACAACCCTGAAATGCAATTGATGTTGGAGCAGTTACGAGGATCCTCGTCTCGAAGATCCACGTTACCAGGCCACGGCGGGTGACGTACTGCTGTACACCGAGCCAGACAAGCGAAAATCGCGGCTTCCAACGGAGCCGCAGCCGAAAGCTCCGTCGCCTTACAAAGCTCCAGCCGGCGTCATTTGCAAGAAGCTTCGCGACTCCGTGGCCGCTACCGCGCTCGAGTGCTACTGCGCCTGCGCCGATCCTTGTCTCTTCCAGGACTGGCCGCAGACCAACCTGTAACTCTTACACCGTGACTCGCCTTGATTCTTGCTACGAGTGGCTGTACGCTTTCGTCCAGGTGTCCCGTGCATTCGAAGCCGTTCAAATTCCCGTATGAGGAGATGAAACCGGTGAATCGCCGCAAGAAATTCTTCACTGGCAGTCAAGGCGTCGCCGCCGAGGACATCGTGCTGCCGCCGAGACGCGAATCCTGCAGCTGCGTGCACTCGGCTTTCGTGGAGAAATCCAGAGGTCTGTTACCCGATCGCGAGATCTGCGACTTGCACGATGATCTACAGAGAAGGGGACAACTACTGAGGCGAAATGAGTTCGAGGGCCCCGACAGGAAGATGTCCAAATGCGAGAGACTAAGGCAAATCACTAGAGCCAAGGAGAAGCAGACGAGCGAGCTCGCGGTACCCCGCAGGAGACCTTTGCCATGCGAGTCCAAATGCAAAGGCCTCGCTGATCAAAACTAAACAAAGTGAGCGAATTGTCGAGTCGTATTTGTGCAGCGTCGCAGTGAAATATACGTCACGCATCCCACCCAAAGCAACGTTATTCCTTTGCACACCGAATCTTACGATAAAACGGACACAAAACCGCTCGATTTTCAAAAAGGACGATTAGCGCCACCTATGCCAGATACCCGGTATCGTTTGACAGCTGTCGTCGCGCGGGATAACAACAACTACGCTGTTTGCTTCCAGGTTATGTTCGGCCTTACGTCAGAAATATCTGCCAAAGTCGGAGAGCACGCGCCGTTCGGAGCGCCGCTCTCACTCGCCTTCGCTAGCGCGCACGTCAATTACGTGACACTTCGAGCCGCGGTTTAAATTTGCGCTATACAATACAACGTGCCTGTCTAGTTGAAACAAGTGCCAAATTTCGCTGCGTCCAATAATGTCACAGCGCTTGGCGACGTTTAATCGTGTTTACACCACAAGATCTTGCCGGCAGCAGTGTTATTACGGCAACGGCGTAACGACAACGGAAAACGTGCTCGCTGTCAGTGCTGATGGCCACGAGGTAGCCCCAGATTTTACTTTCAGCCACAAGAATCATGCCAAGCTGCACAATTACAAGGTGAGATTTTCTTGAACGTGGAAAATCGAGCGTTATTTTTTATTCTCCATCTAGCTCGTTAAAGGATGCCGGTAATTTAGCAGGTTATGCGGGCTTTGTTTATTTTTTGCCTTGTCACAAATATAGCACGTAGTAGTCGGTTCTCTTTGTTTACGTAACACTTGTCACTTGCTGCGCGCGGCGCGGATCGCGGCTTTTTCGTTTACTCTCGTACGCGCAGCGGAGATATATTTATAGACCGAGTTCACGGGTTTGAATTCGTCTCTATTAGTTCTAGTTTATAGGTGGAAAAGGTTGAAATATGATATTTAAAAAAAAAAATAATTTTTTTTAATTTGCAATATGCTGCTTTGTGCTAAATTTTTTTTTTTTTCGTGGCGTTCAAGCAACTGTCAAATATATTTTGAAGCGTTTTTATTTTCATCGCAAAATTTTATGATTTTACCTCTGCACTGTATAAAAATTTATTGATGACAAATTATGAATTTAAATTTTACAGCAACAAATAATTGGTCACACTATTCAATCTGTAGAGGATATTGAGAAGTGGTTGAGGTTTACAAGTGAGCATATTTCAATTCCAGAGTTAAATACCAAAAATACTTCACAAGATGGCTCTGAGAGAGGCCTGACCGAACAGTTATCAGAAATTTCTGATAAGGAACTCTCGACAGATATTGAACTAACAGCTAGGAAATTAAATATTGGCTACGATGCTATCTTGGCTAAGCTACAGAATGAAAAGATTCTACCAGCAAATGTAAAAGATGCATTTATATTACCTAATTTACATTTGGATGATTTGATTATTGCCCAAAAATTAGTATCTTCATATTCTCAATCCTGTTGTTCAAATACAGATATCAATTTTGAAAATTTATCAGATAAATCACAGGAAAATGCATCTAATGATGTAAAAGACATTGTTAAAATTGCTGAACCAAAAAATGAAATTAAAAGCAAGAAACAAAATCAAGAATTAAAAATTAATAAGACTGAGATGATGAATCATTTGAAAACAGATTCATTTGATAGTTCTATTACAATGAGCATACAAGATTTATCAATTGAAAATGATTCCAGTGATGGATCATCCCATTCGAATCATTGTACCAATCTTGAAAATGAGTTTATCTCATGTGAGTCTGAAAACTTGAATCTACCAGTGGTTGCTCAAAAGAAATCTACAGAGTACAATACAAGAAAAAAAAGTACAAATTCTCCTAATGTTAAGTCTAAATTTCAGCCTAGTATAGTAAAACGTAAAAGAAAAGTAAATAATCAAGAGAGTACTCTTAATACAGTGTCAACTGAGTATCTACTAAAAGAAGAACCTTTAAATGAAACTGATAAAACATTTGCAAAAAAATCTCCGAAATCGTCAACGTACGATTCTTCAGGAAGCGAATCAGACGATTTATACAAGGGTAGACCTCCACCGTTCGTTACTGACCAAGAATTAATTATTTCAAAAGCACTGGAAGAAGTTGGGATAACTGAAGATTCTTTAGAATTTTTTTACAACTCAATGAATATGAAAACGTGGAAATGTCATTTAGGAAATTGCGGTCGAACTTTCGCTAAATTATGTTATCTAAAGGTTCATTTAATGGCACATATGAACATAAAACCATTTAAGGTAAAATTAATTTTCTTCTTTTATACCATAAATATAAATAAAGCTTTCACTAAATTATTTTTTTTTATTCAGTGTGATTATTCTAGCTGTTCTTGGGCATTTTACTCGGAATTCAAGCTTAAACGCCATAAGAAAACTCATCTAAATAAGAAAGACTACGTTTGTCCTGTACCTGGCTGCCAGCGAAGATTCACGACGATCTACAACCTCGCCAGTCACGAGAAACTTCACACGCGTCCTAACAAGATTGCATGTCAAGTAACTGAGTGTACCGCCAAATTTCAAACGAAACGTGCCCTCGAGAATCACATGAAATGTCACAACCAAATTCTCGCTCCATACGCTTGTAATTATGATGGTTGCAATAAACGATTTTACAGCAGTAATGCTTTGATGACTCACCAACGATGCCACAACTACACGGAGGAAGACCTTACGTGCTCATGGCCTGGTTGCGGTAAAATTTTTGATCAGCCTTGTAGGAAGAGGGCTCATATGCGTTCGCACACAGGGCAAAAGCCTTACGTGTGTACTTTCGAAGACTGTGACTGGGCATTTTCTACGTCGAGCAAGTTGAAGAGACACCAGAAGAAACACACTAATGATCGCAAGTTCATATGTGATGAAGACGGTTGCACTAAAACTTTCATGCGATCTCAGCATTTGAAAGAGCACAAACTCACGCATACCAAAAAAATATCATTTCGGTGCTATCATTGTGATACCAGTTTCGCTGCTAAAAGTAGTCTATACGTTCACATGAAGATTCACATGAGCACTGATTACATACTCAAATTACAGGAAAAAGATGACATCGATAAATATACGCGCTTGCTGAGTATTCCCAAGGAAAAAAGTTCTAATGAAAGTTCTGGATCTGAAAGCATACTACGTGAAGAGACTGAAAATATTTCTGTTGCTCCGGAATGCACAGAGATGCCTACTGCAAATGTAGTGTTACACAAAATGTACAAATGTCCAAACGAGTCCTGTTCGAAATGGTATTCACACAGGTCGAGTTTGCGGGTACATATGAATAAGCATACTTTGCCACTTTCAGAAATCCAAAATGACAATGAAGTTAATCTTGAAGAAAATGCCATTTCAAATTTGTCAATACCGAAACCGAACGAAGGTGCAGCGAGAACTGCATTCACCTGCGAATACGTTTTGAGCTTGAAACCCGACCGACAAATCACTGGCTTAAATGAAGTAGGCACTGTTGAATTGTCGGAAGGTTTACTATTTAACAAATCTGTGCCTTCGATTTACTTCCAAGACGATGTCACTTTGTCGACATATTAAATATTACTCGATACCAATCCTGCCGACGGTGAGCAGGTGTTAGCTAAACAGTCAGTTCCTACAATACCTACCATTGGATGGATCTTCAAACGTTCTTACTTCTTTGTGTCTGCTTTATGCTCATGATTTTTATTTCCTTGACATTCAAAACAAAAATAACATTTATATATTTTTTTTTCCATGTCGATATAAATTATTGTTAATTATTGATTAACATGGTCGAATTTACTTTTTATATTGAAAATCTTTTGATTTTAATTATTTAGCATAGCTATGTACAATTAAAATCGAGTTAAAAAAGATATTGCCTATAAATATCTTTTTTATAATGAAAAAAATAGCAGCTGTAGACGTATAATTATTTTTTTTAATAACTTCGATTCGTTAATAAGTTTCTACGATATTTGAAATGAAGAGTTATGATTTTTTGTGCCTTATAAATGGATAAATCGTTAAAACGTAATATCATGGTATGAAACTCAACAAAACGATCTATCCAATGTTTAAAACACTAGAATTAACAACAAAAAATACATTTTTACAAAATCTATTTTTTTGAAAAATTTGTTCGATTATTGCAATCATTATTTCATCACCGAGTTGTTAATCTAAAGATGCAAGTGTTCAATTTGACATTTACAGATTCAATTAGTAATTTATCTATTTCCTTACTTTTTGCCACGTAGATTTTTTTACTTAAAACTCTTGAAATGTACTTCATAGAATATAAGCTTTTTTTACATACGCGTAGCTTTTGTCTTGTTTATACAGAGATAATGTAAGTTTAAAAATTATCTTTATATAAGACATTTTATCTCGAAATAATTGATTCGATCATAATTTTGTTTTCTTTTTGTTAGTAATAACTTATAAAATTGCCCAGTGAGTTATATGTTGATGTAACTTTTTGTAAACTTATACTATAGTTTAAGTTACCTTTGTAGTTGACCCAGTCTATACGACTTTAAACCAGTTCAAAAAATGTTCAATTAGTAGGATTAAGACGTTGAATACATACATAGTGCTTTAAAGAGACCAAATTTACTAATAACTACTACACCCTTTAAACAAAGGATATTTAAATTGCCATATAATCTTATTGATTTTTATGTGGAGCTGCAATCATATTTTTGAATATAGCTATTATAGATTATAAAAATGCTTTCGATTGCAAATACGAAAAACCATGTATCGATTAAAATGTACTATTGACAATGTTGAAATTTAAAAAACAATTTAATACTCCACGTTAAATTAAAAAGCCTGTGATGGAATATATACATATGTTAGTTCTAGCCCTGCATGCCCAGCTTGTTATTTTACAAACATGAATAAAATAATAACGTTTGTATTTTTCAAAAAAAAGACAAAACAACGGTTTTACTTTATTTCATAACCGTAACTTATTGCAAATACAAAAACATCTTACTTCCTAGATGATATCTTTGGAATCGTACATAGGCAAGGAATGTGTACACGTACACGTTCGAGCGTAGTGAAAACAGACGTAAAGATATTACATAACTTACGTAAAAGTCTCGTTACAAAGAGGAAATCTCTAAAAATTTCTGAACGAGATCATTAATCGACCCAAAGATTGTTCTCTTACATACAATGTTTCGCGTATAAAAAAGGACCATGACAATGTATTATATCACGCACATTCGCTGTATTAACATACACGCAGTTTACAATACTCGATTAATTAGTCATAGACCACATTGCAACGAAGTCGTCAAATGTAACATACATTATACATATATATATATATATAATACTGGACACTAAACAAATTACGATGCTCCAGGAAGACGTCACCTACATGCCTCTCGTTTCCTTACAATGTTCTGCCCATGGCATTAACGTCTGTAAGCCGAAATTTCCAAACCACAAACATCTGTCCGGAGAGAGGAATCGAAGGGTTTGGGCGGCGAAAGAGAACAAAGACAGTGTTCGCCGGTACGTACGACGGCTGTTCCCCGCCGCGGCTGCATAACGAGACGCGTGTACGCAAACGCATCGCGGCACAGGAATCACACGCACGAGTCGCTCTTCCGCCGATCGAAGTCCGCCTTGTCACTGACGACGACGCGGCCCTTCTGTCGGCGATCGCGGAATCGCGCGAGAAAGTACAGCAGACAGTGCGTGACGACAAGGAAGCTCAGCCCACCGAAGCACACGAGGAGTGTCCTGGCGGGCTTCTGCCAGTCCAACACGTTGTAGATCTTGTGCGTGCCTCTCTTGTCCAGTCCACCGGCGACGTAGTAGACGACAGTGAAGGCAAGGTAGAAGCTGGCGACGAGCGGCGACCACCAGAAGCAGCGCAGCTCGAACGGCACGCCGGCCACGCAGAAGTCGAGCAGCATGAACACGCTGTTGCTCACGTGGATGAGAATGTTGAGCGTGTCCACGTGGTGGATCTTGGCGTCGTGCACGAGGCCCCAGTAGGTGACCGTTACGCCGATGGCTAGGCTCGAGGTGACCACGTACAGGAACCAGTACACCTTCTCCAGCTTGCCATAGGCCATGCCGCTGGCATCGAAGTCCGGCTTGCGCTGCAGCACCCAGCGCTTGCTCGCCAGCGCGGCACCCAGGAGCGCCTGCGTCAGTCCCAGCGCCAGGTCCCAGTTGGTCAGGTAGATCGGCCACTTCTCCCAGGCGCCAAGCGGATTCACGCTGCCCACCTCCAGCACCGAGCACAGCACCACCGACAGCCAGAGCAGACAGATCAACCAGCGGTAGGCCAGATACCAGGGCTGAAGCCTGTCCTGGCAGCGCGCCTCCGAGAAGCAGCGCGCGTGCGGCGGCTCGAACTTCCTGGAGAACCACTTGCGCGCCAGCTCGCGGTACCACAGCTTGTTCACCATAGCTCTTCGTCCTGCAAGCCAACGTTTCTCTGGTCAGTCGCGTCGCGCCTCATCCCGCCGTCCGCCGCCACTCGCCACCTCTCCACCGGAGACTTCTGCGCTTGTCGCCGCGCGTTACGTTTGCCGCGAGGCGCACTGGTATTGCCGCGTGCCGAACAGCCCCCTGTACGTCTACGAATTCAGTGATCGTCTGTACCGTGCTCTGAATCGGCTGGCCTACAAAAATACGCTGAAAACGCGTTCACCCATTCTCACGGACTTCGCCATCAGCCTAATTTATGCGCTCTGCCTTTTCCTAATCGTTTCGTAAGCTATTTCAAGGATGTCCTATCGGTTGAATTCAGCAAGGAATGTTGATCAACACGAATGCTTGCGCGTCTTGACGTTCGCCGGACATAATACATATGGACTTTTAAATTTGCGGCAGTCAGTCGTCAAATGTCTATTCGATATTACATTTTTTCGTCGAGTGTATGCCTCGAATCTTAGATCGAGGATAATGTCATTATTACGCAGTGGATAATCAAATTTGGAGGAAAAGTAACTTTTGTACTCACTAAGGAAAAATTGCATTGTCTAAAATTATTATCGTACTTTTCGAACACAAAAAAATCTGGCAGTTGAAAAATTGAGTGAGTAACTGTAGGATAAGCCGGTTAGATAATCGACAGCCGTGCGTCTCTGACGTTATAGCGAGTAAAGCAAATATTCGAAATCAGGCGATACTCGTGTACGTCAATTAATTTCATGCATCGTAACGAGTAAGCAAAAAAAAAATCACGATGCTGTACGTCAAAGAATGTTTGCACGTCAGCGTTGGGTCTCGCACGTACACATGCCAGGAAAATTTTGAAAAGCTACTTGGTTTCTACCGCACGATAACCTACGCGTTGACGACAGCTCGAACAAAAAAGAGTAGATTTAGCGTTGAAAGAGGAGAAAAATCACCTTAAACGCACTTAAACACGAGAGGACAAACGCGCACTGGAGGATGCCAGATCCAAGGCACCGGGACAAGGACGAGATTGGCGCGCGCGCGCGATCGACACGCGCATTCGCTTCGGAGAGTCAGAGACTGAGTCGTTACTCGATTACGACGAATCCAGTCTCACGAGCGAGGCATCGGCTCGTCCCCCTCCACTTCTTCCAACCCACTAGTTCGCGGTATTCGGGGGAAAGAGAAAGAGAGAGTGGCGTGCTGGACGATTCCGAAAAGTGCAATTGGCGAGGAGCACGACTTCTATCCGTGGTGGTTACGCACGAGTCTTCCTGTCTCCTGTTTCGCGCTTTGCGTACTTTTTTACGACACACGCGGCCAACGCATATTACTGGATCATTGTATAATACTTTTGTTTGTGTGTGTGTATGCGTGTTGTCAAGTGTTACCGCGGAGGGAAAAGTTTAAAAAAAAACGTAGATTGCAAAGCCTGCTTCTAATTTTTTCCGTATATTTCGGGAGAATTAAGGAAGATTTGAGAAAGAGTACAAGAATTTTTGCATGGCGGAGATGGAAATTGAAACGACAATATTAACAATCCTTTCAACGTAGATCCGGAGAAGATCGAGCAGACTGTTAAATATGAACGAATTCATTTTTGTTAATGTATTATTTTTATTATTTTTATTATAATCATTACTATCATTATTATTTTAATGTATATTCAATCAATTTTTTGTTGAGATTAGTTGTTTTGCTTACACTATCCCGTTAAAAGAAATTAAAAATAGAAATTGCAATTTTTATAAAAAACATGACATTTTTCGAATTCCTCTCGAGTTTGAAACAAATTTTTACACGACTGACAATTAAATACTAATCATCAATAGAGGACCGAGGGAAAATGTTTTTCATTATTCAATACTTTTCGTAATTTTCTCGACACATTCAATAAATGGACTTGAATATGAACGACTGAACTTTAATCAACAGAAATCTATTCAATAAGAGTATTAAAGTAGGCGTTGATTACTTATCTAATTTCCGCGTTAGCCGTTAGGTCAAAGACTTTTTGGGGACACGTTTATCGACGACTGATATTCGTAGTGAGTCACAGTAGGGCGAATTAAGCTGACAAATCATTTTCGCAGACAGGGCACCAACAGGTCACACCCATTAGTTCGTCACGTAGGCTTAATGCGAAAAAAATGTAACGTGTACAAATGATTTCAATTGTATCATCAACATCGATTAGACTTGCTAATAGAATTCTCATTGATGAAACTTTCATTCGCGTCGAGCCGTCAAATTTATCGATCAATCGTATAAGTATAACTATTACATTGATCACCGGCGTTTCATTGAAAACGAACGCGCGATTATGAATGAAAATTACTTCAAGTTGGTGTGATAAAATCACTACGGTCGTTGCGATTTAATTGACGAGCGATGGATAAACACATTTTGAAACTCAGTGTATTTTTTTTCGAGCTACGTAAATTCAATTCGTCGACTATATTTCGGTAGTTAGTTCAACAACTATAGTTAGTCATTATTTTTTCTTGCAGATCGTAAACGCTATTGAGATAACAAATCGCACACACCTGTAATATTACGTGATTTATAAAATAAAAAAAATGTTCGCGTTGTCTTCATATTCTCGGTATATACTTGTTATTGCATTGTTGACTTTTTGCTTTGCGCTCTTTACATTCCTACTTGCACTTTACTGAATATATACCCAAACGCTATTTTTTGTAGATAATGCAATGAGGAACGACAAGTTTCTTCGTTGTGCTTTTAATTTTTTTTATTTTTCATCGAAAGATTCCATTTATCCATAATCTAATTAAACACCTTTTATTTGTTTTACTTTGAAAGTTAGGTTATGTTCATTAGATACCTGATATATCAATCAAATTGCCACACAATCCACATCAACATCGATTCCACTCAAATAATCGCCCTAGAAGACCACTCGAATAACAAAAACTCCAACCATAACGTCGCCGGCGAGTAGCATTCTTTTTAAAACTGCCGTAAACGTAAATGTGATGCATGTAAACTTACTTGAGCAAACGTATCCAAAGAATAGAAGGAACAAATTGAGCGAAGGGCATTTTTGAACCGTTAGAATAGCCATCGCACCCTAGCTCGTAAAAAGAGAACTCGCACACACGCGACTGAAAAGACGGCAATTTGCTCACGTACACAAAGCCCGCCTGTTCTGCTCCACCACCTATACTCGTCATCGCGGTGCTGTCGAGGCGTCAGCTGATCGACGCCGCTATACAGACGACGCGGGCGCGCGGTAATTTCGAAGCGCGGGTGGAGTCGAAGGCACGAGACGAATGCGTTGCGTGCGCGCTCATTGCAAAACTACTTTAACGCTGACGCCACGATTAATTAAGCTTTATCTCTACTCCGAGATTTTCTCCTTGTGGGTAGCTCGTCGGCCGATTTCGAGACGTCGAATGCTTGTACGTTCGATGAGGATTCGATATTTGCTGAAATTTTATCGATAATAGCAATAGCTTGTAAGACACTATAATTTTTTCAATTAGATTAGCCGAGATAAGCTATTGACAAGCTCAATTGCTGCCAAATTTTTTAACTGGCGCTATCTCGGTAAGCTCGCGACACGTCTGTTTTTTTCTTCAAAGTTTCAAAATTACTTCCTACACGGCAGGTGGATAAACAAAGCTGTGCACGCAAATAAATCCAAGCATTCAAATCCCTGGCGCTCGCCTGGTGCGTGCACTAATTGAGTGTAAAAAAACGGAACGACGATCAATCGAACGTTCGCTCGGCATAACTGCTGCAGAAGGATAAGAGAAATAAAGAAAAGTGAAGCATCAAAGAATCGGTCCGACGAATCAAGCCAACCTTACGCGGTCGCGTCTCCTTGCGACATTGCATGCATCGGGACAAACGTCACGACCAATACTAATTCAACGCTAATTTATTCTAATCGCGGCCCGTTATTATTGACGGACAACGAGCTTAATACAAGTAGGCGTCCTTTCGGACGTCTCGCTTTTAATTGCGAGTGAGCCCAGATACAGGCGTCGCGCACCTGACACGCCACGAGGAAATCTGCTGCCTGTTTATCGTTACGTTAGAGGAGGCGTTCACGAAAAAACGAAGCTCGTCGTCGCGGATGACGTGTCTCGCGCTGCGCGCAGTCGAGCGTCCCGCGTCGCTCAAATTGTACCATTCGTCCGGGATTTCATTTTTAATCTCGAGCCGGCTCGAGCTGTTCCTCAATTTCAAATTTATCGATCGGCGGGGCTGCTTTTGCCCTACGATTATTCAATTATTCATCCGCGAACCCCTTCCCGTCCCGGCAGCCTAGTAATGCCCACTGACTGTCCTAGTAATACCGGAAACACGCGAATCGGTTGGTAACCATAAGAATTGAAGACAACGGCTCTTCGCGTCGCGGCATCGCTTCTTCCTCTTCGCAACCTGTCGTGCACGAGTGGTCGTCGCGCAGCGAACGACTGCAGATTTTTCGCCTACACCTCACGTTTCTCCGCGACGACACAGCGCGCGTGCAACTGTCCTCGCACCAGTGCGCTTCAATGACATTTCACCGTGCACACACACACACACACACACACACACACACACACACGCACACACACACACACACACACACACACACACACACACACACACACACACACACACACACACACACACACACACACGCACGCACGCACGCACGCACGCACGCACGCACGCACGCACGCACATGTACACGGGGGAAAACGCACCGCAAAAAGGCGAAGAAGAGTGTGAATCCTCGATCGCAGTTGCGGCGTGAGCGGCGGCATCCAAACTGCTCGACTCGGATGACGAGTAAGACTGACGACGAGTAGTGTTACGGTGTGGCACCTGTGTGGTATCCATCGGCTCCGTGCGTACGCGCGGTGGGTGTGTGTGTGTGCTTGTGTATCGGAAGACTAAAAGAACGTGGAGGCGGAGGTTCCCGCTGCTCCGCACTGTCGCAACATCAGGCGACGACGACGACGAACGAATGTCGTCGACACCGTCGGAGCGACAGCGAGCAAGCTCCTCGCTTTATTATATCGATCCGCGCGCGATTGCTAACGCACTGCAAAGGGGGACAACCGTACGTGTGCCGCGCTGCCTCCGCTGCCCGGCGTTACTCGCTTGTCTTTCGTTCTTTTTATTTCTCCTTTTTTTCCTCGTTCTGCGCGTCGTTTGTCGAATAGAGTGCTGCCCCGTCGAGTGGAGAGGGGATCGCCTCGGACACAGCGCGCACGGACTAAACGATTTGTTTTCGTCCAAGGGGGAGGTTGCCGATGCGCGCCCGCCTGCCCTCCGCGCAAATGAGGATGCGTTCAGTTAAGGTCTGAGAGGATGATTGTTTTCCGAGTTATGTGCTCGCGAAGTGATTCATGACGTTTTCATTGTTTAATGCCGTGCATTGCCATCGTCATTTTTTGCTTTCCCTTCGCTGTTCTCCGCGACAGTTGCAGTAGGCGACTTGTGCCGATCGAGGCCAGGTGCCAAGTTCAGAAACTCATTTACGCGAATGACTTGGAAATCTTGGGATTCTAGCCGCGGCGGTGCTGCAGGTTCTCGCGAGCTTTTATCCGGCAGAGGTGATCAATTGGGAAACGGGACTTGGTCGCCGACGAGCGCGTTGCCTTATTTCGCTTGTTGAACCCCTTCTGCTCGACGGAGATCGGCACGGTCAAAGATCTCGTATGCGCAAACGATCATATGCAATCATATACTTTGTTCAATGCGCACATGGCACAGACGCGTGCTGGGTGCGGGGCGACGCGGGGCTTCCGCGACTCCTCGCGTTGCTCTCAAATTTGATCTTCGCGCATTCGCGCGCACTCTCGCCAGACAATTCGAATCAATCACTCAAGACGTAATCTTTCGCTTGTCTTCTCTGCGCTTGACGCGCGAGACAGGCCGAGAATTCTCGAAATTGCGTTACTTGATCCACGTGCGAGCGAATCAAATGCTCGCACGATCTAATTAATCAATTTTGGCTGCCCATTTGTGCCTTCGGAGTTTTCATGGTGTGTATGCCTCTACCCGTCTGCAACTTTATCCTTATTGATTTATCGCAGTCAACAGTTCATCTGCAACGATGTAATAATCATAAAAAGTTTACTTCAACGATGCATGTTAGTTACCGTCAATACGATAATTACGGATCGTTTGAATTGTTCGAGTCGTATATTTTCAAACAATAGAACTAAATTATATCTGATTTGATTACAAAGCCACCCATTAAATTATTCACATTAATGAAATAATGATGAATACATAAATCTCACGAGTATGGGAATGACTTAAAATGCCTGTCGAGAGACAATAAAAAGTAATTTATCTAGCTATCCAAACCGTCAAAGGCTTTATCATCAAAATAAAAAAAAAAAAAAAAACAGCCAAAAAATTAAAATTTACGTAACCTAATTAACCACGCGTCTAATCAAGAATCAAGCGTATCAAAAATCCAGCTGCACTCTTTGGCAGCCATAGAGGGTCTAGCTTATACCGGCGAAACCGAAAAAGAGTAAAAGTAAGCCCCAAACAAGTAGGCCAACGTCGGCTGCATTCGCACCCACACTCGCGAGCCGAGCTTGCAAGAGAGTGAAAGTGAAAAAAGCTAACCGCGAGCAGTAGACGACCCGAGAGAGAGGGAGAGTAAGTTAACGGCCCACGTCACTAGTGTGGAACTATGCACGGTATATTTATAAACTCAAAGCGCCGCCGTCCAAAAATACACCTTCCAAGACAGAAAGAAAGGGGGAGAGAGAGAGAGAGAGAGAGAGAGAGAGAGAGACGCGGAAGCTCTCACAGTTGCCGGGGCACCGGCCGTCCGCTCGGACCTACTACCCACGAATAGTTGATACGGAGCGCTTCGACCGTGCATCGTTCGTGGCTGCATATTCTCGTAGAATCAATGAGCAGGTGAACAATGAAGATGAGGGCTGTCGGTGTCGGCTGTCTTGTCATTGTGGCGCTATGCACGTGGTCCGTTGGCACCTCGGCTCGCCTGCCCGAGACCACAGTGTGAGTCTATTTCTGAGATCTTCGATTTTCGACGCAACTCGTTCCTTTTGCTCTCTCTCTCTCTCTCTCTCTCCACTGCCTCGCCGCGGCGGCGAAAATATTGCCGCGATAAGCATCGTCAATTCGACGAAGAAGGCGTCTTGCGAGCTAGGTCGCAGCGCAAAAGCGAGGCGCATGGTCGTCACGCGACGGCAAGTGCGTGCGATTAACGTGGAAGGCCGCGGGATGCGTGCACTTCTGTGCGAGCGTATACCTTGTGCACGCGCCCGTCGTAAACGATCAATTAATTGCTTTTTATCAGGGTAAGCAACTGGGCTGATGCAATTGGCCTGGACCTGCGGAAACTCGCCGACAGACTTATACAGCCAGAATTACTGGTGAACGTGAGTGTAACGCGCGCGAATTGGCATCGCGAGCGCGCTCGTCCAGCTGATTTCAATTTGCTCTTTCGCAGGAGTACAAGAAGAAGGGCGTGCGAGTGATCAAGAAGAAAGGCGAAGACATTATCAAGCGCATAAGCATCAATGTTGCCAGGATGCTCAGCAAGAAGATGGACGCCGTCAAGTGTTTGTACAAGGAAGCCGAGAGGATTTCCGAGGAATGGGAATATCTCAGTACGGATCAATTGAATCTCACGTACTACTCGACCAAGTACAGCAATTCGACCAATGGAACTGATTTCTATGAGTCCAAAGTGCCCTCAAATATGTTTAAGCACAATGACAGCTACATGTGAGTTGAATTTGGCTTTACTGGAGGTATTGCTGATCGAAAATAACGGTGAGACTCGATATTCGTGATAAATCGTGCCAAAATACATGCCGTTGTCTCGCGAGACTTTACGAGGTCCGAGTTTCGAAGATAGATTACGGATATACAGTGCGAATATTTTCGCCGACTTTTGATAATACGGCGACCGCGCGGGCGGTCTTTTTATAACTCACTTTATAAATCTCCGTCAATGGCAATGCAATTGATCTCAACAATTCTAGGATGATGTACTTAGAGCCAAACACGCACTTCAACAACGTATCGGTGAACGTCACTCATTCAGCAGTGCACACACCGACGAACGTATACGATCAACTGGAAACACTGAAAAACACGATAACGTGGTCGGAACGAATGGACCGAATATTCAAGCATAACTACAAATCGGATCCAGCGCTGTTGTGGCAGTACTTCTGCTCGATGACGGGAATGCTACGACAATTCCCAGCCATGCGTTGGCCATTCGGTCAAGACCAATTGGGAAACGACTTTGCTGACGTCTACGACTGCCGCGTAAGAAGTTGGTTCATCGAGGCTGCTACCTGCACCAAGGACGTGGTCATTCTTGTTGACAATAGCGGTAGCATGTATGGCATGAGTAATACCATCGGTGAGTGTTTTTACTGTCGGCTGTTCCTTGGCGGTTTTTTTAATGTTTTTATAAACTCTGTTCTCTACGGGGTAGAGAACGTCATTTAAAACGAACTGTGGTTGGCTACAGGCTAAAGCGCTCGCTCCGTTGCATTTTCGAAGCGAGTTAAGTTTATTCATCGGTTATTTCTTTCGGATTTTCGGGAGCAATCAAACGATCGCATTCTTCAAACTTCCAGCGAAATCAACGATATCGGTAATCCTGTCCACGCTGTCGAACAACGATTACGTCGCGGTATTGAACTACACGAACGTGACGTCAGAGGTGGTGCCGTGCTTTCACGACATGCTCGTGCAGGCGACGCCGGACAATCTGCGAAAGATCAACGACGAGGTGACGCACATGAAGCAAGAGAATATGGCCAACGTCACCACCGCCTTCATCGCGGCGTTCGACTTGCTCGCGAAGTACAGAACCGTTGAACGCTGCGGTCCTAACTTGAGCTGCAATCAGCTCATCATGCTCATTACGGACGGCATTGCCTCCAATATTACCGAGGTAAAGCGCTACCTCACCATCATTACATTTCACTCCAAGAAGATTCTCATTCGCTTCGTTTTTTTTCAATTGTCAACAATTCATATACGTTTGTCTAGATATTCGAGCAGTACAATTGGCTGAATAACGGGACAATGCCGATCAGAGTGTTCACCTACTTGCTCGGCAAAGAAGTGACGAACGTGCGAGAGATTCAATGGATGGCGTGTCTGAATCGCGGCTACTACACACACATTCATACGCAGGCCGAGGTGCCAGAGCAAGTGCTGAAGTACATCGCAGTGGTCGCAAGGCCACTCGTGCTGCACGGCAAAGTGCATCCCGTGGTCTGGACGCACGCCTACGTCGATATCTCGGTGAGGATGTTCGACGCGAGAATCATCGGCTCCGATAATTTTTCACGATCGACTCATTCATGCAGCGCACGATCTTTCGTGGATAATCGAAAATATTGGCATCAATCGGCAAAAACAATTCAAATGAGAGAGAGAGAGAGAGAGAGAGAGGTGGGGGAGGGAGGAGAGAGAAGAATACAGATAGAAAAGAATTAACGAAAATCAAAATTGGGTTTGGGGAACGCGCGAGCGCTTGGAAAGAGACGCGAGGACGTTGAACGGCCAACGCGTCGCGCGTCCAATTACCACGACGGTATGTCGCGCGATGTAGACACGCGCACTCGCGAGGCATTGCACTTACGCATCGTCGTTCACGCCCCGGTAGAGTGAGGAAAAAAAGAAGAAGAAGAAAAAGCGATTTCGCGGTCGGGTTTCCACGATGAAATCGTACGATTCGCAACGCGCGCGTATTCCGAACGAGCCGTGTCTCTTCGTTTGCATGTCCTTCCACAGCCGAGTAACGAGAGTCTTTCTCTTTTCCAAGCGCGAGGAAAACACGCCACCCATCACGAAAGACCCGACGTTCGTTGACGAGGGCGTGGATATTACCGATCAGGAGGTAATGCCTGGTTTTAATTGCCCACGATATTCCCGTTTTTGGCTTTTTTTACATTTTTTGGTTCGCAACACTGCCAAGACTTTCCGCCTCCGATACATTTGCATTACAGTGCCACTGTCAGGCGACGCACACATATTTGCCATACACGTGCACTTTCAACAGATATATATTACCGTCTCCAACACCTGTTGCGTTTTGAGTTTTCTATTACGTAGGTAGTGTATGCGTGTGTGTGCGTGTGTTGTATATTAGACACATTAGCATCCAAAAAAAGCAACAACCTCTTCCTCCAATTTTTAGTTGCGTATTTACGAAGTGTTTTAACTTTTGGTTTCTTAGTCAAGCAAAAATATTTTGTTCACGGCTTGCGCACAATTTTATTTGCAGATGTTGCAAAAAATTACGAGTGATTTATTGCCCAAGCATGTACCCTACTTTTTGTACTTTGACGTGTAAGATCTCTGCCATAGAAATTTAAATTTCAATGATCAAAATTCGCGAGTGTTTGCTGTACGAGGAAACCTGGAGTATGGAGATTTATTCATACAGCTCGCTCGTCGAAATTCATGAATTTTGAGGCGGTCAATTTGACGGCGCAGTAAAGGTTGACGCGGGTGCGCTAAAATTTTCGCAAGGATCAGCAAAGTGCGCCGCAGTCGCTCTAAATATTCACGAGGCAGACTCGCTCGTAGTGCCCACTTCCAATTTATCAGGAAGGAAAAACGTACATCGCGAGTAGCGTTTACAACGAATATTTTGTATCTCACAACAAAAGTTCGCACAGGACTTTGTGATGGTTATAACGAGCACAGTCCGCGTTCCTCGTAACATGATACACTGCTGCATATAGTTAAAAAGGAAAAGAACAAAGACGTCGCACGGCTTACCGAAAGCCTTCGATCGACGTGTGCTTGGCATAAATCGTGATCATTCGAGACAAGTCACGCTGGATACGCTTTGATTGCCACGCTAGACGTAGTACCAAAATGCCACTCACAATTCACCCACCCTCGCAAAGCAGTGCAACTCGATGCTAATTCTCTGATAATTGACGATCATCAGGACGAGATAGCCAACACGAGCGGCGCGACAGGTATAAACTGGCGCGATCGTCTGTTAACCTCGGTGAGCATTCCAGTGTTCGATCGCAAAGGTAACGAGGAGAGCAAGGCCGAGGGTAAGAAGCGCGAGGCGAACCTACTCGGCGTGGTGGGCACCGACGTGCCGCTCAAGGACATACGCAAGCTCACGCTGCCGTACAAGCTGGGCGTGAACGGTTACGCCTTCATCGTCTCCAATCTCGGCTACGTGGTTTACCACCCGGCCCTGAAGCCCGACTACCAGGGCGAATTGAAGCTCAACTTCAACAGCATCGATCTCACGGAAGTGGAGATCCTCGACGACGACAGCGAGCCGAGGTAAGGACAGCTACCCGTTACCTCTGGGCCGAGAGCGAGCGCGCCACGACGATTCGCCTGACGATTGCAGGGTGGCCAGCGACGTCATCAAGAAGATACGCGAGAGCCTGGTCAATCACACGTGCGGCTCGGAGAAGAACGTGAAGGTGAAGCTGCATTACGACGATTGGCGCAGGGTCACGCTGGAGAGCCGCGACTACTTTTACGCCGCGCTACCGCTCACGCCGTTTGGCATAGCAGTCGTGCTGCCGCAATACGGCCGCTACCACATCAAGGTCGGTAGCTCTCGGCTTTATCGGACCCCGAACGCGCCTCGCTCCGTGATTACCCCGAGAGATCTCGTCGGCAGGTGTCCAAGGAAATCGACCTCTTCCACAATCCGCGCAACATCTCCGACTTGTTCGCCGGCGACCACTGGGGAATCCATCCGGACTGGGTGTACTGTCGCTACCATTACCTGGAGGGCCACGAGTTCGATACACCCGAGGACGAGCTGCGTCACTTCCTCACCATAGTTGGTAATTTTTCCAAGAGCGAGGCCGAACGTTTTCCCAAGCAGTACAACAAGTACGAGAATGCCAGGAATGTAGCGCCGGTGAGTTGGCGCGTGGCGTGGAATTTTTTTTTTTTTTTTTTCATGTTCTTGCGTCAAATTGCACATTCTCTTCAGAATGATTCCAGCGACGACCACAACGACAACCACGACGATGACGACGACGACGATGAGCACCTCGCAGACGATTGCGAGTTCGAAGATTTGGCTCAGTTGCAGTCGGAAGATTACGAACCTGACTGCGGCAGCGTCGATGATACGGTGGATGACGTCGATTACCAACGCCACTACAACGACCACTACTGCGATAAAGAGCTGATGGAGCTGCTGATCCTGGATGCTCAGGCGACGTTCGAGAGCTTCGACGGCGAACTGGAGCCGGAAAAGTGTCAAGACTCCATGCAGGTGTATAATTACAGCCGGGATTACGGCGTGTTCGTGCGGTTCATGGCTACGCAGAGTGGCCTCACGAGGTGGCAGACCGTGAAGAATTACAACCGCACCATGTCCGAGAAGCATGTCAGAGAGTTTGCCAAGCACAAGCGAGCCCTCGACGAGGCTTGGTACAAAGGAGCTATACTGCAGAACGAGATCGACTCCGAAAGCATTTCCGTGACAGGTGGGCAATCCACTCCTTGCGCTATCGATCGGAAATGAGAGCAACCGTTTGTCGGCAGTGCCGGTGATAAGGAGCGACGAAAGAGCCGACGACACCGTGGCTACCATTTCCGTGGGCATTTTCCCGATGGACAACGGTCTGAAAGCGCCGGCGGGTGTCGCGGGCATTCAAGTGCCGGTTATCAAATTTTACGAGCAATTCATGTCGCTGACGTCGAGGGACTCGTTCAATTGTAACTTGACCGCGGTCGACTGCTACCTGATCGATCAGAACGGCTACATCGTCATCTCGGAGGCGAAGCACGCGGACGCCGGCAAGTTCTTCGGCTCGATCGACATCAATGCTCCCGTCATGAAGTCGCTCATTCGCCAGGGACTCTTCAACGAAGTCACCGTTTACGATTACCTGTCGGTGTGCCACGACACGGTGAGTATGCTCGATTCTTCTTTTCGCTCAGCTGCGCGCTTCATCTGATCGTCCATGATTTTTAGAGGGAGGAGAGCGCCGCGACTTTGTTCGAAAATCCATTCGCCTACACGTGGAACTTGGTCACGTGGCTGCTCGCCAAACTAATCATGTACGCCTCGCAATTCCACAACCTGCCGTACGTCCTCGCCCAAGACGAGGAGGCCGACTTCTCCAAACCGCCCAAGATGCACATATTCCGGACGGCTCGTCCGTGCGACATGCAATCCACTCTGTACATCGTCAACAAGGCTGCCTTCAACAGAAGCTTCACCAACGAGCAGGACAGCTGCGCATTGCCGTTTTACGCGCACAGAGTTAGCTTCGACCGCGCGCTCGTCCCTCTTGCTCTGCGGGATCAAAGCTGATGAGTTCTTTTTTCTTTTGCGACAGGTGCGCTACACGAACCTTATCCTCGTGGTGGTGATAACCGACCGACAAAGCTGCTACGATCACGTGGATGTGACTCCAGTCGAGATTGCAACGGAAGAGCCACCCTGTCACAAACTCAAACTGAACGAACTTTACAAACGACGTCTCAAGCATTGCTTCACTCAACACGACGAGGAGGATGAAATTGAGTCGTGTGGCCGCGCCAGCGGTCTTCAATTGTCGCTATGCCTTGTCGCTGCCCTAACTATCAAGTGCTTACTTAATTTTTTGTAACGAGAATGACATGTGTTCAACAAAAAGAAAAAAGATGCTACTAGTCTAGTCATTGTGTGTTGTTGCACTACTCTGCCTGGATATTGATTCGCGACCCGCAAAGTTCAAAGTCCGAATTACTGTCGACAACTGAGCATCGATGACACCATCATAGGACTTATTTCGGCAAGTCGTACTCGCGCAACTTGTTAGAAAAAATCCATTGGATCACATCAATGCTCTATCCTTGACAATAATTCGAATTGTGAATTTTGCGGATCGCGAATTGATGTCTGAGCAGAGTACGATACTGCAAAAATGCCTGATTCCTTTTTTATTTATCGTATGTTGCTCATGCAAAGTTCTTTATTACCGAGGTTCTTATGAAGCCTCAGTGGCATTTGTTTCTTTTTTAATTGTGTATCAATACATACGTTTATTATACTCTACTCGTACCAATTAGATTTATTACACGTGAATTTGTTATATAAAATTAAGACAATAAATGATTTATGGCTGTTGATCGTTTTCGAGCGTACGGAATTCTTGAGTTACTGTGATGATCGATTACAACCTTTATACACCACTGATTAGACACTTTAAAGTACGGTGATATCTTGTACCGACATAAAACCAAAATTTATACCATACCTCAAGCAGGTACGAGTAAATTTTGTGACAGTGATTAATTTGTTAATTTTTTAATTTTTTTTTCATTTTCAAACGATAAAGCTTGCCTCGCTCTCGCGTAAGACGCCGAAATTAGAGGAGGAATTGATCTATCCAAAAAACCTACAACACGCACTTGGCTCAAATGTGTCAAAGATTAAACGGGTCGATATTACCTATTTTGTTTCAATGATTATCAGCATCAAGGAATCCATTCGCAACGCTTTGCTCCACGTTATCAACCGCGGAATTACACCAGCGACGAATGAAACTGACGCTGAATTAAATCACCGATTGTAAGGTACAATCTATTGCAAGCGAGATATACGTTGAAAATGAATAGCAATGATGTCAGTGATGCGCGTCAAAGAAAGTTTGCAATAAGAGAAATAGGAGAAACAATGTGAAATTGTTTCTAGATATTTAAAATAGAACCTGCGATGGTTTATCACCTGATATATTATTTATCCTTTTTGTTTGCTACGTGGCAAATTTCATCTGTTACAATTTTCATTTTATTCCAAGTAAACGCTAGGAAGGGCAATTTTCAACATCCGATGTCAGCGAAAGACTTAAGCATGGTTCTCAATTTCATTGGAAAATAAAGTTTTTCATTCTCTTGAAAACATTCGATAGACCGTTGGTGGAATTCAATAATGGATATTCTGTACCGCCTCGGAATGCGTGAACAGCATTAAACGCGTCCTAAACATTCCGTATATGGATAATTCTTGGCTATTTCGATTGACTTGTAACCCTTAGGTTACGGATTTTTTTTTAATTTGACACAATTGTTGTACACATAAAAGTGAGATTTTTCCCAAATTTTGAAGACGATACATTAATTATATCAAAAGTTATTAACATTTAAAGAAAAATGATAACAAATTTTCAAACGGCTGTATTTTAAAAACTAATAAAGATATCGAAGTCGGATTTTTTGAAAATACTTATAATGCCTTAAAATTTCGAAATAATTACAACAATAAACAATAAAAATTTTTTTTCGAAAGTTATTAACTTTTTGTTTAAAAAATTGCTAATATCTCAAAAAGTATATATATTTTTTAAATTCTTGCTCCTGCGTGTTCCTGAGGATTTTTACTATCGAAATCAATCATAAAATTCAAGGGCCCGACATATCGGAAAGCGTAGCCTTAATCAAAAGAAGACGCCTCAGCGTAAGACTACGAAGACGTCCCGCTGCCGTTCCGACGTACACCGAGGAGGCATCTTCTTTTGATTAGAGCTACGCCTTCCGATATATCGGGCCCTTAAATTTTATGATTGATTTCGATAGCAAAAATCCTCAGGAACACGCAGGAGCAAGAATTTTAAAAATATATATACTTTTTGAGATATTAGTAATTTTTTAAACAAAAAGTTAATAACTTTCGAAAAAAAATTTTTATTGTTTATTGTTGTAATTATTTCGAAATTTTAAGGCATTATAAGTATTTTCAAAAAATCCGACTTCGATATCTTTATTAGTTTTTAAAATACAGCCGTTTGAAAATTTGTTATCATTTTTCTTTAATTGTTAATAACTTTTGATATAATTAATGTATCGTCTTCAAAATTTGAGAAAAATCTCACTTTTATGTGTACAACAATTGTGCCAAATTAAAAAAAAATCCGTAACCTAAGGGTTACAAGTCAATCGAAATAGCCAAGAATTACCCATATAGTCTTCATGTCGCACACTGACCCAGCCATGCAAAAGCCAACACGTGGAACTTGTCAACAGTGTCGGGCGAAATTAGCATTTTAATTAGAAATGAGGAGTGATGTGTATGATATTCCCAAGAGGCCGATATGTCGTCAGCAGACATTCAAGCGACACGTAGTTTCCGGTTCTGTTTGCTCTAGAATCGACTATTTTTTTTCTTGCTATCGTCGCTTCTTCCTGCGAATGATTATTACTATTTTTTTCGTTGATGATGAGCATGTTGTCAATATATCTCATCCTGCTGAGTTATTCGATTGGTAACGTGTCGATTTTTATTAAGCCGCACGAGTCAAACGAAATCGCGTGAGCCGCGGTAGCACAGCTTTACCTAGACATACATATACGAATTTCAATCGAAAACTCTCCAAAGCCACCCAACCCAACCCACCTAAAATACAATTTGGTCGGTTCCGAAGCTCCCAGAAGCACTAGGCAATAAATAATTCAATGAACAATCCCCCAGCAGTAGCGCCATTCGAATTATCCCGCGCGCGCCAAGGACCTTTGCTTTGGACTCTAAGTCTGAAGCTATGCCCTTGCAGGGCCCTTTAAATAACGAAAAAGAAGAAGAACGAGAAGATGCAGCGAACCTGCGGTTTTCCACGTGGAGCAAGTGTTCAAGCGAGGCTCGTCAGCAGCAAGCGCAGCGGCGGAATTGCGCAAGCTCGAGAGGTTCGTCCGCGGAGGGCTGTTGGTGGGGATCGGCTAGATCAATAGCGGGCGGGCGGGCAGGCCGCAGGCAGACAGGCAGGCAGAGAGCAGTGCGCGGCGCTCGTGTGCGAGTCTCGTCGCGTCGGGGTCGCGCTGCGCCGTTCTCGACGCTGGAGTTTGACTGCACGAGGACGTGGTGGTGGTGGTGGTGGTGGTGTTGTTGTCGCCGCCCCGGGGACACTCGACGATGCTCTCGTCGCGCTTGGCGCTACTGCCGATCCTGCTCGCTCTCGGCAGCGCGCTCGGCAGGGCCGAGGACAGCATCGACCTCAACACGTAAGCTATCGATTTGTCCGCCTTTGCGATAGCGCCGACATTCCCTAGGCGACGTTCGCGCGTCCGCGAGGGACTTGCGCGCCTCGCATATGGGGCACGGCTACCATCGATCGCGTCTGCGTCCTCCGCATATGGGGTGAGCCACAGAGTGTGGGTCTGCGTGTTACCGGGACTCCTGCGACGTATCGAGGATTCGCCCCCCCCCCCCTCCTCTCCCGCCTCCGATGCGCCGACTCACGCTTTTGCACTCACAGCACGTTCTCGATCGTGTACCAGCAGCCAGAGCGAGCGTTGTTTTGATCCGGATACCTTAGGCGCGAACGCGCGCGCTCTTTGATGCTAACAGAACAACATTGTACACTCGTAAACTGGCGTCGTGCGAGGTGAAAAGCGCGCGTTTTTCCTTTCTCTCGTCCGCCGGTGGAAAATTTGGGTCGAGGAAGTGCGAGCTTACGAGTGATCAGACGTTCGTCGAGGAGAGAGCGACGACTTTGGAATGTGACTCGTACCGCTCGCTTACGTTTGCAGAGTGCAAGCATGGTCGTCCAAGATAGGCTTCGAGCTGAACGAGGTAGGCAGGTATCTGATCAACATCGAGAGGTTCCAAAAGTCCTACAAGGATGCCACGATCAAGGTGGTCGAGGGTAAAACTATCGTGCAGTCCATCGCCGCCGAGATCGAGAAAATGCTCGACTCCAAAGTGGAAGCTATTAAGGTTAGTAGTGCGCGGGCGAGCGCCTCTTCGGAGTTTGGCGAGTCGAGCAATGCCAAGCGTGGCTTCGGCAGCAGCTGATCGATCGACACGCCGATTCGTGTTGCAGCGGATAATGGATGTGGCCCAGGCCAAAGCAAAGTCAGCTTACGACTCGGAGGTGGTGCGCGAGCCGCCCGACGCCGAGTACGAGTACAAGGACGTAAAGAACTACACGACCATAACGACCACTTACAACGAGCACTTCGACGAGACAGTCAACCTCAACTACTCGGCGATCCACGTGCCGACGACGGTTTACGGTCGCGATAAGAACGTCCTGCCGGCGATACGCTGGTCGGAGGAGCTCGACGAGACCTTCAAGAACAATTACCGACAGGACCCGTCGCTGTCGTGGCAGTACTTCGGCAGCTCCACGGGCTTCATGAGACTGTACCCAGCCACACAGTGGACGCCCAACGGCAGCGATTGTCACGACCCCGACCTGTACGATTGCCGCACGAGGAGCTGGTACATCGAGGCGGCTACCAGCCCCAAGGACGTTCTCATACTCGTCGACATCTCCGGCAGCATGACCGGCATGAGGAAGGAGATTGCCAGACACGTGGTCAATAACATTCTCGACACACTTGGCAACAACGACTACGTCAATATCATCAAGTTCTCCAACATCACGGAATACGTGAGTCACGTGTCGTGTTCACTTTCTTTCATTCGTCGTAATGCATCGCCCAACTACGATGGACTGTCGATACCAACGTAAACGCTCCAATGTTTAGGCGGTGCCGTGCTTCGGCGAGGGTCTCGTGCAGGCGAATCTGGCCAACATCCGCGAGCTGAAGAACGGCATCTCGGAGATGACGACCGAACGCATCGCCAATTTCACGATGATCCTGTCTTACGCCTTCGAATTGCTAGCAGCCGCGCGCAACGAACGTCTGGGCTCGAGTTGCAACCAAGCGATCATGCTGATCACCGACGGTGTGCCCGACAACTACAAGGAGATCTTCCAGCGCTACAACTGGGCCGACAGTCCCGACAATCCAGAAATGGCCGACATGCCCGTTAGAATGTTCACGTACATAATCGGGAGAGAAGTCGCCGATATCAGGGATTCCAGATGGATGGCTTGTGCCAATCGCGGTTACTTCGTCCATCTCTCCACGTTAGCAGAAGTTCGAGATCAGGTACTTTGTCCGAAGTTTATTCTAGCGATAGCGTCGGAAAGCTAATTTCTATGCCGTATCAATAGGTCTTAAACTACATATCAGTAATGGCACGTCCGCTGGTGCTCAATAGCACCACACATCCAACCATATGGACTCAAGTCTACGCGGACATTGCCGATCCGAAGATCACCGACTGGCTGTGGGATAAGAAAGAGCGGAACGAGCAAAAGGAGCGCTACTGGATCTATCGCAAAAATACCAAATTTATGAACCTCGATGATGAAATGAAGGCCTTTGAGAAAAGAATGAGGAAACATCCGAACCTCGCCGGTGATCTTTACAAGTACAGACTGATGACTTCTGTCAGTAAGCCGGTGTATGATGAGCGCGATACCGCGGTAAGTTGTCATTAGTTTATCAACTTATTCGGTGTTTTTTTTTATTTATATTTTTACCAAATACGACTAAAACAAATGAATTCGGATTTTTCCTCGACCAAGCGATGCGAATCCTACGTGTTAATTAATTCATACAGTCCTCCTTGATTTTTCAAGTGCAGAGCAAAAATAAAACTTATTTTATATACCAGTACAACTAGAAAGTATAGAAAAATTATAAGCAAGTTGTCGTAGGATTGTCTCAAGTGCGTAATTTGTCCGCAGAACATCACAGAGTCGGTGCTGATCAAAAACGCCTACTGGGTTGAACAGACGAGAGAGGTTGGCAGTTAGAATAATGAAAAAACCAAACGAAAGCAAAAAAATGCAACAAGTTGATTTCAGTGCATAATAGTATCCCCTGTATCATCTTTTGCCCTTTCTATATTTAAGATGCTCGTACATACACGTATTAGCTACTCCTCTTCGCAGTTTTTCGTATGTACCATAGGTATATAATCCGAAATTCTCTCACGATATTTACATACATGCGACGTTCTCTCTCTCTCTCTCTCTCTCTCTCTCTCTCTTTCTCTCTCTCTCTCACTCTCACTCTTACTTACGGTCTTTCGTTATTTCTATATTTTTGTTATGTTTTCTTTTAATCTACGATGAAAAAATGCGAAAAGGAGAATGGCGTAGAAATACTCTAGGCTCAAGTTTCGTCTTGCTCTATTTGATTTTTTATAAATAAATATATACATATATCTTTAGTACATTTTGAAGTAAAGCATTTAAACGATATACATAGATAGGGTATATATACATTAGGAGAAATTTTCTAGCTAGTCAGAACCCCAAAACCAGTAGAAATTATTAAAAGGTTTTATCTTCCTAATTATATACGATAATATATATCAATATCATCTTGTAACAACTAATAGTATAGATGATGTTGCAGTGATTTTATCAAGTCTCACGTCAATCACCACAACATTGATCGCATAAAGTTGAATATTTTTGTATGCTGATTTTTTTTAGACATAACGTAGTATATACGATTGATCGAATGTAGCGTCGATCCATAAATCATTTGACCTGCCTAAAGACCGCGACTCAAGTTTTTTTTTGATAATTTTTTTCAAGGTTAAATTACATCACTTACGTTGTCATTTAATGACTTATGGATTGAAAATATCAATTATATTGTGTTATAGAATAAATATTTTTTTAGGCTAGTCATCGTATATTTGTGATTAAAAACTTTTAATACTATAATATATTTATATTTTCTATAACTATAGTTCTACATTATATTACGTATAATAAGATCGTAGTTTTTATAGTCGTCGTTTACATATTATAAGGTAGCATCGGAGTGAACGTCGTTAATACAAAAAGTGCATTTAATTATCATAGACTACTACACCATAGAAAAGTCTAATTTCTTAGAATAATTCATTATTAATTCATATAGCGTTGAATTTTATTTTTACAATTGTTTGAATATACCAAACAACATGGTAGTTAAAAGAGAAGCTCTAGGAAGTATGTGACTTCGAGCGTTGCTGCGACTCGAAGTCACCATTACTTCCGTTGTCAGTTGACTCAGCAATGCATTTTCGCAATTACAGATGAGGGTTGCAAATTTGCTTGGCGTTGCGGGAACCGACGTTCCGATCGACGATATTAAACAACTGATGGCTCCCCATATGGTACTGTGAATCTATTGTTTGTCGTTGAGAATTACTCGTCGAAATACTGTCGAAAATAAATTTGTGGTCGTTTTCAGTTGGGTGTTCACGGTTATGCGTTCATTATCACCAACAACGGCTACATTTTAACTCATCCGGATCTGAGGCCGGTTGTAAGTATCTAATAACAATTGAGAAAATCTATTCAATGTTAATTCTTGGCATTTGCCTCTTTTAGTTTCAAGGTATTTTAAGGCCAGCTTACAATAGCGTAGATATGGCGGAAGTCGAGCTGGTGGACGGTGACGACGTGTCCAGACAATTCAACGAAGGATTGCTGCAGGTAGGTGTTTTCATTGGAAATCAGTCGACAACAGCTCGATTGACCGTTCGATTGTAGTTTCGAGCGGATGTGGTGAATCAGAAGGAACACAGCGACATCATGCTCACCACGAAGTATCATTACGATCACAGGGTGAGTTGGCTATCGCTTATGCACAAAAATTCATGATGGTAAGAGTCGGCTCGATATTTTGCTTTTCGATCGCAGAAGCGCGTCGGGAAGCTGAAAAGAAAATACGATTCGACGCCAATCAAAGGTACTCCATTCACGTTGGTCGTCAGTTTGCCCTACTTCAAGAACAATGCCAATACTTACGTAGTGCAGGCAACCAAAGACATTCGACGCGAGGACTTTGACAGTGAGTATAACGGACATAAAACTCGTTGCCGAGAATTCCCATGATGATCATTATGTAAACTTGGCTTCTAGAAAATATTCGCGCAGCCAAATACTTCGCGGGCAAAAACTGGCGGATCCATCCGGAATGGCTGTACTGCAAGTGAGTATATCCTCGTGGAGCGGGCGCAAAAATGAAAAGTTTAATTGACAAAGACGAAAGAGCCGATTTCAGTATTCATCTTTGTATCACAATTTCAATGTCAATGTTTTCTGCACTAATCGGTTCAATATTTGTTAGTTTAGCTTCGATAGGTAGTCACGAAAGATTTTATTTTCTGAATTTTTTTTTGTCTGCGTCACTCTTGTGGAAAACAAAATTGGCACACGAACGACCAAAGAAAAAAGATGAACATGTTTTTGCAGATCTTACTTCAAGGGCACTATTACATGGAAGAAAACGAAATACATCTCTAACACACAGTACAAAATAACACCGAGACACCCGTAAAGACACTTGCACTAATTTTTTCGTATTTCTTAATTGCTTGCATTCGATTGTACATATTGTAATTTGTATCTGTAAAAGGAAAGCAATTTAGTCTCTTTTAGTTTTTGGTAATTGCTTCGTAATTGTCATTATACCAAAGAGTATAAATTAGTTGAGAGTACTTCGCTTGCGATATCGTATTCATTATGTCATAGCTACCCTTGATTGTCGAACATTGTGTGATTTGAATGGCGTCTGGCGAGGAAACGGAAGGAGGAGGCTACAGGAGAAATACTTTTCAGGTACTACTTCGAGAACGTGTACAATTTCTCCAGTCCCGAGGAGGAGCTGCGTCACTTTTTGAAGAAAGCCACGGAACCCTCGTGGAAGTGGGGTACCAAGCCTTCCGAACAATCTGCTCGTAAGTGTCGTTCTTCTATCGCTTCGTTACGTCCGACCGATCAGTACTCGATGATCGTCTGTTCGTCGCTGCAGAGGGCGCGAAGAAGGCTGGCGAAGAGAGCTCCGAGTCGCACTACTGCAACAGGGATCTGATCTCGAGTCTAGTGTACGACGCGAGCGCGACCGAATGGTTCGCCGATCCCAACGGCAGTCGCAACGACAAAGGGTATGAACACTTGATCATTATTCCCCCGCGTTGTTCGTCTCAAAACAAACACTTAGTAATATACGACAATGAGAAACATTGACGAATTTGAAAATCATTAAGCAAACAAGTTGTCAGCGCGGAGTGTCAGCGAGGATTGACAGTGGCCCAGATAACGTTCAGCTTCAACGCTAAAGCGAACTCGTGCAACTTGAACAATAACATTCATTCGCGAGTCACGCATTTTTCTTGTTTCTATCAACTCATATACGTATTCTTCAAGATGCAACGAGCGCAACAGAGTCTCTGTCCGTTTAATGCAATATTAATCACTCGAGTGTGTGTGTTGTGTCTTTCAAAGTAATATACAATTCATATATCTTTATACTTACACGCACCAATAAGAGTTTTGCACGCTCGCACCATTTCAGTTCTTATGCAATTCTTATATGCACCTGTGTAATCACGCGTCGACACTCTATTTCATTTGTTCTATCACACGTTGTTTTTGACTCTTTAGTTTGTTGATGTATGCATTTACAAATAGATTTGCAAACGTTAGACATCAGAGAACGGAAAAAGAGCGTTCGGTTCTTGTTTTCTCTCATATTCGATCGGCTTGTAGATCTCGCCGGCGCGCACAAAAATTATAATGACGCATCCTGATCCTCCTTTACTAACTAATTCTTGTCGACTTTCAACGCCACGCAGACCTATAGCTAGGCTGATGACGCGTCTCACCAGGTAAAGTCTCATCAAAATCAAGCACCTTACATTATCTTTATATAGTTCTGTTGGTAATATATCAATCTTCCGCGTACCCTTTCTCTCTCTCTCTCTCTCTCTCTCTCTCTCTCTCTCTCTCTCTCTCTCTCTCTCTCTCTCTCTCTCTCTTTCTTTCTCTATCTCTATCTCTCTATCTCTCTCTCTATCTCTCTATCTCTCTCTCTATCTCTCTATCTCTCTATTTATCTCTCTATCTCTCTCTCTCTATCTCTCTCCCTCTATCTCTCTCTCTCTCTATCTCTCTCTCTCTCTCTCTCTCTCTCTATCTCTCTCTCTCTTTCTCTATCTCTCGTCTTTCTCATTTTGACTGTCATTTGATATAAATATTTATCTGTACTGTATATACTATCTTTTATCTTTTCTTTTTCTTTTCTGTAAAAGAATAAAACGTCGCTCTATACTGTCTTGCAAGGATCGTGCTTTGTTTCTCTTTTCTTTTATTAGTTCAATTTTTGTGTCATGCGAGCATTACTTTTTTGATTTTGTCATGCATTACTCTACGGCACGTTTTTGCATAGCACCTATTTTTGCGAGTTTTTTTTCAGATTTTTGGTATCCAGAGCCGGAAAATGTTGTGAATAACAATAATAAAGTATTGTATCTCTGTGAAGCTGAACACTTCTTTGTGTTATATATATAGTCCAAGAGCGATCATGTTTTTTATATATACCTTAATCCTCTCATTATTTTAGTTTTATTATCTCAAAAAATGTTTTTCAGATATTCCTTGGATTAACGATACTTTTTTCGACGTTCGTTTATATATTATATACATATACGTCCGTATACTTTTATAATTATTTGAATATATAGTGTTTGTCGAAATTACAACATTTTTTCGTACAGTAAAATTTGACAATTGGCATAGTATATGTGACTTATCAATTATTTTGGTGAATGAAATTTGTTCGTGAATTTTTTCTTGTATTGGTACATAAATGTATAAATAAAGGTATGTGGATTGACGATAAACAATGGCTTTTGACAGCAAAATTGAAAGATCTGAGAAACCGATTTGCAAAAAAAAAACGTTACCTCCGATCAGACATGCTTGACTTAAACAACTATATAACTGAAGTGTAGATTGTAGAGTTTAAATAATCGCTAGTTTCTCAGAACTTCCGCAGTAACGCCACATAAAAAGGACAAACAATTTGAGAATTGCTTACTATATGTGTAATTTGCCTTTAAATATAATGCATCCTATGTGAGGCAATGGAAAGGCGTTGAAAAGCACATAAGCATATGGTAATGCAAGTCTCCATAGATAAATATTAGCACTGCGAAGCTTGGAAATAAAATCTCTGTATTATCCAGTATAAAAAAAACATTTGTCTTGGATTAATGCAAAGCAAACAAAAACTATAATAATCCGTAACAAGCCAACGAGCGGCTAAAACCTTGGCAAAGTCAAGGATGTATCGCAGCATCGAGGTATGCAGCGAACCCGAGGTTAATTCAAACGTGCCTGTCTGGAACGTACGTAGGAAAGAGCAAATGCAGCGCTTCGGCTTCGTGCTGGCATTCGTGGCGACTAGAAGCGGCCTGACGAGGTGGCAGGACCTGCCGGTCGAAGGCTTGGAATGGAGCGACTTGCCGGCGGACCACTTCAGCCGGCTGTACCCGCGTGCCATCGACGAGGTCTGGTACAAGCGAGCCGTCGAACAACACTACGTGCAGCCCGAGAGCTTCGTGTTCTCGGTGCCGATCGACGAGGACGGCGCCAGCAACTCGACCCTCGTCACCGTCAGCCAGGCCGTCTTTGTCGGTGAGTGCTGGCCGCGAGAAAGTCGAGAGAGAAAGAGAGACTGAGCGCAGCGTCACGCACCCTTTTCGACGCAGAGAGCCCAACGATGAAGGCGCCGGCGGCGGTGGCCGGCTTCCAGATGACCCACGCCTCGCTGCAGGCCTGGTTTCACAACATCACCACGTGCCAGGACAAGCACTGCGAGCGCCACTGCGGCCACGACGAGGTGGACTGCTTCCTGGTCGACAACCATGGCTACATCGTGGCCGCGGCCAAACCCGCGGACGCCTCGCTGGCCGGGCGCTTCCTGGGCGCGGTGCATTCCATCGTCATGGACCGGCTGATCCGCTCGGGCGTCTACGAGAAGGTCACCGTGTTCGACTACCAGGCCGTCTGCCAGAGGCCCACCGCGGAGACCAACCACGGCAGCGTTCTGCTCACCGTGAGTCTCGCCGTGAGGACCGCGTCGACCGCGCTCTAACGACGCCCCGCTCCGCTCCGCAGCCGTTCAAGGCCATCGCGCTGCTGGCCTCGTGGATGTACGGTCAGCTGGCCCTGACGCTCGCTCGCGCCGGCCTCTGGAGCCTCGAATACGCGGAAGCCCTGGCCTACCCCAACGACGAGATCGAGCTCGAGAGGCCCAGCGACGCGGACGAGCCGTCGGCCGAGGCCGAGGCCATGGCGGCCGACAACGGCAACAAGCCCGCCGCCGAGATCAAGGAGGACGCCATCTACGATCACTTCGTCAGGATCCAAAGATCCAAACTCGAGCCCTGCGACCAATACGTGAGCAAGCGAGCGAGTCCCGAGCGAGCTCGCCGTACCTGTCACGTCAACGGCCACTTGCCTGTTGCAGGTGGACCTGTATCTGCTGTCTGAGATACGAGCCAACAACTCGGTCTACGACAACCCGGAGGAGAACATCCAGGGCTGCGACTATCTCAAGTACATAGTGCAGCCGGTCAACGCGACCAATATGATTCTGCTGGTGATCGACAATGCGCAGTGCAAGGCGACGCTCCAGTTCGACACGCTGCCGCAGGAGGTCACCTATTCGATCAACTCCAGCACGCTGGCTTGTCAGAAGAGCCGAGCCAACTTGGAACGCGTGCGGCCTCAATCTTGCATTCGCTATCATCCCAAAGAGAGCGAGATCAAGGATCTCTGCGGTCGCGGCTCATCCAATTCGCGACTCGACTTTAGGCTGCTACTCGCCCTCGGTCTACTCGTGCATTTTGCCGGATCGAGCCAGCGTTGAAAACTCCCCCCCCCCCCCCCCCATCTCTCTCTATGATAGGGTGCGACGGATGCCGGCGTCCGAATATTATTACCGATCACTCCTGTACTTTCGCGTCTCTCTCTCTCTCTCTCTCTCTCTCTCTCTCTCTCTTTCTCTCTTTCTCTCTTACTCATTCTGTCTAAGTGTAAGTGTGCGAGCCAAAGTCAAACTCGACGACGACACTGACGGACATGCGAGAAAAATTAATGACTGTGTTGCGTTCGTACCGCGCTTCAGGCGTCAACCTCTCGAAGCACACACGCCACTCGTCGGCCCTGACCTTTTGCCAGCTCTTCATTTTTTTCATCGACCGAGTATCTTTCTTATCATGAATCTGTCACGCACACACATACACACACATACACACGCGCGCGCACACACAGACACACACACACAATGGCAAACGAATTTATCAGTAGCGAGTAAGTCGTAAATACGTACGTGTAAGGGCCGACGACGTGCGAACTGTTGGAGGCAAGCGCGACCAAAAGAGAATAGAGGAAAAACAACCACTGCTAATATTGCTAATTGACTACTACTGTTACATTCGTACATTCGCGTTTTGTACATTAAAAGAGAAAAAAACAAACAAAACAAACTATGAGATATGTAATTTACTATTTATAGAGACTATTAACTTATAATTGATTTTTGTAAATTACTGTAATGTATATATATTATATAAAGGTAATATAAGATAACAATTACCAAAGAGTGTAAGATTGTGTGCCTTTGGTCACGCGGTTAAAACCAGATCTTGTATGTTTTTCAAATAAATCATTGAACTCTTCTTCTATTACTTTCGTTATTCATGAATTTTTTACATTTCTAGCTATAACTCTATCTTATATGGTACAAAAGTTATTTACAATCTTAATTACAATTTTCAACATGTGGATGTGGCTCTTATTCAAGATCTTTTATAGCTTCCAATAACATCTTATGCTGTACAATTTGTTGAAGCTTTACATGCAGTTTTTCCAATGTCCCACCACCTTTCAGAAATCCTTCTAAATTGTGCATGGTGCAATTTGAAAGTCTGTGGTCTGTTATTCTGTCTTGAGGATAGTTGTAAGTTCTAATTTTTTCATGTCTCTCCCCGCTTCCCATTTGCTGTTTACGCATGCCTTTAGTACTTTTCAACTGTTTATCTAGCTTCTCCTGATATATTTTGGCCCTTAATTTTGCCATAGCCAATTCCTTGTTTTTCATTTGTGATCTATTTGTTTGACACTCTGCGACTGTTCCACTGGGTATATGAACTATTCTCACAGCAGAATTTGTAGTGTTTACGTGTTGTCCTCCAGCTCCACTTGCTCTCATAGTATCTATTCTCAAGTCTTTAGGATCTATTTGTATATCGATTTCACTGGGTTGAGGTAGAATTGCTACTGAAACAACACTTGTGTGGATTCTTCCAGATTTTTCGGTTGCAGGAACTCGTTGAACTCTGTGAACTCCACCTTCGTGTTTGAATTGATGAAAAGCATTTCTACCGGATATCATCAAACTGGCATGCCTAACTCCACCCTTTTCAGAGTCGTCTAAGTCAATAATATCATAACTGAAACCCAAGTGCCCAATATGTTTTATGTACATTTCCAAAAGATCTTTGACAAAAAGCATTGCTTCCTGTCCTCCAACACCTGCGGTAATTTCTAGAATAATATCATCATAATGTTCTTTTCCTAAATTTTCAAGTATTAATCTAGATAGCTCGTCATCAACTTTTTTTAACTGTAATTCGTAAGTTTCTCTTTCCTCTCTAGCAAGCGTTGCAAGCTCAGAATTTTGTGCTGCCAATGTGTATTGTTATTACTAAATATTTTTATACTCTTTCACATATTAAAGTATAATTTACTCACCTAGTTCTATTACACTTTTAATACTGTCTAGAAGGTTCATCCTTTCATTCAATAACTTCTTAATCGGATGATATTCTAGTAGTTTATCAAAATCAGTGCTATTTCCATTTTTGTAAGCTTTAATTAGATATTCGAAAAATTTTTTCACATCATTTTCTGGTAATATAGAGTAAGCAACTGACATACATCTGTAAATTTTTTTATTCATAAATGCAAATATTGATAAAAGAAATTTGTCACAACAGTGATGAAATCTGCATACCTGCTGACATTTTGAAAGAATATTCGAGGCCGCAATGTTAGGTTAGTAGTCCAATCAGTGTAACTGTTATTGCTTCGTTCGAGAATTCTCCAGTACTTGTAAAATCTCCGACTATGTAAAAAAACTGCTATAGTACCATTCCCTATTGTCATTATCACTTGAATCAACTTTCATTCATAAGGAAGAATAGTTTTTCACGCCGTTTGTGTGTGGTGTGTTGTGTGTGATACTGTCGTCTGCTACAATTTCCCACTGTGGAGGTGCTGCCAACTCATTAGCGTGGGACACTTCTAAAACAGAGTAACAGACAGTATACTCACATTGTGTCACACGCGCAACTGGCAGAGCAACACGAGCGGTCGCACGGACGTTTGCAAGAGCTTCATCTGTGAATATTCAAGTAAGTTTAAATATTCATTGCAAATAATAAAGGCAAAATCGTGGAAACGCTGTACGTGCACTGCAAACTATTTTCAGATTAGTCAGTTTCGCATGGTGATAATCGAAAGAAAGTACGCGTCGATAAAAAAATACGAGAGCGAACGGATCTCCGGCGTCTTTGTTTACTCCTTTCTGCTTTTATATTGCAAATATACTGATATAGCGCTCTCTGCTAACGTGTTTTTTTTGTTCATAAAAAAGAATGCGCGCAGGCGTCAGTTGCAATCTTCGCGTAAGGAATGCCTCATGGCTATATAACAAACAGGTGCATCGCCACGACGTATATTTTCATTCTCGAAATCTTTTAAGAAAGATATTGCAATAACGGCGCCAACTGTCGGTGCGTCTCTGTGCAGCAACGCTTCAAAGGTAACGCACACTTTCTCCCGTGAATTACATTGCATTTTCAATTGTGCACGCTTTTAACGCGCGCCAGTTTTTCGTCATAGTCACAGAGAGTCGTCGTCTCACACAAGCGCGCAAGCGTGTATAGTTGTAGTAGCAGCTCTCCACACAAAATTTCTTGGAGAGAGAGAGAGAAGGAGACTTGAGCATCGCATTCACAGAGTCGCACTGACCTTTTTAGAGTTGCGCGGTTATCGATTTTGCTCGCGAATTGTTATCGAGTCGATAGGTTTTTCATTAAACTATATTATTAAATATAAGAGAGTTGTGAGGGAATAGAGTATTGTTATCTCTGGCCTTTGAAAACTTCACGCAGGCGTTCCTTTATTGTGCGTGGTAAGTAAGTCGGTGTCTTGAAAAGAAAAGAAAACGATAGATTAGTATCGATGACATTTTGGCTTGAAAAGATAGCGTCTGTATCATTTTATTTTTGTTATTCCGTGGTGAATCAGCTTGTTGCATTTATTACCGTAATTCAATACTTATGGGAACTTGAAGACGTTGGTGTCGTAAATCGTAAACGGCAATTAAAAAATAATTTCATTCATATTAGAATTATAGGTTGTGTATCTACAAATAGATAGTTATTTATGGTAATTAATATGCCATTGTGTTTTGTTTTAATATCAAAACATCTGACAGGTATTCCGATAACGCAATTATCGATAAAAGCAACCAAATATTTATTAATATAATTATACGTAAATTATTTGTCTTCTTGTTTGCATAGCGTCGCCCAGCAAAGGCTTCCCAATCGTGGTGACGCACTTAGGGAAAGAGGGGAAAACGAAACTTCAAATTGAATGCGAAAGGATCGAATAAGGGATCAAAGTACAATGTTTCACGTGTTACATGAAGTACACGTATCTGGTCGCCTCTCGTACATGATGTATGCTACACACCGCGCGATGCGATGATTCACTATTATAAATTCTTTGCTCGTAACACTAAAAAAGCGTGCAAAAATCGCTTAAGCAAAAATTGGCAGGAAAAAGTTAGTGATATCTCGATCTGCGAATCGATCAGTGTCCGAAGTGCATCGGTCGAAGATACGGAATACGGAATAATTATGATCAAAACCGAAAGTACATCAAGTATATAATCGCGCAACGAAAAGTATAAGTATATATATCGTTAAAGAGAGACGGAGCGAGGTGGATGCTAAAGAGAGGGGCAAAGTGAGCTATGCGTATTGTATGTAGGTAAGCCAGCAGTAGGGATTGTCGGCTGCTAGACAGAGACGCCACCAGGCAGCGTGCGAGAGATCCGAAGAGTATAGGTGTATAGGCGAGCGTGCAGATGTAGCTTTTGAGGATCGTTAAAAATTCGGAAAAGAAAGCAAGTCGTCGCTGCATTTCGACTCGCTTCTTGCCTTGCCTCGCTAATGAACTGGCGCGCGTACGTGCGTAGCAGCGATATTTCATTCGAGCGCAACGAGGTAAAGCCTGCGTTCTATATTTTACCGCGCATCAAACGAAATGTATAATGTTTTACGCGTGTCATTTCCATTGAATTTTCGACGAGTCGCTGCTCTCTCCAGTGCAATGTTTGTGTTTGGTGTTTCAGGTCATTGCGAGCAGTCGATAGCTAAAAGCTTCGCCGAGAGTAAGAGCAAGACAAGCAGGATGGACGAAGAGAGCAGGACGCAGGAGAAGCCGCCTGTCGACGGTACGATTGTTTTATTGCTTTTTTTATTGCAAATGCGCTTCGAACGATTTGTCATTGCGCAATGCCGTTTAGCGTTCCGCGTGTCGATTATTGTTCGTTGCCAGCCGTTTGCCGTATAATGTTTTATATGACACGCGGTGCTCGAGCTCCAATAAAACGGGCCCGATGAACAAGTCTCACGTTGCGCGCTGTCATTTCTCTTCAGTAACCTCGTGTATTTGCACGTTCTATTGTGGGTCCTACAATTATTATTATTATTATTGTTCGTAGCTTTGTCGTTTATAGGAATGACGCTTACGCAGAACTTCGATTATCTAACGTCTATGTCGTCGAGATACGACGTGATTTTTCTTTTGAATTTGATTGTGTTTGTCCGAGATAAGAATTATCGATTTTTTTAATATTCGTTTCGATTTCCAATATAAGCATAAACAAATTTGAAAAATATAAGTATTCAAATACATAAAATCTTTCAAGTTTTCCTTTCATTGAGAATAATTTTCAAATATACATTGATGATTTGCACAAATTATATTTAAATAAATAATACCAAATAACAATTACATCTTGATAAATTGAATATTATTACTGAAAACATTTCTCTCCCATACTGCCTATACTTTATTGATTTACATATGGACTCAGTATATCTGATTTATGCAAATGAACACATTGATTGTTCCATTTTCACTTACGTAATGTGTAGAAATGTCTTGACATCTAATAAATTTCTATGCAAATAATGACAGTTGCCATCTATGACAGTGAAGCATACTAAGTAATTATTAATTTTAGATGGCTTCTTCTGGCAAGACTATCTTGATGCATCAAACACAATGGAAGTACCACAGATAATGTTTCAACACGTAGAAGAAACTTTGCAGAGTGGCATTGAGATTGGAATGTCTTTGGAAGTTCCAGTTAAAAAAGGCAAGGATGAAGAAGAACCTATATATTGGGTCGCTACCATTGCTATGGCTTGCGGTCCCCTGTTAAGATTACGTTATTTTGGTGGGGATGATAGAGCATTGGAATTTTGGTTCAATTTGACAAAAGAAGCTGCTCATGAATTGGGCTGGTCTGTTAAAAATGACAAAAGACTGGAACCACCAGATGTTGTGCTTGTGAGATCCCCAGACTGTTCAGAAAAGTTACAAGAGTTTCTAACTACATCAAAATCCATTCCTATTGAAATGTTGACTGGGGTAAATAAAAGACATTGTTCTTAAGTTTCTCAAATGATTTATATTCATTGGTAATAAATAAGTTTGTTTAATTTTAGGATGGTCTTAGCATAATAGATAGAATTAAAACAGGGATGAAAGTGGAAGTTAGTGATGTTCGACACCCTTACAAATTATGGGTAGCTACAGTAAGTCAAATGTTAACTCAAGTAGTTGCAAAATAAAATTCAACAACTATGGTAACATATTTTTAATTTTAGATTAAAGAAAATGTAGGAGGCAGACTTTTACTACGATATGACACTCCAGGTTCATCGTCTAAAGAATTTTGGATGTTTTGTACTTCTGAACATTTACACCAGTATGGCTTTGCATCAAAGGCTGGAGAATCTGACTCCAATTGGTTTTTAGAACCACCTAGTTCAATTGTAGATATACATACTTACGAAGAATGGAAGGAATTAACAGAGAATGGTCCAAAGGATCTTCAAGTACCTGAGAATTTATTCAATAATAGCATTGATCATGGACCACATGATTTCAAACTAGGAATGAAATTAGAAGCAATTTCTCCTTTCGACAGGACAAAGTTCTGTCCAGCAACTGTAGTTAAAGTATTTGATAGTTCTTACTTTTTAATTCAAATTGATGTATATAACAAAGATTCCGTAGAAAATCTTGAAGAATATACATATACTGGTAGCGAGAAAAACACATGGCTCTGCACTGCAGAACATCCCTATATTTTTCCTATTGGTTGGGCTAAGAAAAACAATATTAGGTATTTATATAATTATAAAACACCACTGGTATACATTAATACCAAAATATAAATAACGCTTATCTTTTCACAGCTTGACACCTCCTCAGAACTGGACATCTGATTCAAAAGAATTTCATTGGGAAGAGTACTTAAAGGCTACTAATGCAGTAGCTGCAGAGGAAAATTTGTTCAATCCTAGAGAAAGTGCTAGTGATGCAGGATTTGAATGTGGAACAAGACTGGAAGCCGTAGATCCTCAAAATGAAAATAACATTTGTGCAGCTAGTATAACAAAAATTATTGAAGATCTACTATGGATAAAATTAGATAACTACAGTAATAGGACTGAACACATAGTACATATGCATTCCTTACAAATTTTCCCAGTGGGATGGTGTGAATCCAATCATTACCCACTGCAACCACCTACAGATTACGTCGAAATGTGCAAAAAAATACAAGTCAATGAAGTGATGGCAAAGAAGAGTAATGTGATAGATATTCCACTATCAGGGCCTCGTTCATCTATGTGGTGTCCAAAGATTTACTTTAACTATCGGTGCTTCACGGGGCCAATGATTTCAAAAGGCAAACTAGCAACACTTCCCAAAGCTGTTGGTCCTGGACCTGTAATTTTAGTTATGAAGGAAGTCTTATCAATGATTGTGTCAGTTGGATACAGAAGTGCAAGAATCCTAAAAGTGTTACAGTGCGATACCAAACCAGAACCTGGCTATAATTTAGAAGTATTAAAAGCAAAGCACAAAAACAATACTTACAGAGCAAATGTAGCAATTATCACGTCAGGTGATATGGTAACTGAATTTTGCAAGAGCATCTGCAAGAAACTGATGGTTTGCCCCAATTTATTTGGTCCTCTTCAGGTGCCGGAAAGTGAATGTCCAGATAAATGTCATAAAACATCAAAAAATAAATTTATTAGTAAGTATTTCAGGATTAATCAAAGTATAATTTATTTTCAATAGATACAGTATTAATTTGTTAATTCTTTTCGTAGCAACGACAGTTGGAACTGGCAAAAGAGGTAAACCCAAGGGCTACACAAGCATAATGGTCCAGAAACCTAGGCCTTGGGGAAAGCGTAAAAGAAGGAGAGGTAGATGGGCCAACAGAGACAAAGAACAAACAGAAGGGTTAGAGCAGGAAGAAGAAATGTCTTATTTATCTATGGATCTTGCAAAACACGTGTCTAACGCTTTGAATGATATATGCATTGAAGATCAACAACAACTTTCCGAAATCGACGTAATGATTCAAAAAGGATTGGAGAAAACTGATAAATACGATGATATTAAGCAGGAATTTCCATCAAGCAATGCATCGGAAGACTCTAGAAGTAGTTTTAATGACAAAAAAAGCAAAGATAGCAATATGGATAGCCCAGGAAGCTCGTCGGGCAGCAAATTGAAGTGCAGTCAAAACAGCACCTCAACGAGATCTAATAAGCGAGAACGAGACTGGGAAACGAGCATTGAGTCTGACGGGTCGGACGCTGAAGCCGAATACGTTGAGTTGCAAAAGAAACAACGACGGCCTAAAACACGAAAACTAGTATCAAATCCATTGTTTTGGACGGTCGACGATGTTTTCGAGTATCTGCGAAAGACGCCTGATTGTAAAGAGCTGGCCTACCGAGTTCGTCAAGAGGTACGATTTTTCAAAAATAAATTAAGCTCGCGCTAGTATTCTTTCATATGTGATGAATTTACATTTTGTTTTTTTGTTTATTTTTATAGGAAATCGATGGCTTGGCATTTTTACTGTTGAATCTTCCATCTCTCACGGACCACATGAAATTACGAATGAGTTCCGCGATGAAATTGTGTCGTCATGTAGAACAAGTCAAAGTAACGTTCTTCCTGAAGCATATAAACGAGACCGAACCAGAGCAATATCAAGTAATGTAAACCGTGTATCATATCCCGACGAAAGAGAAATCGAGAACAAATTATGCGTTGTATGATATTAAATAATAGTGTTTACGATAGTTTTTGTTTAGTTTGTAAGCAACGAAAAATCGTCTGTACAAATTCTCATACATATTTACATTGCGTATAATGTAATTATCATGTTATATAAGAAATCAAATTGATTATTACCACGATATATTTACTCTTTTAGTTCAATTTCATCGTCACTGAATCATATAATTATGCACTTGACGCACGATGTAGTAGTTATGAGTTTAGCAAAGTATTACTCTTTATTTTTATCTTCTTTTTTTTAAAATAAGTATTGTACAAAGTTATTTATACGAGAATATTATTTAAAAAAAAAAACACTGTTAAACTTTATCCGCAACATCAATCAGTTCTTTTACCCGCTTACGTCAAAACTGAAAATATTAAACGGTAAGGGAGCTAGCTCATTTGTAAGCCACAGTTGTTTTGCTTATCTCGTTGCAGTTAGCTTCTTGACAGTCCCGTTAGCAGTTGAAACTATTGCACATTATTTTTCCAATGCATCGATTACCATTCCTCGTCGAATCGCCGATCCACGGTTGAAAAAGCGCATGCAAAAGTTAATTTAAAAGTAATCCAACCCGAGAAAAAACAAAAAAATCCATCGTAATTGTATATCTCTCTGTCTCCCAATCAAGACTTCCCTCTTGATTTCGCAAATAAATAGCCATAGTTTATTCAGACTCCGCGTAGCTCGTTACTTTTAATTGAAATTTCAGTCCTCCCTCAGACTAACAAGCTAATGTCCACGGAATGCCTATGAAATTGTAACGGTTTATATATCCATGTGTTTATAATGAAAATCCGCACGCTAAAATATATAAAATCATGCAGATCGATGATCCCGCAATAGTTCTCAACGCTTGCCTGCGCATTTATCAAAGAAGAGCCGAAGTCGGCTGTGATTTCCTGAAAGCTTGCCAAATCGTTCGAAGGGTATATAGAGCTTTCGCTATCTGCGGTGCAAAATCAGTTGCAGACTACGTTTTAGGTAAGTAGGATGTCGTCTCTCAGACCGAAATAAGACGCGTCTACGGCGCGAGAAATCCGATCTCTCTTTCTCTCTTTCTCTCTTTCTCTCTCTCTCTCTCTCTCTTTCTCTTTCTCTCCGCCGTGCTTTCCCGTTTGTTAATATCAGTAAAGGAAAAGAGGTGATGTAAACGAAACGGTATGCTCGAGCTTCAATTTGGCGAGGATAGACACTCGAGCAAGAGATAATAACGAGCGCAACACCTGAACCCGAGATAACTGTCGCGTCAATTTCAAAGCAATTCAGACTTGTCCTAGTCTCATATTTTTCCTCGGCGTTAAACGATCGCACGACTGTCAAACGTGCGCGCACGCGCTGTCACACACACACACACACACACACACACACACACACACACAGCTGAGCTTACGTGTGCGTATGGCGAATGCACGCGAGAGTGGGGTAGGTCGGCTGGCAATGCTTGCATACTTGAACCGAACGTGCCACTCCATCCGATAAGCGGTACTTGCACGCGCGCGCGCTCTCACTCTCTCTCTTTCTCTCTCTCGCTCTCTCCTGCTAACGGTTACCCGCTCGAACTTTGACTCGGCCTTTAATTAAATTCCCTCTGCCTTATGTAATCTAGCTCGTATGAAAATCCAAAGTGATTGTAGTACACGCGAGGCGATGTCGTTGGCCTCCCGCGCGCTCAACTAAGCGTTTCATCGTCGCCCGGTCAATCCAGTTGTCTCGCTCTACCGCGTGGCTAGTCGACAGCGAGCGAGAGAGACACAATCGATCGGTTGCATATTGCATTGCCCTGCTGACTTCCAACGGTCTTTCCCGAACACAGGCCCGAACAACAGGCCAAGCTTTGCGTTCATGACTATGACTTGTCGATGCTGCGCGTTAGATAAAACCAACTCGATGCGGGATTTACAAAAGCGCGCGGCCCCTAGTTATGCTGCGCGATCGCATTGTATATGCGTCTCGAAGGGAAACTGATCGTAGCTGCATTATATACCAACGGCGAGAATATATTGCGCGAGCGCGCAACAATCGACGCTGCAAATTATCTCATGGCTGCGCGTGCATAATATTTGCAGAGTTGCCGCATGACGTGTTTACCAAGTGTAACTCGAACGCCGCTACTTCTCATTCAAGAGCCGAGGGCGATGCACGCACTCGAGCCAATTACGATTGTCGGGACGAAGGAACGTGTTGGTTTATTGTTTTGTTCGCAAGCTCGCGCATTCGCCGAAATAGCGTTGCGCGCAGCTACGTCGCAAGCTTCGCACGTCGAATCGATACACGAGAGAGAAGGATCGCTCGGCGGAAAAGTTATCGCGCGGCGCGGATCGAAGCAGAGCGTGAATCAGCGAACGACAGCCGTTGGACGAAGGCAAGAGAAAAGTCAGCCTGTCGCTCGGCGAAAGCTCTCCTGAGGTTGAATCGATACTCATCCGCCGGCGGCGCGTCCCCTCTGAGTCATCCTCCCACGCGACACACCACACACGTCTGATCGCGTCTGTGTGGCTCGCAAGCGCAAAAGCCTCCCACGCTCGTCACCAGCGACGGAGCGTGGAAATTCGTACTTGGCGCGCTGAAGTGTCGCCCCACCGTCGCTGCGCGCGCACTCGCGGCAGCTCCACGCCCGAGAGAGCGCACAAGCGGCAAAAGGTGAATAACGGTGAGTCGGGCGCGGGCAGAGCCGCGCTATAGTTCCGTAGCCTCGCGAGAACAGAGCGAGTCCTGCGACTCGACAAGTGTGTGGTGTGTGTGTGCGCGAGTGTTGTGGAAAAAAAATTTGTTCAAAGGCGCGACCAGGATGGCTTGGTGACGGCTCATCCTCCTTATCCGGCAGGATTTACGAATCCACGAACGGTAAGTCCACGACTCACGAGTGCGCGCGATTTCACTAGTGTGCACTTTTGGGTTCAATGAGCGTCTCTCTCTCTCTCTCTCACTCTCTCTCTCTCTTTCTCTCTCTCTCTCTCTCTCTCTTTCGCCAGCGATCGATGGGTGGCACAGGTAAAGCGTGATACGTACGAGAGGTGATACGTTTACGGGTGTTGGCCGCGCAGCGCGCACACGCTTGCTGGCTACTCTCATTCTCTCCCCCCCCCCCCCCCCTCTCCTCTCTTTTTTTCTGATCATTGTTTGTGAGAGAGACGCTCTTCTTGGTACACCTAGAGGGCTCGTAGGTAATGATAAAAATTAAGGGTTTCCTACGTGTGCAATTCCCATTTATGACCGCAGTCTCTATTTTCGTGCGTAATAATGTCGTCGCAAATTCTCTTTTTTTTTATATTCGTCGTCGTGAAGGCCGCCCGCTTAACGATGAGGTCATCCAAACTAGTTTGGTCGATACTGAAAATTAGGTAAATAAAAAAAAAACAAGATTCCATTCCGTACCGGCTTCGATCAACGAGTGTCGTTCTGCCTTGACGTGATATTGTTTACCTGTTTCAAGTAGGGTTATTGGTTCCAGATGTATAATTGTGCATGCAAGTCTTGTGCAATTGCCGTACGCACTGGTATTTTGTGTCACCCCATACGTACATTGCGCAACGCTGAAAATTATCTTTTATTTCAATACACAAATGGTCAGTCAATGTTTTTATTCTGGAAATACTTTATCTCTTCGCGCTCTCTTGCTTTCTCTCCCTGTGACGGCCACTATATATGTCAGATTGATCGGGAGCTGCGATGCCATTTGAAAACAGTATTTTAGAAGATGACAAGTGTACTTCAATTATTAAAGAGCTTTCGAGAGAAAATGGTCTCGGACTTGGTAGAGAAAATGAGTAATAATTGAAAACTAAGGCAATGGCTTTTCTTAGAATTTTCTTTATTAATTGTTAAAAAATGATTAGTTCAATTTTTTTATCTTCTTTTTACAAGGGTAATTTTACACGAGATTAATTGAGTGGAATGTGTTTTTTGAGAATATAAAACAACATAAACTATACAATGAGACACCCCAATTAATAACTGTACAATAAGATGATTGTTTTGGAATTCATTAATCATGAATGATGACATAGGTCTAGCTCTCAAATACCTGTTAGAGTTTGGGAGATAAATTTCGTTGACCTTGATAAGTCAATTGATAAGTCTTGCGATGTGCTATAGTATCTAGCAGAGCTACACATAGTCACATATAGCAGCGATCAAAGCCCCTTTGAGTAGTGACTACAGCTGCAGTAATCAAGCTTGATAAATATAGGAGTCAAGCTTTTACAGTGGATACACTCCAAGGCAAGTTTCAATTGTTTGCTTAATTTGAATTTTTTAGGTAGAGAGTGAAACAGAACCAGCAAAAGCAGTACAAGATTAGCCAGCAAATATGAGGCTCACAATATGTATCGTGGCAACGCTTGTGCTGCACGTCGCAGCCTTAAGTGAGTATCACTGTTATTGAAATATTATTCCATCTTGATTGATTCCAAATTGGCTTCTTTCAATCTGCAAATTTTGACATGATTTTTTATTGTGCACACTTGAGAAAGAGGAATGAAGATTGATTGCCTGGTGATTGCTAGAAGCCTACGACAATCTAAAGTTCACTATACCTTTGCCTTACTTCCTCTCTCTACAATGCTACAACTTTTCCATCCGCTAGAATTTCAAATTACTCTAGAATGCTGCTTTTAGGGGGCTATTAATTTGAAAAAAATTTACTTGTAGCACAATCTCCGCCGAGGATTTCAAAGCAACCACCTACAGACGAACTTTTGTTTCAAGTGGCTCAGGTCTTTATTAATGAAAATGAGAAGCCGTTTCTCATTGAGTGTGAGGCAGAAGGCGAGCCGGCACCTACGTAAGTGTTATACATCGTTATCTCTCTCGCTCTCGTTCTTTTTTTATGAGCTCTCGTAAACGAACGGATAATCTCATTTGTAAGAAAAAAGCTGCCACGCGGTATTTGTAATTGAATAATACAGTAGCCCGTCATACAAGATATTGCAGCAATGGTTTGGGATTGAAATTGCGTGCATCGATCCATCTTAGCCAAAAGTCATTCATCCGTGCGAGAGGGACTCGGCTTTACTTCTGTACTCTCTCACTCTCCCACTGGGTTGTGTCCGGCGTGTGCATTACAAGCGAAGCCCAGAGTTGCTGCTCTTAATTACTCGGATGACCTCATAGCCGCTCGCTCGCGCTACCGCCGGCAGTTTAAACTGACTATACGACGACATGCGCGCGCGCTCGCATACGTGTACCGCGTGCGCTGCACTTGCTCAATGGGAGTGGTCATTTCTCGCCGCTCGCTCGTAACGTCTCTTTAGCTGACTTCTCCTCACTCGCTGCTGGACGCTCTGGTGAAATTGAAACCTTTGCATCGTTCCGATTGTCGGCCGGAGCGCACGCCGTCGATCGCTCATCCGAATCATCGTTCGTCGATCGGCCAGCTGTTTGGATACTCAATTAAATATACGTTCCAATGGCAAATGCAAATGCTTTCGCGCTCTTTCCGAATCGATCTCGGTAATTGTCGTTCGTAGAACACCGGCCGCGCCGCCCCATTATTCAAATGAGGCGCACAGGCACTACGCTTCTCTCCGTGCCTCGGCCGTGACAAAGCAACGTCGCAACGTAAATGTATCCCTGTACGTTTGATTCCCACATAAAATTTACATGCATTCCTGCAAACTAGAGCGCTAGCCGTAGCGTGCTTCTGTTTTCGTAGTACGTTTCCCGGGAACGGCAAAGATTTCCACTTTGAACTCGCGACAGGCGCAATTTCCCCGCAGCGGAAACGATTAACGCGCTCTCTACTCGCACGTTGCAGATACGACTGGATAAAGAACGGCAAAGAGTTCAAATGGCAGGCCTACGACGATCGCATATCGCAGCAGCCGGGCCGAGGCACGCTGGTGATCTCGAAGCCACGAGACGAGGATCTTGGACAATATCAGTGCTTCGCGAAGAACGAGTGGGGCGTCGCAACCTCCAACTCGGTCTTCGTGCGCAAAGCCGAGCTGAACTCGTTCAAGGACCAGCCACCGGAAACGATGAGAGTGAACGAGGGCGACCCCTACAAGCTCACCTGCCAGCCGCCCGACGGCTGGCCGAAACCCAATGTCTACTGGCTGATCCAGGACATGAACGGCGGAATCAAGTCCATCAACAACTCGCGCATGACCCTGGATCCCGAGGGCAACTTGTGGTTCAGCAACGTCACCAAGTGGGACGCGTCCGACAATTACTATTACGCCTGTGCCGCCACGTCGCTGTTCAGAAACGAGTACAAAGTCGGCAACCGCGTGATCCTCGAGGTGGCCACGACCGGCGCGATCGCCAGTTCTAACAAGCGCGAGCCCGTCAAGCAATACGTCAGCAGGAAGAACGAGGTCGCCTTGCGCGGCAAGAAGATCGAGCTGTTTTGCATCTACGGTGGCACTCCGCTGCCGCTCACCGTTTGGAGTAAAAACGGACAGCGGATACGGCCTAGCGACCGGGTGACCGAGGGCAACTACGGCAAGTCTCTGGTCATCAAACACGTCAATTTCGATGACAAGGGCGTCTACACGTGCGACGTGTCCAACGGCGTTGGATCTGCCCAATCGTACTCGATCAATCTAGAAGTTTTGTCCGTGCCGTATTTCACGGTCGAGCCAGAGATCGTCAACGCCGCCGAAGGCGAGACTGCCGAGTTTAGATGCGAGGCCAGTGGTGTGCCGGAACCCGAAATCAAGTGGATCCACAACGGCAAACCGATATCCGAGAGTCCACCCAATGAGAACAGATACACGAAAGCTGGCAGAATTATACTCAAGAATTTGAGGAAGCAAGATACCGGCAATTATGGTTGCAACGCCACCAATTCCCTCGGCTATGTCTACAAAGACGTGTACGTGAACGTGCTGGCTCTGCCGCCGGAAATTCTTCAACCGCCAATGGACGAGTCGACTGTCGATGGTAAAACGATTAAGATGACCTGCCGGGTATTTGGTGCACCAAAGCCAGCCGTCAAGTGGATAAGGAATGGCCAGGAATTGACCGGTGGACGTTACAGAACATTGGAGACTGGTGATCTGCAGATTCAAGACGTAACGTTCTCCGATGCTGGCGAGTACAGCTGTTACGCGACAAATAACCTCGGTAATGCAAATGCAACCGGTCATTTAGCGGTTAAAGAACACACGAAAATCACCGATGTGCCCGAAGATTATGAGGTGGCTGCTGGCGATACCGCAACGTTCAGGTGAGTTGTAGCTTTATTTGGCTGATTCAAACTTTGACGTATGAATTTTTACTAATCTTAACTGGCGTCATTTAGATGTAACGCTGTAACGGACTCAACATTGCCACTGCGAATTGACTGGTTGAGTAAAGGCGAGCCAATAGATTTCGAATCTGAACCGCGTTTCATTCTGAGTACCGACAACTCGCTAATGATAACCAAGACCACTGAGTTGGATTCCGGTACGTACACCTGTGTCGCCAGTACGGACCTGGATGAAGCTAGAGCTCAAGCCACCCTGATAGTACAAGACGTGCCGAATCCACCGACACTCCTCGGCGTGACGTGTGGTTCCAACGATGCTCACGTTACCTGGATTCCTACAAGCGACAGTCGTTCGGCCATCCTACGTTTCTCCATCCAATATAACACATCTTTTACGCCAGATACCTGGGAAATAGCCAAAGATCACGTTCCTGCCACCGATCAAAGTTACACTATTGGATTGACTCCGTGGGCTAACTACACATTCCGTGTAATTGCCTGGAATAAGATTGGACCGTCCCAACCGTCATCACACAGTACCGTATGTACAACCCTACCTGACGTGCCTTACAAGAATCCTGACAACGTCGAGGGCAAGGGTGACGATCCGCAAAATCTCGTCATTAAATGGACTGTTATGCCGCAAATCGAGCACAACGCGCCTAAGTTTATGTACCGAGTTTACTACAAGCGCGATATTCCCGGAGAAAAGTGGACTATCGAGGATATACACAATTGGAGAACGAATTACCTTAAAGTTAACAACCAACCCACCTACCAACGATACAAAATCAAGGTTGGCGCGATCAACGAAAGAGGAGAGTGTAGAGAACCGCCGCAAGAGATTATTGGCTACTCTGGGGAAGATGGTAACATGAATTTATTTTACTGAAGCAAATCGAATATATTTCGAAGTACTGTGTTATGAGTATTGCATGGCTTTTCTCCATTTCAGTGCCAAAGCAAGCTCCAGGTAACTTTACTCTTGTCGAGGTGAGATCTAGTACGACAGCTTTGTTATCGTGGACAAAGGTTCCCGACGAAACAGTGAAAGGTGAATTACGTGGCTATAAAATTGAAACTTGGACCGACAGAGATGGCGAGGAAGCTTTGCGGGAATATAATGTGGAAGGAGCCGTCAAGACTTACGCTTTGGTCAATAAATTTGTTCCTTACAGCAAAAATTACGTCAGAATTAAGGCTTACAATGGACGGTAAATGGAATTAGCATTCATTTACGTGAAAATATTTACATGTATAATTGCAACTTACTAATAGAATTGTTAATTTCAGATTCAATGGGCCACCTTCGGAAGTAATTAGTTTCGATACGCCGGAAGGAGTGCCAGGAACTGTAATGGGTATGGAAGCATACCCAGTCGGCTCCACAGCAATGATGTTACATTGGAACAAACCTGTCGAGATCAATGGTATTTTGACAGGTTACAAAATTACTTTTCAAAAGGTGAACGGATCAAAAATCGAACCAGAAATGGAAAGACATCCGCAAATCCGTGATCCAGAAGCTACTTCTGCCAAACTACCAGGTCTCAATCCGCAAACAAAGTATCGCATCATCATTCGTGCTACCACGGGCGCTGGAGAAGGACAAGCGTAAGCTGAGATATATACACGTTTAGATTGCGTGTATTGAATCGAAAGAGAAATAACTAATTATAATGAAATACGAAACAGTTATTTTGTGGAGAAAATGACGCCAGCATCGAGACCTCCAGACAAGCCAACCTTCACCTATTATGCCATTCCTAAAGAGAGTGGACTAACGAATTTGAGAATCGTCTGGCAAGTTAAATCGGATGGTTTTCCAGGAAGTCACTTTTTCGCCAAGTATCGATTGGTAGGTGAAACGATCAACACGGAGACGGACCGCGAGAAAGAGACAAACGAAATTGAAATTCGCGCGCTCGACAGCGGGCGCACCTATATTGTTTCTCTCGTCGCGGAGGATGGAGAATACTACACTGAAAGTGATCCGCAGACCGTTGACTTAGTTTACAACGAGGGACCCATCATACAAGCACAAGAGAACGTTGCTAGTACTGGCTGGTTCATCGGTGAGTCATGCGAATCTTCATTTTTTTCGCCATACACGATAACTTGAACAACGTCCAATTGCGTGCAGGAATGATGCTGGCGATTGCGTTCTTGCTGTTTATTCTTGTTATTGTGTGCGTCATCAAACGCAATCGAGGCGGCAAGTATGCCGTACACGAAAGAGAATTAGCTGCTGGCCGCGCTGACTATCCCGAGGAAGGTTTCCACGAGTATTCGCAACCGTTGGACGGCAAATCCGCAGGTGGCAGAACATCGATGGCCTCTTCGTCTCATCAGGACGGCAAACACCCCGAGTCTGACACCGACTCGATGGTCGAATTTGTCGAGGGCGACACGGGTATGAGGCAGTTTGCATTTTTTTTGCGTGCCAATTTAGTCAGCCCCATTTAGTCAGTTTTACAGCCATTATAAACGTGTTATGTTTGCCATTCACGATACATGAGCTTGATGTGAGAATGCCACGAGTCACTCGCTCGATTTATTTACATATTTATTTTGATCTTGACTAGTTTTGTAATAATTCCTTGACTTGAAAATGCCCTAATTTCATCAGTCCTGCCCATTTGGTTTTGTTTTTCTTTTTTTTTTTGTTGCTTGATTTATCACCTGAAAGGTATGAACGAGGATGGCTCGTTCATTGGCCAGTACGGACGACATAGGAAGCATCCTCCGAAATCTCAAGCGTTTGCCACGCTTGTCTAAGGTAAGTCTCACTTCACACCATACATCGCTCACTGTTACTCGCAAACTCAATATTTTTGTTGACTATTGTTAAGTGTCTACTTACTTCTAATTTCGCACACTTTTTCACCAAAGTTCACATCTAATGATCATTCCGGTTTTTAAAGAAAAAACAGAATTCTTTCATAAAACATACAATTTTGCGAATGTTCGAGTCCTTCGAGCTACTTCAACGATCATAAGTATATTTCAAGAATTTTTGAGCTGTTTTTAGTGTTTTTGTTTTAGTTGGAAAGAAAAACCGTCTTCTTTTTATTTTTTTTTAACTTTTGAATGAATGACTTGTTCCGATTTTTTCTTCTATTGGAAATTTTATTACCCATCCGAAGTACGCAAGCAATATCTGAATGTTAAAATTTATCTTAGGACGTTTCACGGAAGACGGATCATTCATTGGTCAATACGGGCCGAAGGGCAGACCGATGGGAGAGATTCCACCGCCTCTTCTAATGGGCACTTCGGCTACTTACGTGTAATCAACCGACCTCCAGAGAAACAAGAACAGCCCTCGCGAGTGCCCACATCCAAATGGCGCAGACTATGCAGCTTTCGCTGGGCGCAACATACATACATACACATACACACACACGCACACACACACACAGACACACACGCGCACGTCTAATCTTTAATTACTGACTGAGAAAAACAAAATTATCTATTATTGATGCACTGTAGTAATTAATCGTGATCACAGGGCCTCTAAACGTTGCTTTTTGTACGTGAAATGCGCTTTAGATGGAAGAAATCAAAAGAGGAGAACGATCTTTTTGTTCTTAAGCGTTAAACTTCCTTCTTAATATTTTTTACTACGATTATTTTTACAGAATGTTTTGTAACAAAAGCCTTCTCCCCGCCTCACTTTCATTTACTTTTCAAACGACAATGATAGTTGAAACATAGTGCTCAGCGATTACTTGATATATCAAAGAGCAAATCCAGAATATATAGACAAAATATATTATAGAAATTTATATATTCCATTTCTTTTTTTCGAGAGGCGAGATGAATCCTTGCGGTCATGAAAGTCATTATCGTACCGGGGCAGCTATATGTAAATTGTAATTTATGATAATTCTACGTAGCAATGTTGTTATTTGCTAAGCATTGCGTTCCGCGTGAATAACGACCGCTCTCTTATATTTCTATTTAACAGAACTACGCGCATCTGCGTTCGATATCGCAATCTGCGTAGGAAAAAAAACACGACAGTTTTCTAACGTTTTTAATCATTGTTTATAGTACTTTGTCGATTTTGACAATTGATAACTTGGATTTTGATTTTTATTCGTTTGCCTTTTAGTTTCACTTGTTTGTTTCCGTCGTGCTCCTCAATTTTGAATCTGTTTTTAATAATAAAAGAAAGAAATATCTTGTTATATATATTATATAAATATATATGTAAGCTAACTTCCCTTCGTTGGAAACTTCCAGTATTTTTCATACAAGTGATTAGAGATGGATTTTTAATCATTATTTTTAAATGAGACGCGTTTTTTAATCTCTTGCTCTTATTTTAATTATTTCGAACGTCCGTTTGGTTACTGTTTTCTTCTCGATAACGAGTCTTACTTCTTTTCACGCGGAATATCCTTCTACATTTCACAGTACAAAAACAAATAGAGATGAAAAGAATAATGTTAAATAGCAAAGATATCAATTATCTCCCACATTGAGATAATAGTATGAAACATATGTATAGAGAAAGTATATGAAGCTGAAAAAAGAAGGAACGAGATCAATATAAAGCCATCGACTTAGCAAAGACGCTTGAAAAATCAGAAAACTAACATGCCGAGCAAACCCTTTCCTATTTACACTGTTAAATCAAAGGTGACAAGCGAATCGATCGCCGAATGTGTCGGAACAGCTATTTTTCTCTCTAGGTTTAGTTTACGAATCTCTAAAATGGAACTTTTTGATATTATTTACAAATGAAAAAGAAAATGTTTAGTTTGTAGGTTTGATTGATCATGTGATTTATCAAGTAGCGAAATCTTGCAAACATAACAAATTAATTTTAGTGTGCTCTAGATTAAGTGTAAGGTACAAAATTATTTATTATTCGAAAGTTGACGTAAGAATCATGAAATTGATTTTTTACAAGCTTCGGCGATCGACTCTCAGCGCATCCTCGACGAATCTACGATGTGTATTGCAATTATACATAATCATTTGCCGACGTAATTGTAAGATCGTAATCATCGCGCGCATTTTCTCAAATGTACATTGTACTCCCTTGTTAGTATTAAGAAACGAATACATTGTTTCACGCTCGAGGCTCGATTACTTCGACTTTTTGTTTACATTATTGGAGAAGGAGCGATGTAGTCGAGTGCACTCGTGCGTAAGACGATAATTTTTTTACGATGTAATAACAGAAACTACAGAAACATAAAACTATTTCAAAAGGCGGACTCGATTTTTTTTTGTTATCGTGGCCGCTGTCGCTGTCCGTTGGAAGTCATTCACCGACAACTCACCCACGTACATGTATGACTGTATTGTAATTATCTTCGAGTTTAACATGCAAATGCACATGAAGAAAACGAGCCAAGCGATGAATAATCTATCAAGTTTTTTTATTGCGACGTTTGTACCTACCACCCAAATGCGTTCTAACGATTTTATTGTTAGTTTTAACTGCGAACGCGTATTAAGTTTTTTGTAATACCTCTCTCTTTAGTTCCCCGATTTTTGTAAGATTTACTCGTCGTTTTAAGTTGTGCGAATATTGTAATGGCCATCCCTTTTCACTGCCCCGCTAAAAAGAAAAAAATCGGATGGAAGTTTTTTTGTATATTAGAAGGTTCAAAGACCGGTAGATACAGCCAGTCGATTGAGAGCGTGTTCATTGAAAAAATTTTAACTGGCATAAAGCTACCCTCTGTTCATAATTAGCTTGAGATGTATAAATATAAGTATTTGAGCCTGGATCTACTGTGGCCTTTGAACATCTATCAGATTTCTTTTCTTTCATTGGAGATTGAGATAATGATAAAAGAAAATCTTTTGTTCTTAAATCACATTGTCGTATTGTTGTGTAACATCTGCATTCACTCTCACGTCAATAAAGAGGAGTTGGAAATATCTGGTATTTTCTTTTGTTACTCAACAATTTAAGTAGTCAAATATGTATTATGTCAGCCCTCAATGCAATTTTTACAATCGACATGCACTGCAACGATAGTAGACAATATAGCTTTGCCGACTGCCGAATTTTCAGATATTATGCAATTCACTCTTTATGATTTGCAAGATTACGACTTGCTCGCAAAAACAATTGAGGGACGAAAAATATTTATTCAGATTTAGTCAGTGCATGAGAGTTTGGGGGGAGTGGTAGAAAAAAATGAAATCAATAGAAGACGAAAAGACCCCCCGTGGTTTGGAGGATCAGTAGCAGCACTCGAAGCGGGTCCCATGAAAAAGAGAAGAAGCACGCACAGGGATCGGAGGTCGCGATAACGTAATTAAGCACGCGGGGTACAGGTTTTCTGCCAGCGGCACTTGTTGATATCCGCCGCGTCCGCGGGCGCACGTGAACAAGCAGAAAGGGAAGCGACGACACGCGAGCTGCTGCGACGCGTTCGAAAAGGGGCTTACGTAAAGAGCTTTGGCTCTCGAATGACGCCGCTACGGCGCCCGACTAGTCAAAGGGATATTCTCGATTGTTTGATGTTAGTTAACGTCGGTATTTTCGCAGCCCCTCTCCCCATCCTCCCGACTCGCGTATCCGCCGAAGTGCCGTTTGATTTCGTGTTTTTCATTCGCCGGGCTATTACGCAAAGTTCGATGAAGATAAGAGCGCTTCGATTCTCATAGTTAAGTATTCGTCGTCTCGCAAAAGCCGTGAGAATAAAGAAGAAAAAACCAACAACGCGTTCTTGGCTTGAGAGAGAGAGAGAGAAAGAGAGAGAGAGAGAGAGAGAGAGAGAGAGAGAGAGAGAATGAGCTGCGTCTCCTCTACAAAACGAATCAATCAAGCCATTCCCTCGCCAGACTTCACGCGTGCTGCGGGACGCGCGCGGATACTCGAGCACGCACCAGAGTTTTACGCCAGAGAACGGATAGCCATGCGAAAGAGGAGGTGGCGGTAACAAGCGCCGGATAAAGCACTCTCGTCCTCTCTCTTTCTCTCACACGCGCTCGCAGCCGTGTCTAATAATACGTGCGAGAAAAGGGACGTTTTATGGCCACCAGTCCAATTAGCGAAAGATTCTTTTCCCCTTCTCCGAGTTCCACCTTTTTCTGCTTCTCCTTCTCTGTTTTTTATTTGTTTATTTATTTATTTATTCATTATTTGGCAGTGCGAAGCCTTTTTAACTAGTTGGCCGGAAGAGAGAGGAAAGGACTTGCGCGTGATCCATTCGCGAATTAGATGTCGTCGAAGCCGAAATTGGCGTGGCCCGAATTGGCCGACAAGCCAAACGTTGAACGTATTCATCGCGCGCTTCATAAGACGAAGTCGCGCGTAAAAGCCTCTCCTTTGGTGCTCGAGAAAGTTTGCACTCAAAAGGTGGGCATGTCAACACGGGGCGTGCGATCCTCATCGAAAGAAGTCGGAGATCGTCTTTTCTCGTGTACCTGCCGTCGCGGCGCGCTGCTGAGCTATCCCACGGAAATCCGCTGGCCAGCGCGCGCAAAGCCGGCAGCTACAACGCGCACGACAATGGGTTCGTTTGTTGGGGCCCGGCGCGACGCACAATGGACGCCACTATCGGCCGCTCATCGCTGCTCCTTCGAGCCAAAAAACCTGTTGGCTCGTGCGCGCACGTACACACGCGCGCGCTCTTTCTCGCTCGGGCAACTGCGCCCGCGGACACGGCGATTGAGATATCGCGTTCGACCGCGTGCGACTTGATCCGCGCGCGTGCGGACCTATCACCGGGCGGACTAGCTCTGCCTCGAGTTCGGAGCGCGTCTGCGATTTGGCGCTGGTTGTCGGGACGCGCCGCGACGTCGACGATCTGCGAAATCGAGCGAATCGCCCGGCCTCGTTATGACACTTGTGCTTTTTCGAGTGCCGGCGTGCAGCGCGTCTGCCACGAGAGAAAAGCAACGATCGAACGCGCGAGAAGCAAGACAAAAGAAAAACAAAGATTTTCGCTGGTTCAGCAGCAGCCCGCCCTGCGACTGATGGCGAGCATACCTCGACGTGGATTATCTCGCGCGCATTGTTGTAGCCATTGCTCACGTACGCGCCTGGCCTGGCCTCGCCTCGCCTCGCCTCGCCTCGCCTCGCCTCGTCTCGCCGCGCGCGCGAGCGTTCTCCCAGCATGGCATTCCTCCTGCGATTTTTCAGCCGACGCTGCGCGAATTTCCGTGCGAGCGGTTCTTCCTGATCGCATCGACGAGGAAAGGGGCGCGCGTGTCGATTGCAGGCGAGACGCCAGGAGAGAAAAGAGACAACTCCCTACGTCTCTCGACTTTCCTAGGCGCGCTGATCTCGGCGATCGGCTCTCGCCGCAGAGATTTACGATTCGCCTCTCCTCTCTGCGCTCGACCGCGGGGAAACTTGATTTTGAGAATTCGAGCGAGATGAAAAAAGATGAGCCGCGCGAAACGACGCGTCCGCGATAATTGGCTATTACTTAAAGCCCATTACTTTGAAGCGGAGCGCTGGCGGCGCAGGTGTCCTTTATTTGCTTGCTCTCGCGCACTCGATCAGCGTTTTTGCCGGCCGCGGGCAAGATATTTTCTATTACTTAGCGTGGCGAGGCTCCTTTCTCGTGTTTTTTTCTTGTTCTTTCTTTTCCGGGCCCGCCAGCGAGATGATGAGTGACGTTAACGAGGGCACGACGCGCGCTCGCGCCTTGGACCCACATAGGATTTCGCCCCGAGCAAAAAACATTGACGGCCGTTAATTGGGAGGATGATGGCCGCGGCCGCTTCTTTGGCCGATCGCGAGGAAAACTCCGACGCGCGATCCGAATCGAATCGCGCGCGAGCTGAGCCGCCTCGGTGGCAGCCCGCGCGGCCGCCAATTACCCGGGGCGAAAAAAAGGGAACGCCGGCCAAAGTCAACAACCTCGGCCGTCGGTGGACACGGCCTGGCCGGGTTTTCGTATCTTCCAGTCGACTTCAGCGGAGAAACACTTCGCAATTAACTTCAGTGGAAAATCGCCGCGTAATTAGGGCTCCGCGCCGCCGCCCGACAGCGCCGAATGATATACGAGCGCGCCTCGTCGCGATAACACTCCTTGTACGGGTCCCTCGGCCGCTCTCCTCCCTTCGGCCGCATCTTCGCGGCTTTTGCGAGCCTTCTTCGATGATTTCGCTAAACTTCGCCAATCTTGCCCTCGTTCGCTATTCCACATTTTACAGTGTGCGTCTTACTCCAGACTGCAGACGACAAGGCTTCTTACGTAAGCTTCAATTTTGCCCGCGAATCGTTACGGTTTTTACGGCATTTTGTGAATAACATAACGCTCTATAATGAAGAATGCTCGTCGATCTGCTCGTTTATTTTGTGCTTGTCTCGGGAGGATTGAGGATTTTATGCAAATTCGCCGCGGCTCACCAACGTCAATTTTACTTCTCTTACGTTATTTGGATCGAGCCATGTAGCGTCCACTCGTAGTTCCCGATTAATCAGATTTACCATTCGTTTTCTTCGATATGAGTATCGAACTACCGTCGGCTATGAAAATTCAGCTGGTATCGTAATTGGATATCAACGAGGTACGTCGTAAACAGGCGTATTTAATTAACCGTTTTCCAAGGCAAAGGAATTGTGCCTTGGTACGGATGAGCTACATATACGATTTTAAGGCTTCGAAGCATCGCTCAATTCAAAATAATACATTATTGAAAAATTAAGTTTTTTTTTGCAAAATTACATCCAAGTACATATTCTTATTAATAAATTATTAAATAACTAATTTTGTGATATAAATAAATCCTTTAACGACCATCAAAATATTTTAAAGCTCATTTTTTTTGCAAAGTAAATGCTAGAATTGGATTCTACGGGAAAAATACGTTTGTAATAGTAGTTTTACTCGTTCAAATATATCTTGTTGTTAACAAATTATTATCTGTAAAAAATCAATTCTATAGAGTTCTAGAATAGTTAAGATACAAAACAGCAAGTTTTACTTTAGATGAAATTTTTGGTATATAAATATCTCAGGTGACTGAATTCCAACTATATTTTATTAGTAAAATGTGCTGATTTATATCATAATAGAACTATAAATTACGGACGTTTTATGATTTTTTGGAAACTATCGTTTCAATATGGCAACAAGAAATCATTTATAGTATTACAGTGACATTCATTAAAATAATCAATTGAGCTTGTGAATAAGCATCTTATCCAAAATATTCTGATAAAAATGTGATTCAAATAATGGTAATTCAAATGAATACATTTTGAATATTGAACATGACTTTATACGTTTTTTAATTGTATAAATGTACATTCTGTTGATAAAAATAAAGTTGAAATGTCCTTTTTCTTTAAAATGTTTGCAAAAGAATTAAAAAGCTGGAAATTGTTAACTAAGAATATTGTGGATGGCGTAGGCCGATTTGATCAGTTAAGAGAAAAATGTGATTGGGTTATAAAATAGTGGGATCCAATGTACTATTACATGGATATGGCTGTCGTTAATTCTTATATTATAAATGCTACGAAAATATCAACTATCAAGATCAGTTTGCTGTTGAATTATAATTAACTAAATAATTAATTAATAATTTCAACGGAAGAAAGGGATCTATAGTGATATCGCTAACGGATATCTTGGTAACCTGCTATAGAAAAATTAATACTAATTAGAAGGAAAGGTACAAAAATAAGAATAAAATAAATAAAGAAAAAAAGAGCACTTCAAAGTCCAAACTTCAACCATCAGGTGGTGTAGCGTGTAAGTAAGCAAATATATTGTTGAAACTAATGAATATTAAGGCTCCTTTATTTAGTATCTGTTCTCTATATTAAGAATTTGATACAACAAAATAAAATTTAAGCAGAACAGGTAAGGTTACTATTCTAGACGTATTTTTTTCCATAGAATCCGATTCCGGCATTTATTTTGCAAAAATCTCAGTTTTAACCGATTATTTAAAGAAATTAATCGTGCCAAACCAATGGAAAATTTGAATTCTGGTAAATTGATTATTTAATAATTTATTAAGAAGAGTATGTGTTTCGACAATAAAAAATACTATGTGAGACGTATTTTGTTCTGTAAAATCCGATTCTGGCAGTAAGTTTCCAAAAAAGCTTGATGCTGCGAGAAATGTGTTTGAACAAATGTATGTTACAAAACTAATGGCAAATTTGAATTGAGCGATGCCTCGAAGCTCTCAAATCATTCAGAATTGATATACACCGTGGGCCAATTGTTTCGGCCTAGAAAAGGGTGAAAAACAAATGTGAACGCAACCGACGCAAGTTTGCGTGTAAAAAGGCTTTTGTAACACGAGCTTTCGTCCGTGCGTGTTTCATCGCTGCACCAATTTTAGAAATCGGGAATTTCGGCATAATCATCGCGAGAGCATCGCCACTGGCGGGGCACCGAATAAATAATCGAACGCAGATCGCCGGAGGGGAGAGAAGGAAGAAGAAAGAGAGATCTTTGGGCGTGCTCGGCCGATCCCAAAAAAGTGCGCGCGCGGACCAAAGAAAAAGACAATCAGCTCCCACGATCCAATTTATAAATCACGTTTGCAGCGCGTGAAAGACGACGGGAGAGAGAGAGAGAGAGAGAGAGAGAGAGAGAGAAAAAGTGGCAAGGCAAGGAAGAGGGACAATGCGCTAACGAGGTGTAAAAAGGGCCTCGTCCGCGTCGACTCGCAATAACCGGTTACCGAAAAACCGATTGCGCGCGGAGCGGTGAGCGAAGGAGAGAACAGCAGCGCGCGCTCGAGAGATGCATCGCACGGGAGCCGGGAAGAGAGCGAGCGACAGAGAGAGGGGTAGTAAGCTAGGCTGCGGCCTTCCTTTGCCTTCAGTCTCGCTCCGTTCGCCGCCGAGTCGCCTGCTCTCCCGCGCGCTGCCAGGATCGCGGCCGATTATGTGCGCCCGTGGCCGATCGCTAACGACGACGGTCGCGCGCGGCTGACTCCTCTCGGTCGTTGCTGCGTTGCTCTGCTCGGCGAGGACAATAGCGAGCCGCGCGACATGAAGCGCCGCTCTGGCTCCGCGACGCTCATCTTCCTGCTGCTGCTGCTACTGCTCCTGATCGAGGCGCGCCATCATCATCGTCGCGGCGGCGGCGGTGGCCACAAGCCCGACGGCGACATGACTCTCTGGATTGATCGCCAGCAAATCAAGATGTTTAGCGGTGAGTGCGCCTCGTGCTGTCGGTGGCGGATTCGCGCGCGCAAGGAGGAGCGTCGACGCGACGAGGCGCTTCACAGCGCGTCGGACTTGCGATCGGCGGCTGGGGCCCGCGCTGCTCGCTCGACCGATCCGCGCGTTGCCGTGGCAGCATTAGCGGAACTGCGCAGCGAGCGTCTGATCGCACGATCGTCTCTGTTGGCCAGGTGTCGAGATGGAAATCTACGCGATCGACGAGGGTCGTGTGGTGCCATACCTGCTGGATCCCGACTTCGAGACCAAGCTGCCGATCATACCCAACGAGGTGTCGTACGTGAATTTTACCTGGAAGTCCGGCGCCAAGAGGTACTTCTACAACTTCTTCCTGCTCAAGTCCTTCAACGAGTCCATATTGAAAACGCCCTCGATCACCATCAAGAAGAAGGGCCGTGTGCCCAAACGACAGAAAGGTAATTTTCGGCAAGTAGGCGTGCACTTGTGTGTGTGTGTGTGTGTCTGTTCGGTGGAAAGGCGCGCAAAAGCACCGAGCGCGACTCACCAAGCGCTCGCGAGATAAGCGCGGAAGTTTACCACGCGCGACGTCGATTTACCAACTTGAGTTTTAGCGGCTCGTTGGACATTCCTCGCGATTGATCGTCGCTTACGCCTACCTCTCGCAGACACGTGAATCGCGGCAACTCGTTAAATCACAGTTGGCCTCAAATTCAATGCGAGAGCTTTCCGAAAGGAACTGCATGTCGACGCTTTGATGGTTATGCTAAATGTCTAATCGATTAGTACACTTTAAAAAACTAATGATCATGGATGTGTTGCAGAGTTCAGCGTGCTACTACCGTGCTCGGGTAACAATTCGGGAGTGGCGTCGTTCGGGATCGGTCTGATGATCGAGACGCGCAAGAACAAGCCACTGAACGGGACACCCCTGCGGCTGAGCCTGAGAAAAGAATGCGCCGTGCGCGGTGAGTGCGTCAATCGCGCCCACGATCACCACCACCTGTCCACCACTCGCACATACAGTTCTGTATCACCAGTGTATCGATCAATCCCCCCCTCTCCCCGCCACACCCTCATCACTTCTTGCTGCCCTCGCCAGTTCGAGTGTCTCTCTGCTTTATTACTCGTGAAGCCACGCAGGACTTCCGCCGCGTTAATTGCGCTCGTGGAGAGAACCGCAATTGGTCGAAATGAGGATTAATCGAGCGAATTATGAAAAACGTCGACGGCGTAGATGAACGCCTTTTCATTCGAATCTAAAGTGAAGGGAGCTTTGACCCTCGCGCTGAAACGAAAATCTTCGAGTTGCATTTTCGTCTTCCCGCGCACAATTTCCGGGGAAATGTGCGCAAATCTCGGTGGAAATCATTGCGGAGTCTGATTTACCTTTTGCGGCTCTGCTCCGCGAACAGCGAGGGATGATCGCCGCTCGGCTTGCGTTTCCAATCACGGTCCGCTAATACTTGCGTCTTTCGGTCGAGAAATTTTCTTTGCCTTTTCTGTCCTATTAAATTTAATAAATCTATGCCCCCTTAACATCCATCTACGAAATGCCGAAAGGAAGTATTTCGTTTGATATGCAAACGCTCTACATCGTTCGAAAAAAGATTGCGAACGTCATTTTATCTCTGTAATTTTTAGAACCTAATCCGGGGCCCTGTCCTTACGGATACATGGGACCACCTCACTGCAAAAAAGCTCTGTGTTATCCGAACTGTATGAACGGGGGTAACTGCACAGCTCCAGGAGTTTGTTCTTGTCCACCGGGATTTCAAGGACCTTACTGCGAAGGAGGTTTGTATAATATCTCATAAATTGTTTTTATCGAAAACGTTCTTTTATTTATTTATCTTTATATAACAAGATGTAATTTAACCCGCCAATTCTTTATAACATAACATATTTGTAAAATCTTAGAAAATCAATATCTAATTGCTAACACTACTAGATAACCTTGGATATTGCTATAGCTGTCTTACATCCAACCTCGATAACATTTGTTATTGCCTGATAAAAAGGCGCCTGTTTTGCTCCATGCTCCAATCCCGTATCGTGATGATCCTGTTCTTCATCTCTGAACTGTTTTATCGCATCCATTATCTCTTTGTCGCTCTCGTCGCTGATATCCATGAGCGATCTCAATTGGTCATTGTAATGCTCAACAATGACTTTTTCCACGGCTACCGTACATGCCATCGCCGCTTTTTGACCTAACAATGCGGTGCCAGCACCTAACAGAAATCCTGCTACATTCCAAACTGGTAAGAAGATGGTTGGTCTAACCCCGTGCTTTTTGATAAGCTCCTCAAATTTTTGTCTGTGAATCTTCTCTTGATCCCACATGTGTTGAATCGTTGGACCAGATGCTGTGTTCCCTGCAGATGAAGATTTAATAGATTAATATTTAATACAAACTTGACAAATAGATATTGAAATAATACATTATACGTCTAGGGAGGTAACGTATTAGTAAGCCTTTAGTTACTGTAAATTGACACCAGAGACGAAACCGAAGGTGATTAACATGAGCTGTGAGCTTGCATTTTACGTCACGTAGCGTGTGTACTATTTTGTCTACCCGTTCACGCGGGCGGCAGTTCGGCTTCCCGGCCTTCTTGGTACAAAAACTATTTTATTTACCTAATACAGCCATCTGCCCGGCATAAATTCTGTCTGCTCCCAATTCACCAGCATGGTCAACTCTTATTATTGACTCCATTAGTCTTCCTTTTTTTGTCCTCAGTGGAGCCGCAGAGTTTGTGGAAATCAAACGAGCTGCTTGACTTCTTACACCCAACATTTTTTTTGTTAATTCTATAACAAGATGTGATTAATGATATTATAATTTTAGGTATTTGCGCAGAAAAATGTTTAAATGGTGGTAAGTGTGTTCAAAAAGACACATGTGAATGTCCTAAAGGCTTTTTTGGACTGAGATGTGAATTTTGTAAGTATCCTGATTGAATGATAGTTGAGAAATATGATTTGCAAAGTTATAATTACTTTTATTAATTTATTGCAGCAAAATGTGTGATTCCTTGCGTAAATGGTGGAAAGTGCAAAGGCAATAACATATGTCGTTGCCCAACTGGCTTCAAAGGCAATCATTGTGAAATTGGCAGAAGGTCACCTCAACGCTCAGCTTGTACAAAGCCCTGTAGGAATGGTACATGCCAACCAGACAACAAGTGTCTTTGTGAACCAGGATGGTTTGGGAAATTGTGCAATAAGAATAAACCTTGGGCTTGAAAGGCTAATCAATGCCATGTTGCGGTATATTACTTATCTCTCAGTGATAAATGCTTCTTATATCAAAGAATGATCCATTGAGTTGTAGTAAACAAAAGATGAATTCAGTATTATTTTTGAAAAAAAACTGTTTTTTTAACTAATGTGATATGTACATTTCTATGTTTGAATGGAAGAAATTAACGTTAGATGTAGTTTTGAATGCAAATTATACATTGTTTTTGATACCGCAACAAGGAAATGACAAACTCGTATGGTTAACTGTGGAACGTACCCCACCAGAGATGTGATATGTAAAGCTGCTTTACACCATTTTTTAATTTTAATTATATTATTTTTTTATTTTAAATATCATTTAATTTTGTTAGATGTATTGTAATGATTGTTTAGAAACAATACAACTATTTTTATTACACATAGTAATGTTTATTTTACTTCAGCTTTTCTTATATATAAAATATATCAATGTTTATATGCAAAAGTGATAGATGTAAAAGATATTACAATTTTTATAAGACAAATAAATATTCAATGTTTATTGTGAATTTTCAGTGATATTTCAATTTTTGAATTAGAGTAAAATTGTGAAATAATATATACATATATAGACTTGGGAGTGTAGTATGTACATACCTATATAGTAAAACAATGAAAAAAAGCTATTGCTTCAAATTACGCTACATTAAAGACTTACTTGAATGAAAGATAGTAAAAATACCACGATATTAAATTGTACAAATCAGAAATTAATGAAAATTTTAACGAAAATTCCTAAACATAAAAGTAAATATAAACACAATCCCGAAATAAATTGAAGCCGGGCGAGGTTAGGTAATTCTAACCATTTAAATGTTATTTCTTTTTGGCAAGTTGACTCTGCCATGAAAACAACATATCGCCGTTAATTATAAAAACAATTCTAATTTCTTAGAATATTAATTAACGAACCTTCAGATCATCGATTCCACTGTCAATAACATCAAGCACATCGCGCAAATGGCCAAACACACGCGTTTAGGCTACACTCACGGGATGTATATAATAAACATTAATTAACATCGCCAAACCAACTTTCATCTTTCTTGTCTGTTTTTATAAGCAGTCAACTGTTACCCACCTGTAGATAAGATCAGTAAATCAGTTAAAATAATTTGAGAAACCAACTAAAGGAAAAGAATCGCATCGGAGTTTCGATATAAAAATATTTTTTCGGAAAAAAAAGTTGACGACTCGAATGATATTGCGTTATCCGTAAAAACTAAAACAGCAAAATGAGCAAGATAATTTTAAAGAATGAATGGTGCTACACTGAAATTTAAATGTTAGAGCGTCCGATTGTTACTGTATCACGTGATGCTAGTGTCGGCCAATAAGGTATCGCGTCTCGGCATCGCGGCGCCTTGAGGCTCGACCAATGAGCACACGCGTTATCGCTGGTGTGGAGTTCTTGTTAGTTCTCTACCGCCGCGTGTCGCACGTATAATGCCCTAAAAATCGCAGTGTATATAGTCCGTTGCGTAGCCGCGAGGTCGGATCACGCTTCATACTAACACTAAAATCCAGAGAGAGTGAGACAGAGAAAGCAATAGACTGTTCAGAGCAGCGAGCTAAAGGCAGCAGTTCCGCTCGGCAGCGCTCGTGCAGGCGAAGGCATAGAGCTCTCTGGCAGCAGCTCTGCTACTCGCGGTACTATACGATCAGTGCGCAACGTCGGCGGCGGCGAGACACTTGGTGCGCGCGGACCTAGTGCGCAGATACGGACGGAGAAAGGAGGAGGTAAGTGGCGACCGCATATACCTGACGCTGCAGCATCGTCTGCTGGGCCTGAACGCCAAAGCGCAGGCTTCAACATGGCTGTGCGCGGCGCGCGCCCACACCGTCCATCGCGACACAGCTTCGCGCCCTCACGCCTCTACGAGTCCAACTGTCCGAGATCGCGAACGGGTCCAGCGAGTAGCGCAGCCCACGAGCGAGTCGGCCCGAGGTCCAACATCGCGCGGCTAGGTTAGCTTAGCACGCCTCGGCGATGGGGCCCTTTCAAAAGGCGCGCATCCAAGATGGCCGGCCCACGATGTTTCTCTCTCTCTCACTCGCGGGGGCCGCGAGAGAAGTCTCAGCCTGCGCAATGGGCCGCATCAGCCTGCACGCGTGCGTCGCGCGTAAGAGCCGCGATTATGAATGTCGTGAGTAGCCGGCTGCGCGCGAGAATCGGCGCCAAAACAACAGGAGCGCGTGCCGTGCCTCGACGATGGTCGTTACCGTCGCGACGCATTCTCGCTCTTTCCCCGTGGTTCGCTGCGCGTGTACACGCAAGGGCCTTCGACGTGTGTGTACGAGCGGAGGGTCAATCGATAATTCACACAGCCACATAACGGGGGGCAGAGAAAGACGGAGCGAGTCGGGTCTTCGGCTGGCTGCTGGCGCGGCCTAGCCTGCTGGTGCCGCTGCTGGACGATCGATAAACACGACGCTCGTGCATAGCGGGCAGATACGGCGTGTAGTGGCGGTGCCGCAGACTAGTCGCAGACCGAGTAGAGTAGTCGCGGAGGCAAGGCAGGCAGGCAGCAGCGAGGGGCGCCGCTGAGTGCGCGCGACGACGACGACGAGCCATGACGGCGGCCTTCGTCATCGACAACCTCGACTCGGTGGTCGAGGTCGAGGAGCAGGCCCGTCCGATTCGACAGCAGCAGGCTGGACGCTGCTGGCGGTGAGTGTCTCGCGAGGACGTTCGTCGGACGCGCGCGCGCGCGCTCCCTAACCTCGAGCGCGCGCAGAAGAGTGAGTGCCGCGCGCGCGAGAGTGTGCAAGAGAGAGACAGAGCGAGAGTGCCACAGTGAGTGACACACGCGCGCGCGTACGCACGGCCGGTCGGCGCGGGCGGGAAAAAGGGCTTAGCACGAGGTGCGCACACGGCCAAGAGGAAGACGCGCCTGTGCGGACTGCGCGCGCGGATTGGGGCGTGTCGAGCCGGTTCTCCGAGCACGCCGCACCTGGGGCTTCGCGGATTCGCGGCCGCGCGCGCGTGTTTACGCTTTCGCGCGATCCGCCGAAAAACGCGAAAATCGGGCGATATTATCGATTGCCACAGGCGCGTAGTGGCGGAGCGAGTGCACGCTTGCCCCCTCGCCGCCCCGCGCGCGCCGATGTTTTATTCAGCTCAGCTATAGACACTCGAGTTTATCTGGCTCGCTGCGAAGCGAAAGCCAGATCGATATTTCGGAGCAATGATAATGAGCGAAGGGGGTTGATGCTGCCGTCGGAGTCTCGCGTGCAGCATTACGGGCAATTAGCTTGATTTGTCTGCGGCGTGCGTGCGGCCGTTTGGTTCTTGCGGGGGGGCCCGATTGATTTCCGATCGCGGCTTCCTATACGTCTGCGCGCGCGGGCAAGGGGGCTGCGCCGTTCGCGCCTCACAGACATTGTGGCTTTTAGAAATTGATTGCGTGCCCGCTGTTGGGATGAACGACTCGTGCTTTCGACGGCTTCGCGAGTCAGCAACAGAATTCGGTCACTTGGTATTCGAGCTTTCGCGCAGTTTCGCCCGCGCGGCCCAAACGCGTTGCGTCCTGTTGCACTTTCCGAGCGCTCTTGTGTTTTGTCGATCTTCACACGTGATCTATTATTATTTTCGAACCACACGTTCTCGAAGCCTGTAAATGATTTTCTCAGACGCCGAAACTCTTCCCCTTTACTGACTTACCGATGACTCTGGAAGCTTCAATGTATAATCAACGTTGACAAGAAAATAATGATTCAGCCCGAAATCCTTGTGAAAATTCGATTCGGCGAGTTCCCATTGCCACCATTCCCCTTGCAGTCGAGCAAGAAGAAGCGCTCGGATGAAAATCTAAAACGAGAGCCTATAAATCGATCGCTACCTCTTTCCGTTTCCAGCATGCGTCGCGCAGCCCCTCGCGAATTTCCCGTGTGTTCAATTTGAATAGTAGCATCGAGCGCTCGATCCCCCTTCCCTACTCGGGTGCGAACGGACAGCTGAGCAGCCGCTGCACACGAGGAGAGGGAGAGTTGACAGGACGCGGCGAGCATGCACGCGACAAAGGGGTGTTGGTGGTGGCGGCGACGGCAACGGCGGCGGAGAGGGGGGGGTACTTTCGCTTCCGTGAGTGGTGAGTCACGGGACCTACCGACGGCGTTTAAAGGGTCTAAGCTCGCGATCGCAGGGGTCATGCTCACTTCCTTCTTCTCGCCCTTGTTGCACGCGCGGACCGACAATCAATATTTCGGCCGTCGATCTGCCTCTCTCTCCGTCTCGCGTGCGCGAGCGCCACTTTTTCCACCCTCTCGGCGCGTTCCAGCCACCGAGCTTTCGCTTTCGGGGGAAGCGAAGGGACGCGGGCGTTTATTTTCATTTTTTTTCTCTTCCTCCCTCGAGCGCGGCAGCTTGCCTTGGGAATTTGTTGCCGTGGATGCTCGAACGACGCAGCGAGGCTCGCTGCAGGGACTCCACGCGGACGAATGGATGAGATTAAATGACGCGAGTCCGTTGCTTGCGCTTTGCAGCTCGAGGTGATGTAAGATCGCGGAGATCGGAGAGGTCGTCGAGCGAAAAACCCCGAGGGAGGACGTGGAGGGAAGGATCCACGGCTTGCTGAGTGGGAGCCGTGGTGGAGGAAGAGAGCAGCTGCGCGATTAGCGGGCGGGCGGCAGACTGAAGAAGCTACGCTTGGAGACCGGCCCGAAGCTGTCTCAGACGGAGGCGGACTCGGCGGAACCTCCTCCGCCCGTCAAAGAGGAGGATCACGCCGAGGACCAGGTGACGGTGACGGAGGCGCAGCTCGTCGGCGTGACGGTCGCTGGCGCCGACGGCGACGACGTCGACGACGAAGCTGGAGTGACGGTCGCCGTCTACGAGGACACTATGACCTCGTTAAACGCCGAGTCGGATCGCACCGATCGCATGAGCGACGACGACGACGACGAGCCGTCGAGCGGCTCGGAGACCTACGAGGATGGCGACCTGCTCGCCTCCGCGATGGACGACGACGTCACGGCCCAGCTCGCCGCTGCAGGTTGGCAATACAAACACGCTAATGGTGATTTCCTGTTTTTTTGCGTCTCACCAACCATCACGCTCCTCGCCAACTTAAACTCTCGCGACTCTGCTCTTCCTTTACCTACCGTCCCTAGTCCCAGTTCCATTCCTCTTCCGTTCGAGAATCGTACCGCAGGACTTGCCGGTTACATTCTTCCACATGGTGAATTTGGGAACTACTTGATTGTGTTTTTGATTTTCTCTGTGTGTGCATCTAGCAGTGTTGCTCTGATTTTTTTTTCCTTTCTCTGTAGCGTCTTTTTTTCTCATACGTTGTCGAGCAGCTTTTCTTTCGACGAGTTTTCGCATTCAACTTGCTCGACGATCCAATTTTTCCTCTCTCTTTTCTCGAGTAATAATCTGCTTATACGCTTAATACACTTGTAGACCTAATCACGTTAACTTTGTTCTGCTTTCCTCAAGCTATCGCTTCCTGTAGCTATGTGTTTATCTTTCAAAACTTCCTTTTTCGCGCAACGCTATTTCTGACGGATTCGCAAATTCTTTGTTAAAAAAAGGCTGCGCTCTCCGTGATAATTTTGGCGATAATGGTAGCACTTAACTTGTAAAAAGAAGATTTGTTCGATCTTTTTATTTTTTCAAATAAAGTGTTGCACGTATCAATCGCCTTTGACCACTTGTTACATAAAGTTTGGTCAGTTGCGCCGATTTTTACATTGAACTTTTGCGCGTCGTATTGAGTGCACAAACAGTAAATTTTTACGCGATGGTTGTAATTTTACACCCACGCATATACATAGATACACGAACACACACACACATACACACGCGTAAGTGCACATAACTTGAAAGTATTTTGCATGTAAGTGTGAGCTCTGGGACGAATAGCTTCACTGAAACACGAATGTATTATGCATAGGACCTGTTGGCGTTGCTGCGGCCGCTGCCATCGTTTCGGCGAAAAAACGAAAACGACCGCACAGTTTCGAAACTAATCCCAGTATTCGTAAGCGACAACAAAACAGGCTCCTGAGAAAGTTAAGGGTAAGTACTGATGTTTTAGCATCGCTTATTAATCGACCACTTTTCATGTACTGCATCGATGATCCCGTTGTTTTTCACAGCAAACGATAGATGAATTTGCGACGCGAGTAGGTCAGCAGGCTGTGGTATTGGTGGCAACGCCGGGAAAACCGAACAGCAGCTACAAGGTGTTCGGTGCAAAGCCACTGGAGGATGTGGTGAAGAATCTCAAGTCGGCGATAATGGAGGACCTCGAGAATGCACTGGCACAGCAAGCGCCGCCACCGGTGCAAGACGATCCGTCGCTGTACGAATTACCGCCCCTTGTGATCGACGGCATTCCTACGCCGGTGGAGAAAATGACACAAGCGCAATTGCGCGCTTTCATACCTCTTATGCTCAAGTACTCGACCGGGAGGGGTAAACCTGGCTGGGGTAGAGAAAGTACGAGGCCGCCGTGGTGGCCCAAAGAATTACCCTGGGCTAACGTCAGAATGGATGCTAGATCCGAGGATGAAAAACAGAAGGTACGCATCGTAGTACAATTGTCCCTTTCCTGTGTTTCGTTCTTCTTTCAACCAGGGTGTCTCTTGATCATGTCGTATTATGAATATTTTTTCTTTATCGCAAGAAAAAATATCAAATGATAATGTTGATAAATGCTTGATATTTTATTGAACGTAAGTATGAATTAAAACAAGCTCAGATTCGTCATGCGTAAAAACCGGCCAATTCATTTTTTCAATGTTATATCTTCAATGGATATACGTCACTATCAAGCGAAAATTTGAACAGCCCGTCTCTCTTACGATGTACTATTTGTATACATACCCTTATCCGTAACTTTTTACACGAATACCGATTTTATTTATTTACTATACCTGCTCGTAACATTTGACCGCCCCGATCTGCATGCAAGACGAGTTTCTTTTTATTAAATGTTTACATTTGTATATTTTATTTGAACGTTCGGTAGACACCCACCGTAGTTTACTTTCCCGATTCCACGAAAAAACGTACGTTCGTCCGCATGATAAACGTACAGGCCCAAAGTAATGGAATCGAGTCCCTGGTTTTAATTTAAGTTGACCAACTGGATGTTAGATAAACCAAGCTAACTAATCTATTATCTGCGGAACTTTTAAAATTAAGCAGATCTCGTGGACGCACGCTCTGCGGCAGATAGTCATCAACTGTTACAAGTTCCATGGACGAGAAGATTTATTGCCGGCATTCAGCGAGGAGGACGACAAATCGAATATAATCGTGCATCAGCCGTCGGCGTCGTCGCAGCAGTCGACTGCGAGTCAAGGGAGCCAGTCTCAACAGACGGTGGGGGTCGTGCGCATCAGCAGCACTGGTTCTTCATCTAAGGGAAACTCCTCACCAACGCAAATCATTGCCGCGTCACCCACGGCCCTTACCACTGCCACCGCCCAGGTGACAGTGGAGGGCGCCGAAAGAGGCACATGGGCAAGTCGACCCAACAACGATCAATTGTCTTGATGCCCGATTATTGTGTCTTATCCCTAGACTGCCTCTACTTATATTTTCTTTGTTTCTTTCTCTCTCTCTCTCTCTCTCTCTCTCTCTCTCTCTCTCTCTCTCTCCTCTCTCTCTCTCTCTCTCTCTCTCTTTTCTCTCTCTCTCCTTCTCTTTCTCTCTTTCCCTCTCTTTTATTATTTTGGAATGAACTTTACTTCATATCTTGTTTCTACCAGACTTCGTCTCGATGGTGTTGCTCTTGAGCAGAAATTAATCGACTTGACCATGTTATCATTCATCGATGTCATTTCATGTCATATATATAATTTCTGTTAAGAGTTGTATCGTTATGTTAGTTATCATTATTTATTTTCAGGCGTAAGGTGTTTAGTTTCCCTTATTTGAACCTTTATTTTCTTTTTAATTTTTGGCTTATTTTCGTTTACACATTTTCATGCTTATTTCATTGAATCATGCCATATTAGAAACATGTGTAAACAGTGCCACCTATAAATCTCATATAATTCTAATAAAATTTCACTTTTTATTATCTAGCAGATATCCCAATATCCGACCGTGTTGCAAACAATAACGAATCCGGACGGAACAGTTTCCCTGATTCAAGTGGATCCAAGTAATCCAATCATCACGTTACCAGACGGCACCACTGCACAGGTACAAGGCGTTGCTACCGTAAGTTAGCAATACATTCATCGACTTTGCGATGTGATAATAACAAAAATGTTTGTTTGTAATTTCAACAGATCCACACGAGTCAAGGAGAAGTGCAAACATTAGCTGAAGTGAGTGGCGCTGACGGCAGTGTATCGGTGGATTTGAACAGTGTAACTGAAGCAACCCTTGGCCAAGATGGTCAAATCATTCTCACCGGCGAAGACGGACATGGTAAAACTGTTTTCTATAGGCTCTGCACCGTCGCCGGTCAGGAACTTCTTGAACAGTGAAAATCTCGCTTGATCTATACAATTAGTGCCTCCTGGATCACACCTCTGTTTTTTTTCTCTTATTTTGTTGCATGTCATAAGTTGTCGTTGCTAATTTTATTCAGCGACCACAGTGACCACTTGTTGTTCCATTATTTTTATTCTATACCTAGTAGAGTTTTAATTTTTTTTTAATTAGTCAACTATGAACTATCTTCAACTTTATTTTGTCGGTTCTTTTCTAATATTTTCGACACATGTACATAATCAAAGTAACTTAAGTCAAAATGATAATATAGAGAAAAAAACGATTTTTTGTAGAAAAAAAGTGAATAATGCAGGCGGACTTCTCAAAATTTTATTATGAAGGATTTAAGAATCCATGTACGGTTATTCGGTATTGTGATTGTTGAAAGCGGGCCTTCAAAAGCCCATGACGTGGCTCTAGCGTTCACTTAAAAAATATAAACAACAGAAAGAGAATAAAAATTTCTTGTGAATGTCAATAAAACGACACTGCTAAGAATCAAGCATTTATTTATATGTATATGTGTGTACATACTATTTAGAGAATAATAATAATAATGTATTGTAATCTATGTTTACACGTTATATCACGCGCATAGTACAAAATGAGCCGATCGGTCAGTATACTTCAATGATACTATTTTTTTGCCCCTCTCACGCTTTGACAAAGCAGACCTTAATTACCAACATTATTGGTAAATTGAGCGAATCATGGATTCTTAAAACTTAAATCATATTGCAGAACGTGTGAATAAAAACAGTAAAAGTACTTTGTTTTATGATTTCATACCACCATTATTATAATCTATTTTTAATAATAGCACAGTGAAATAAATTTTTGTGTAAATAGAGTATAATGTTGATGTTTTATTATCGCGTCTCATATGTATCTGTAGCGTTCAATTGTACTATTATTTCATCCTTTACAAGTAAAAACCTTGAGTAAAGTCGTGATTTGATAAAGTTGTTTTGTGACGTGTGCATTCTGCTTCATTTTTTTTCGTTTTATTTCGATACTGGTAATTTCGAGATGTGCAAGGAAAAATCAGAATAAATCGCAAGCAGTGAAAAAATATTGTATTGTGTAAAAGCAGCCATTAAAAAACTAGTAAGTATAGTCGTGATTTTCATTGCACTCTCGTCATTTGCACATTCTTGTCGTTTTATTTTCAGTTGCCACCTCTAAATCTCCTCACGTATATAAATTTGTAATAATTATCCTGATTAAACGTGCACACAGATGGAAAAAAAATTGCATGCCAACATATATATTATAATCGAAATTGTGAATTGGTAATTTAGCTGAATGTCGTCCAAGTCTCCAAATCGGAAAAAGGTAGTTGAAATTTGTTGATGTTGATAGAAGAGCATATTGCCATAGATTTGTTGCGTGCGTAAGAAGTGTGTCGCTCATTGTATAACTGGAGAAGATCGATTGAAAAAAATTTCATATACATATTAGACGGAAGATAAGGAGAGCTAGACAGAGAGAGGACGGTGTTGGCATGTTGCAGGATACCCGGTGTCGGTGTCGGGGGTGATAACAGTGCCAGTGCCGGCGAGCATGTACCAGACGATGGTGGCGAATATCCAAAATGATGGCACAATGCAGGTGGTGACGCCGACAATGGTGCAGGTGCCGAAAGTGGAGCCAGGCAACGGCGAAACCAGCATCGAAGCTGTCACCATTCAAGGACATCCAACCATGACAATGATCAACGCTGCTGGAGAGCATCAAGTGCTTCAAGTCATATCGCTCAAAGACGCCAATGTCCTTACCAAGGCCATGCAGGCTGAGATTGTCAAAGACGAAGATGCCGAACAACAGACACAGACGCAGCAAACCGTCGAATCTAGTTCCGAGTAAACTATCAGGCAGACTGTCGTAGTTTTACGCTCGAAAACCATTCCAAACTTAACGTTGTTGTTGTTCTCCAAGTGCATTTTCCAATTTTTACGTAGACAAATTTTTAGGATAACCATATCGGCGAGTAAATGCATTTACTCATAGAGGTATGCATTTAAAAAACAAAATTTAGCAATCTTCGTGCTTCAAAAGCGTCAATAATCAAGGACTTTCTTCTCTTGAATCGATCGATTTTGAAACGCAGTAGACAATGGTGGCTATGATTATTTGTTTATTAACAATGTAAGATTTAGTTGTTTTCTATGATTCTAGTACATTGATGTTTTTCAACATTAGGGTAATTTAAAGAGTTGATACTTTTTTCAAAGTCAACTTGCATTTTAAATGGTACTGTTGAGTGTACTTTAAGCCAAAGTAAGCATACTTGAAAAAATGACTTGAAATCTGCACTTTCCAAATAATGTACATAGATATGATCTTTATCTTGTAATGCAGGTGTTTATATTGCGAATTTGCAAGAAGAAAAACACAGAACTGATCAGTTTTTTCAAACTGAAGCCGAATACTTTTGTTTCCTTCGATTTTGAATAAATCTTGATACTAAGAATGATCATAAAATATTTCATCATTTTAATAAAGTAAGATTATCTAATCAAGGGAATCGTTAGTAAATAACTAGATTTGATTTTTTATAAGTTACATGAACTATTTAACTTCCACTGGAATTACATTAAATTTAATGTAATACAAAGGATAGAGGTATTGTAAGAAAAGAAAAATTTTCAACATAGTATTGTGCAAACTAATCTTTTAACTTTTTCATCTGAAAACTTTAAAGAAGAACAACTCTTCCATGGAGATGTAATATTATAAATTAATGTAGAGTGTGATAGAAGAAACGTGAATCCAAAAAAATTTTTTACAAATATAAGTAAGTTAATAAAAAATTGTAGTTAACAAAATGTACTCGTAAAAAGATATTTTTGTTTGATGGAAAGTATCAACAATTGTATATTTCAAATTTCCATTCCATTGATAGAAATCTGAAGTATTTAGGAAAGTACAAATTTGACATTTAAGGAATCAAAATTGAAATAGATACACGTTATTTGTAAGTTGTGATTTAATATAATGTTTTAAATATTTCTTTCATTGGAGTTTATTTGATATGAGGAATCAGCAGTTCTATTAATTTTAATTTAAAATCATTAAAATTAATTTTCCTATTCGTCCATCAATAGTTGTTGTAAATAAAGTGCAACAACATAAACTGTGCAATTTTTACAAATAGTTTATCATTTAGATTTCTTAGTACCACATAATTAATTAAAATTTAGATATAATTCAATTCAAATAATGTTGATATCTGGACTTGAAAGTTACTTTATCATTGATAAGTTTGTACAATTTATTGGAAAAATCCTTAAACTATTCTTAAATTTCTTGTTGGCATAACAATTTTCAAATTAATAGTTCTTTCTACTTATTAATAAGCTCAAAAAGTTGTAAATGACACATTTGTATTTAAACAGAACATTCAGAGCTGCACTAAAAAAATAAATGTATAATAATTTATTGCTGTGTACTATGTAATGTAACTTGTAAATATGTCGTCTATATATATACATATGTGTCACACTAAGCTTTGGTTATTTTTGGTGTAAAAAAAGATTTTTCTAGTTGTTCTGAATGAAAGCAAAAAAAAGAGCAAACTTAAAAGAAAAATAATTAAAGTATAGTATTATAAATTAAAACTCTGTCTATTTTAATTCCACACCTTTCGTATATTAATATAATCAATAACACAATATATTTTAAAGAAATTTTTATTCAACGATTTAATATGACAGTGTAGCTGATTTCAATAATGTACATTTTAATGTTATAGCATTTACTTGTAAAAACTAAATTGAATGCAAGGTTTGTTTCTATGAATTTAGACTAGTTTCAGAAACTGACCTTTTTCTTTTATTTTTAAATTTATCCATGAATGTCGTCTGGATTCTCTAACCATAATTCTGGTTTGTCATAGCCAAGCTCCTCGGGTGTGCTAATGCCCAGTTCTTTCAAAGTGGGATTGATTTCTTGCAAGATATAAGGATATATCTTATCAACTTGGTCACCACATTTGTCCTTAACTGATTCCAAAAATCTAGTTGTGAGGGCGTAGTCATTCAATCTTCTGCAAGCTCGCAGAGCAGCACAGATGATTTTTGGTTCAGGTACAAGATCCATACCTAGCAGAAAAAACATAGTTATGTACATATAATAGATACACTATGACTTGGATCTTCAATATATTATAATAATTATAAATTTTTAGTCAGAGAAACAAGATTGAATTTTCACAGACAAAATACCACTTGTCTGAATGAAGTTTTTATTTACTGTTTATACAGTTTGATTTTATATGCAGTGCAACAGTTATGCTTATTGCATTTACGTCATTTTTCAATTACATAAAAGTTGCATCAAAAGTTATCTTTATAATAATAACGTATAAATGTCCGTAGAAAATTGAAAACGTACTAAATAATATCGCTTAATTGCAAACACCTACTATGTGAAACGCCGGTTTTCGTGAAAAACGAAGGCCAACCACGTTGAAAAATATGAATTTTATCTTTGCAAGTACGAAAACTAACCAACGAAAACAAAAGTTGACAAATCGGGGCAGATAAAGCGTAACTCCGAAAATAATGGAGGAAGAAAAGCGGAAACTTACCAGCAAGGTCGTTCATGGCTTTACGGATCTCCCAGTGATCAATGTCGGGTCGGTTGAAGAATTTCTCGTACCTGGCGTCGAACTCCTCGTCAGTCTCGGTGTTACCATGGCTAGCTCTCGTCTGCTGAACAGCAGTAGTCGCTCTTGGCACGCAAGCCTGACGCAGGCTCGAGGTAGCACGACCCGCAACGATGCGTAACATCTTCTCAACACTCTACCTCCTGGTGAATAATGTACGTTGAGGAGCGATTTCCTTCGGGACTCGACTACGGGTGTGCTTAGTTTTGTTGCGTAAATGCCAAATTCCAAAGAAGCAAGTACGAAGAGTGGGCCTGTGAAAATTAATGATAATCAGCGCCTCTGTCGCTCGTTTCGCGGATAGATAGGTCGATAACGTAGAAATTCTGTTGGAAACGCTGAAACGGCGGGAATTCGATTCAAACACGTATAATCGCGTTCTAAACAGATATTATCAAATGTGTTTTGGTATTGTCGAAAATAGTGTATTGTGTTCTGATGATTGTTGCTTCGTATCAATTCACGATAACAATGGCACTTGAATAGCTTTGCTGAAGCTATTGAAAAACGTAGTATTTGAGAATCGGATATTAACCGAAACATAAGAAACTAACATTTGACCTATGAGTGTACCCAAGAGCGCGCTTGAACAAACATCGGATGATAAGCTGTATCAGTGTTTGTTGGAAATTATCTCACTAGACAAACGAAATGTATCCGTCTAAATTCGAATCGAAAATTGACGCCTGGCTGGGCTTGAAGCGACAAAGAAAGCATAGGAGGCGCTGTGCGTTAAATAGGAAGTGTCGCCGTTCGTCAAGCTTAAGTGCGAGCAGTCTCGTTTAATCTCCGCGGCGCGCGGAAGAAGCCGGTGAGGCCCTGTGTTTGCGCATTATTTTCCGACTGGGAAGCGAAACGATCGTCGTCGGTCAGTGTCGCTAACATGTGTATCAAGTGGCTGGTGGTCGTCTGCGCGATCGTAGTGTCGGTCGAGTGCAGACAGTCGTACGTGATTAACGGGACAGTTTGGAAGAACGAGCTGGAGAAGTGCGGCAGCGGAGGCTACGAGACCCGTAAGATCAACTTCAACATCGGTACTCTTGGATCAATGCCGGGACTCCAATACGACGACGTGTCCACCTCTACGGTCGTCGACGCTCGCGGCTACTTCGAGCTGCTCACCTCGACTGGCAGCGAAGTCGATTCGCATTTGCGCCTCGAAAACGCCGACGACGCCACCGACCACAAGAGCTTCTCGCAGAATTGGAGCCGCGCGACCAGCTCGGGCTTCGCCTCGCAGACCGCTGCGATCAGTCTCACTCTCAAGATACACAAGGAGGGCGCGATCGAATTGGTTAGCGAAATGTATGCCTACTCGATGCTGGCTGTTACATGTGCTCACGCCAATGCGTCTGTCGAAACCATCGAAATTATCGTTTAAAATATAAGTTCTGATCTCCGTTCGAAATGCTCTTGTAATTGTATCATTTTATTGTTCTTATGTAACATTCGCTTTTGTTCACATTCATTCTGAGAGAGCGTTTGAAATGAGTTTTACTTACTTTACAAAGCGTTTATGTTATGAATAAAAGACGCTCATGAACAAACAAAAAGCTCTTATTTATGCCTTGTGCGTAGCCTAACTTATACAGTTTTCATCTACCAATGTTAAAATTAATTGATTGCTGATCGCATTCAAACTCCAATGAGAACCGCTAAATAAATGCGTTTTGCTGCATGTCTTATTCATCTTGCAAATTATTCTTTCCTTTTTTATCACGTTTGTTTTGCTTCCCGAGAAAGTTCTGTTCGTATATGAATTATGCGACGATAACCGATTGAGCTCAGGGCTATTGGCATCTCTCCGCGCAGAAATTAGTTGCGAGTCAAACCTACACCCGAGGTTCGCATCGTGAACATCGTCTAACGGGTAAGCTTTCCCCCACTGTGCGTCAAAGGGGTGGCACTGCGCCCTTCTAGCAGGCGATACCACGGCCGATACAGACTTCAGAGTAAAGAACTTGGCAATATCGCATACCTATATACGCAGTAAAACAGCACGTGGCGTGTACACGGGGCACTATTCACTTTTGGACTTACTGCTGAAAGTGCAGCGTCATTTTACGGGGGTGTACTGAAAAGTGTAATATGCCGATAGTACGCTTCACTTTGCTCGGTCGGCAACATCACGCAGTGTATCCATTGTTCACTGTACTCCCTTGGTGCATAACATACGAAATTTGCCCTTTTTCAATCACTTTTCTCATTGTCCTGTTTTGTTTGTTTTAACGAAGCTTTTAACCAGTCCAAAATTGGGATTTTGAAACGACAGTTGAGACCGCTGCTAACACATCATAGCCGCGGTTTAGGTTCAAATAATACACGTGTATCAAAAGCTACTTTTATAAATTTATCGAATAAATACTTCACGCTGTATGTCCACGATGAAAATGGTTTACGAAGTGGTCATTATCATCTCTATAATAATAACGATCGAAGACAACTAAACGTATGTGATGATGAACGGGCCAAACTGGAAAAAACCCGAGGACGGACACACCTAAGATGTCAACATTGGCACTTTGCAATCGATAGAATTGAAATATGAAGACATGAGCGCATCCACGTTAGTCAATGCTCACGGCCATTTGAAGTTGCATACCAAGTAGATAGCAGAATAAAGGTTTCTTCAGTTTTGTTGGTAGTAATTATATGTCTATTTACTGCTTCAGCTAGACGTAAGTAAACAGATTTATTGATTTAATAAAAACAGCTGCAGAATCTAACTTTTCCTAGTTTTCGTCTTAACATATTTTCTTTTCCTCGTAATATAGTTATTGTGTTGATCGCACATCAACGATTAATGGTAGTCGATGAAGTTACAATAATTACGAAGGTCCTTCAACGGCTAAATAGCTTGAACGACGTACATACAACTAAAATTGCTTGGCAACTTTCTGTTCTTCATTTCTAGACGATTGACAGTCCAATATATTGAATATTGAATCTGATGAATTTAATACAAAGTTAACCTATTCAAATATATGCAAGATCGTCGAATTTAATAAGTTTGCATGTAAATAACTGATAAAACTGATGAAATATGGTCGGTTTAAGGCTCTGTTGGCGTTACCGACTAAGCAAAAGAATTTTTTACAGATTTTTTCTTAATCAAATGAACTGGTCAATTTGAAACTTTTTCAGAACATCCAGCGTATATAAATAAACAGCCGTAAAGATCTGTTTTTTTTTTATTTCTTTGAAATCGAGAAAAAAAATAAAAACTGCGAGTAGAGATACATTGTTTTTTTTAATTTCTAATGTAATAAACGAAAAGCTCTTTACGGCTGTTTGTTTATGTACGATGGATTTTCTGAAAAAGTTTTAAATTGACTAGTTCATTTTTTTATAAGAAATAACCTGTAGAAACTTTTTTTGCTCCGTCGATAATGTCAACAGAGCGTTACTACATGCATATTGTATTCAAATCTACTAAATATTATACAATTTTAATAACATGCAATCACATTTTATCGCGTTGATTTGGATAATTTTTTATCGTTTGTTTCAGACTATCATTTTATTACATGTTATGTGGGCGTAATAGATTTATCCAAAGTAATCTTTATTTTCTTTTAAAAAAAGCCTCATTTTTTCTCCCGAATTCAGAAAGAGTGCAAAAATTTACACCTAGATATGCAAAACAACCGAGGTTCAGACGACCTTTAGATGACCTAGAAAATAAACTTCAAACAAATTAAACGTCAAAGTTGAAATTACCACAAAATGTTCTCTTCAGAATTCAGGAACTTTCGTTTAAAATGTTTTTCACTAAATCATATTATTGTAGGATCGTTTGGATAGACTAAAAAAAATCATTGAAATTTGCATAACCTTGGCAATTGTTTAAACGTAAAATTTGTCGCTAATTCCAAATGTAGGATCAAAAGTATAGGGTTTTCTATTAAAAAGTTGACTTTGAAATGATCTTAAAAAATAACTGAGGTCAAAAGCAGAATCATCACTAGGTTCGTCAATAACTAAACAATAAACTTTATCTGGAACGTTTTTCCCAATAAAGCGTTCTGTTCGAGTTTTCTTAGACGGTTCCAGGATTTTTGGAACACTTTGTTTAACAGAACTATATCTTTTATATATCGTCGCTGGTATTCTGTTTAATCACGGAACATCTAGTTGTTAAATAAAAAATTGGTTATTTGACCTCGATAATACGCATGCACCTTTTTCCGATTTGCTTTTGAATATGATTATAATTTTAAGAATTTTATGTCAACGTTCAGTCGTTTAATTTCATATTTTTAATGATCACATACGTAGTCAGAGAGTAAAAATATTAATAAACGATTCTAAAAATGATCAGTTTTAGTGTTAAAAAATTTCATTTATTTTTAAATAAAATATTAAGCAAATGAAGAAGTTCATATAAAAAGTAATCAAATCGTCACATTTTAAGGCGCCTTTCCTTTCTTACTACTCTTTGTTCTTTGTCGTCGCGTTATTAGCGCATGCGCACACGAAAACAGAGTCCGAAACCTCTCTTCTGATTAAAGTATCCATTTTGATCACATGTGAGTATCCCGAGCTACTACTCGAAATTGCGGAAAATCAAACTAAAACGAGTTGCCCCGTGAAGCTGCAACTGAGCACCGAAAAAAACACAGGCTTCTGGTTTGTATAGCTATCGCGCGCGAACCCCTTCAACTCGAGGAAACTTATTGGAATCATCCTCTTTGCGTCGTCGGCACCAAATAGTCTCTTGCCGCGCGCGATAACGGATTCTCTCTCTCTGTCTCTCGTTCGCTCTTGCTCTGTCTCTTTCTCTCTCTCTCTCTCTCTCTCTCTCACTCACTCACTCACTCTCTCTCTCTCTCTCTCTCTCGCTCTTTCACTCGCTTACGGCGGCTCTCCATAAACGGATTGACTCCTGGTGCTCCGGCCCTTCTTTTCTTTTTTCCTCTCTGACTGCGCCTCTTCGACACCAGAGTAAGTGTATTTGCAACAATTATTTACTTGCCCGAGAAATTCGAAGCGTGTATCCAACACGTTGAGCCACGCGTGAATCGCTGAAAGTTCTGACCCACGGAGAGAACACGCCGCCTTGTATCCGCCGTGAATTGTTTGGTTAGTTCGTACATGCTCTGATTTTTTTCTCGTCTATTTCCTCGCTCCGCTTATTTTTCACTCTACTTAAATTTTTCGTAGTTACTTTTATATTTCTTCCTAAATATTTTTTTTCCTCGCTGCTTTTCAAAATGGTTATTGCCAGGGTGAAAATTGCAAGTTGTACAGAGGCGTGTTTCTCAAGCGTGCCACATGGTCACTTGTACACCTTCGTGTTGTTCGCGTTTTTTGCACTGTACCGACAAATTCCAATTTTGTTAATCAGTCTTGCGCTTATTTAGTCCAGTTGACTTATATGCTAAGCTTTCCAAAATTTGTTTTGAAGTTTTTCAATTTTCTGCATGAATATTAGATTCACAGACATCAATTGTATTCATATATAGATATATATTTTTCTCATTTTCAATGTTGAGAATATAATGTGATATAGTTTTCAAGCATCAAAGCTAGTAATTGTCTGTGTTTTGATTTTTATCTAGTGCAAATATACATAATATCAGTTGATTTATACATTTATGTATTCAGAACTAATGTATTGCCTTTTTTGTTTTAATAGAAATCCAAAAATTAAACATGGGTGACATTGAAGATACTCATTTCGAGACTGGTGATTCTGGTGCTTCTGTCACATACCCTATGCAATGCTCAGCCCTCCGCAAGAACGGTTTTGTCATGTTAAAATCTCGACCGTGCAAGATTGTGGAAATGTCCACTTCTAAAACTGGAAAGCATGGTCATGCCAAGGTTCATCTTGTGGGCATTGATATCTTCAACTCTAAGAAGTATGAAGATATCTGCCCATCAACACACAATATGGACGTGCCCTTTGTGAAGCGAGAGGACTACCAGGTACATTTTTTTTTTCCAAACTTTTTTTTATCATATATCTTGAAATTCAGTATAAATTGAAGAATAATTGTTTCTATTTGTGTATAGTTGACAGACATATCTGATGATGGATACTTATGTTTGATGGCTGATAATGGAGACTTACGTGAGGATCTCAAAATACCTGATGGCGACTTAGGCCAGCAACTTCGTGCAGACTATGATGCTGGAAAGGAATTACTTGTAAGTTAATTGAATTAACATTGTTATTAATCTAGCTATGCATGCATTTTCAGATATTATAAATTTACTTTTTATAATTTTAGTGCACAGTGCTAAAAGCCTGCAATGAGGAGGTAGTAATTGCTATCAAAAACAATACTGCCCTTGAAAAATAATTGTGTTCAGTTTGAACATTACACCAGCCTCAATACCTACTTAGCCAATCAACACCTTATAATTGGTAAATAAAAAAAAGGAAATAAGAGTCAACAGTTTCAGCCAGCAGTAACTCGACTATGGAGTGAAAGCATCTTTTTATCAAAGTAACAATTACTTACTTTCTTAATATTATTTAAAAAAAAAACCTGCGTTGGAAGTTTCTAAGCATTGTAAGCGGAAGCTGGGTTGCAAATAACAAATGTGCAGCCCAGTTCTAGAAACTAAACATACACACACACACACACACAAACAAACCACACACATACGTTGTTTGTTATACATAAGATATAGCGACGACTTTTCATTGAAGGGTTGAATGCAAATAAAATTGGAGAAAGTCTTTACATAACCATCTTTTTTTTCTTTTTGTTGATTCATCATGTTATGAAATAAAAACAAACTGTTGTTGGCTTTACAGTGGCAAAATTATAATTATAAAAGATTTTCAAAAGACAGATGCTTATGACGAAATAAGACCAAATAGAATAGTGTTGACTGCCAAGCGGAACAATTTTTTCATAAGTTATTGAGCAAAATGTCTTTCACACAAAGGCATGAGGCTTTTATTGTCCAGCTTATAACTTGAATACAAATCAAAGTAACTGGGCAACAAAATCTTACTTCATGCTAATTAATAACCATATTTTTTCATAACATTTTGTTTAACAATTGTATTGAACTATAAAGATTTTGTTTGGATAAATTATTTAATTTTTTTATAATGTCAAACTACCAACTAATCTTAAGAAAAATAGTGGCGCATTGGTATTGTAAACAATTGAAAATATGCCAGAGCATTCAGTTATAGAATTATTATAGAAAAATATTTTGAGTTTTATATCTTTTTATAGTCGAGTACAAGTATATAATATCTATATCTGATACTTTGGCCTATGTTTTGTAATTATTGCAATATAGCAAAGTTAAATTTCAAGGAATTCTTATTTGTTTAATATCAACGCATATATTTGTAAAAAGTGAAAAAATAAATAAAAATCGACTTGCTAGAAAAAAAAGATTGTAAGTACTTGTCTGCAAAAGAAAATGCCTTTATCATATTTGCAATTAAATAAACATTTTAATACTGTGCATAATAAGATGTGAATTAAAAAACATGATCATTCTTTACAATATTTAAAAAAATTTTGTATTATGCATTAAATAAAAGATTTTTTTATTGGTCCAAAACTTATTTTAGGCATAGTTTAAGCTAAAATATAATATTTAATTTATAATGCGTAGAGTTGGAACAAAATAAGAAGGCATTATTTTAATAGTAACAATATTACATCAATTGATTTCATTTATTATTTTTTTAAATGTTTTTAAAAGAAAAAATTGTTCCGAAAGGTAAAGTCTTTGGTGAAAAAGAAACTGTAAATGTTCTGAATAAAACAAAGATATTAAACTGAAAACCGAAGAACGGGACGAATACAACTTTTTTACAGTAGTAAATGTAGTTCAAGCTTCTATAAATCGACTAAGATTCCTTATTTTCTAACCAATGCCAAAAAGTGTATATAGATGTTTTGTTTTTAATTAAAAGTTTCAAATTTAATTTCTGTTCATAAGAAAAAAGCTCTTATTGAAAATTTTCAATATAAACTATATACAATACGAACTGGTGTCTCAAACATAATATAAACTAAATATGTAACATAAAACTACCAAATATGATTATAAAAACAACAGCGTTTATATCACGCATGTGCTATATCGAACCAAAATCTTATATTTCTTACATGCTAGTACTAGGTTTGTGACTGCATTTTGAACAAAAAGAGAAACCAATTGTGTGAGATACCATTAGAGTTGCACAACATCGTCGTGCTAACGCTTTGTTACGAGAGAGGGAGAGAAAGAGAGCATGTGTTTCTTCAAGAGAGAGAGAGAAATAAGGGAAAAAGGGAACATAAAATAATTGCAATGCTCAGTTTTGATTAAGTCAAGTTACTAAAAGAACACCGCAATTCTCATTATTTTTCCTTTTTGTAATGAATAATAAAAAGAATGAAACGTTTTACAAAAATGATTTTGGTGCTACCTCGTTTTGTCGAACAAACAATCTTAATATCTTTTTTATTTCGAGCTTCAGTGATATTTTCAACGCGCTTCGATAGAACAATTTTGTATCAGGTATATGGAAAAGTGTGATGACGTAAACGAATGACTCATATTTAAATAAAATGTACAATTTGAAAATCTGACATGTATTATTATGAATTGATTTTCATTAATTGATTTATTTTTATGTTTTGAGTAATGAAGCAAGTAAATTGTAATGTCAATTGTGATACTGGCAGGGTAAAAAGATGAGGGCCGACTTAATTTTTTATCTCACATTTTAGTTTTATGTAATCTAAAATTATTAAATAACAATGGATTATTATAAAAAAATAGTAATACTGCAGAATATTAGGAAAGTTTATTCCAATTGTAGTAGGTTCTCTAAGTTTTACAACCGTATTTCGGAAACGACTATCACTTTCAAATATAATTAAGACTGATTGCATTAAAAATTACATATTTTTTTAAATATAAGAAATTATATTGTTTGAAGATTAATGAGTTCCGATGGTATAAAGTAACTAAATTTGAAAATTGCTTGCTGTTGAAGAAAAAATTCACAACATTTTTACCTGTTTTTTTGTATCAAACATAATTTAAAATAACATGATAATATAACGACAAGAAGGTGAAGTAACGGAAAATAAAATTCACAAATTCATGAAAAATCGAATGAAAAATTATTTATTGATGAATATAAATAAAACCTAAACCTCTGATATATTCTTGAAAAAAATTACTTTTTTTATAAATCAATAATTATGATTGTAATGTTCGTATTCCTTTTTTTAAATTTACGATTATTTTTGTTATATCAAAATGAACCTCACATTGAAGTATAGTTTTACAAAATTTTATGAAAAACTGAAATCATAAATTAGTAAACATTACCATTTTACAGCCTAGGAAAAACAAGAAAATATAATAATTTATATTTAAATCATACGTCATCTTTTTTCCTAGGTAATACCTCTTGCTTCTTTAATACAATTGTGTTCAATATTTATCAAATACTTTTAAAATATTACAAAATTCAAAAACTAACAGATATTATTTTTGCATAAATATAGCTAAATGCTTTTTTACATATGTACTTCTTAATTTTACTTAAATCAAAATAAAAGCATGATTAAGTTTGTGAATAGATCAAACTCTCAAAGTATTCATTTGGATACGCATCAAATTAATACTTTGATAATTTTCTTAATTTAATATTAATTAAAAAAGAATTAAAATAAAACGAGGGGTTTTCTGGAAAGAAGCATTATTTGTTTACTTGATTAAAAAACATGATTCAACATGTTTACCATTTGCAAAAACAGAGCAAAACTCCATTGCGGAATTTTGTAACAAAATGCGTTTTATTAGTAGAAATACATCGGCTAACTACTTGACGTAACGTCGAGTTCGGTAGTTACACTTGAAGTTTTTTCAAGAAATGACCGATGTTAGAGCACCTTCAATGGCTCAATAATATACTCCATGATCTCTTTTTATCTCTACATGTAATAACAAAGTTTAGCGATTTAATGTGCAAGACGTAAGTCGTACTTTTTTTCTTATCTTTTTCTAATCACAATCGTAATCAAAGTTCTCGAGTTGATCGGGAAATCAATTATTGGCATTTCGCCTTTGTAATGCCGCGGCTAAGTCTTGTCTCAATGCTGCTTGCTGCTTCTGATCAGCAAGTGGTTGAACCGACCTTAGACCATTGACAATGTCTTTTGTTTTGCCAAAATAGATTTCATTCAAGGTATTTCGTATTTTATTTTCCATGTCCTCTACCATTCTACCAATATTTGCAATGTGAGGTGATGTATCACTAACAGGAGCATCTTGCTCAACCTAATAAATAAGAAATAAATTATATTTTATGCCAATCAAAAGTTATTTGACTCTGTTGATAAGAAGAATTACTTGTCTTGTGAGACTACCACCAAGATTCATTGTGCCAGATCCTGATTTATTGGTTTGTAACCACAACATTGCAGTGGAAGTAAGCTTATAATGTGCATGTCTGCTCATTGACTTGTGTTGCACCTCAACAACATGTATAGAATCCCAGCAACCTTTGATAAATATAAGTTATTGTATTATTGTTTTTATTATTATTGGTTTTAATATTATTATTATTCTATTATTGTTTCTATTATTACATAGCAACCTTTGATTTTTTTAGAACCATCACCAGCTTTCTTTATCAAAATAACTCCGGCAAAGCCATGGTCCAAATCCCACAAATATACAGAAGACACACCACCTTCAAAATAAAGTTCTCGATACTGATCAAATGCATGATTGGCATCAATCTCCAGCTTTCTCAACCTTTCAGAAGGCATTGAGCCATCTTCCAAAGGAGGATCGTATGTATTGCTCCATGGAGACCTAGAATGCATGATTCATTCAACTTGTTATCAATGAGTCATCAGAGACCAATAAACAAATCAATTGCTTTTTTAGTTTACCTGTAAGAGTCTCCATCTCGATTGTAGTCACATAACAGGTAATCCTTGCCAGATTCTTTGTCCTTTGCTATTTTCAGTGGCTGATCAACAGATGAGAGTAAGTCTTCGCACAGCGAGGGAACTAAATCTATGAGATCACTTAGATTTTTCTCAATCTGCTGAGGTGGCAATCTTCGCATCAAGTCCAAAGCACAGTCCATTTGTTGTTCCGTCTGGAAGATAATATAACTAGATTGTGATCGACTGAATACATGAGTTTTTTTCTAATTAACATCACAGTCCCCCTCTCGAAATTTATCATTCAGGATATACGCCATTTTGACAGATAACCGTAAACAGGTTAAGTATATAGTTTGTTGTTTTTCTTTTCCCTGACATGAAAACTAGTCAAATCTCAGAAATCAAGAAGCGAACTCTTGCAAAATACTCTAATCATCCATTAAAATCGTCCACCGACAATCTCAATTAAAACTCATCCAAATGGGAAAGGTAGCTTACCATGACACCGATAACACCGACGTCGAGACAGCGACGAAGCACAGGTTAATGAAGAGATCTGCAACTGAACGAGCTCCAATATGAATGTAATAAAATAAAGAAAATTATAATCACTCGTTGTTAGGTTGACGTGCACAGCCCGTCTGCGATCCCGCAACAATAAAATATGAACATTTAAAGGGTGTGTCGGAGAAAAACGGCAATTAGCCACCAGAACCGCTCAGGCCAGTCACCACACTACTGTGCCAGCAGAGATGCGTTGCCTTACACTTCACTGCACAGTTAAGACTATATGTTATAATCGTATAGTAGTGTGTGTCTCGTATATGTAACTTGAGTTTGACTGGTTAGTGCGCGCGCCACATATGCAGTCTCTCAGCGGTTGACTTATTTGAGATCGTGATATTTTCGGAAAGATGTTTCAGCCTCCTCGGTTTCTATTATTACAAGCAGGATATTTTCTGTTTCTTCATTTCTACATCTATCGTTGGTGTTCCATAGATATAAAAATGAAGTTGCGAAAAGTAAATTGGATATCTATTGCGGTATACTGAGTTTAATGATTCTTTTAATTATTTTTCAATAATATATGATGAATTTGTCACTAAAATAATAAGAATGCAATGAAGTATGTCGAACAACAAATTAAATTTTGCCACTTATCGTACGATTAGCGTCAACTTACTACGCATGTGCTCATCTGATTAAAAAAAATAAACAAAAAGCTTCTGCTGAATAAACGAACGAATAATAAAGAAGTTCTAGACCAATGAAAACTCAAAGTGAACACTTCAGTTAAATAACTAAAAAAGTCCGATCGTCTTATAATCCCTCGAGTTCTTTATGAACGTTAAAAACTGCTTATAAAGCTGAATCATAATAAAAATGGAAGTTATTTAATATTAATGTATTTATTAATGCGGGTTCGATGGTTATAGGTAATATCGATGGACCGTTGTACATAGATCCACATTTCTGGTGAAAGCATGCTCCATATATAATTAGGAGGACGCAGGGACGCAAGTAATTAAGTGCCCTTTTCCCCTTGAACAAGTGAAAGTGGGTACAGCGGTAATATTTGGATGTTGCAGCTTATCATTTGAGTATACGCTTAAACATGCCTAACTTTTCAATAAAGATTATACATATTTATGAAATATAAATTGTATAAAAATGTACAGCTTCATTCTTCCTCATAATAAATTTGATTGCTATCGCTATTATTTCGTTCATATAGCATTATATATTATTTATGTTCTAGAAGATTAATGATGTATTTGATCGTCGATTAATATACAAGATAATCTGAGTGAGATTTGTTTAAGATTAGGAACAAGTCGCATGTACGACGGCATTGACTCGCGAACGAGCGTTGGTATTGCCGCCGTATGAGAGCACTGTCAGTCTATATACTATATATGTACAAGTGATCTTAATTGTCAACAATGAATAACATTGTCATTTTTATTTATCATCCAAAAAAGTACGAGCAGTGGCACCGACAAGTTTTCAGTTGAAGGTGAATACAGCACTACAGCCGACGCAACTCAAACATTCAGAAATCTAGTGCCGAAATTTCATGGTCCCTGAGAGCAATTTTTCCAGTAGCAGTGCTGAAATTGGTTATTTCCACATAGCCTACTTGATATTTTTTTTATCGAGATTTCAACTCGACGATTTCTGCGCGCATGCAATCGCAATTCGGGTGCTTTTTCAATGCAGACGTAAATTGCACGCAGCAAGCGTAAAACCAAGAAATTCTGAGTGCGGCCAACTTTGAAATTCAAAATGAATTGAAAAGACAATTCCTATTGTACGTAGCCTCAAAAAATTGTAAATGTAAACATGAAGCCGATTGACGCATTGTTATAACAAAAGGGTTATATGGGATTATATGGGATGTCTCTTATGTTATAACAATTCGTCCATCCCATATTCATACAACATATCCCATATCCATATAACAATTCGTCAATCGACTTCATGTTTACATTTACAATTTTTTGAAGCTACGTATGTATGTACACCCAACGTGGATTGAATCGCGACCCCCCCAGTTAGGTTGGTATGAGACTATGAGTGCTACTTTCAGTCCGTAACGGTGGTTTTCAGATCGACCATAGTATAACGCTCGTTCTTAAATTATATAATTAAAACCTAAAATCAAATAATCATGCATCTAAATTCATTGTTCGGCAAACAATTAATTTTAAACCTAAAAACAAATTAGTAACGTTTTAGCTTTTTATCGTATCTTAAAACGAATTTTCATTTTTGAATTTTCCCGCGGTTTCTTCGTTCAATGCAACGACGGAATTCTCATACCAACCTAACTGGGGGGGCTAACTGGGGGGGGTCGCGATTCAATCCACGTTGGATGTACTACATACATACAATAGAAATTATGTCTTCATTTCATTTTGAATTTCGAAGTTGGCAGCACTCAGAATTTCTTGGTTTTACGTCTGTATTCGAGAGGCACCCTTCGTTATCGCGACATTTATGGTCTTTATTTACAACGAAATTAAAGCAAGATGACTTGTGAGATTTTATGTGGGGGGGGGGGGGGGGGGGGTTGCTGAAAAAAGCAACGACGAAGAGGCTCGCGACATGTCTTCAAACTAATTCCCATCATCCAAAAATTAAATGTTCGCTGTCATTCAATACAGAAAAGGGGTTAAAAACGGTCCCAACAAATAATTGAGTACCATAAGTTGAACGAAATTTAATAGCACGTAATATAAAAAAAGTGCTTTGAGAGATTTTTTTTTATAGGACTGCGAACGATATACTACTAAGTGATTCATTGCATCTCCAATTTCCACAGTCTACGATGTATAGTTTCCCGGTTTCAACCTGCGCCGCATTGCTACCATTATACCTATAGTTATTTCCTTGCCGAGTTAGAAGCAGGCACAAACGATGACGTGGACTTACTCTACTCATGTGTACGGTTTGATCAAAATAAATAAAGTAAATAATTGTGATTCATTTGTTTGTTCAAAACAATATTTGATCGTTGTATATAAATAATAAACGAAACAGTGCGACGTATATCGGTTTAAGATATAAAACTTCACCAATCACGGAGATTAATTACATCAATTTAATAAATGTAAGTATATTTCTTTGAGAATTGAATGTTTACAAATGTTTATAAGAAAATAATGATATATCTATTGCACATCAGAAAAATGGACAAACATCCTATATCACTTTTACAAGAGTGTATGATAAAAAGACATATAATACCAAAATATTCGCTTATTGAAAGTACTACTGGGTCTCATAGTAATTGGTTCAAAATAAGAGTGGAATGTGGTCAAAACTTTGCTGAGGGGGAAGGAAGTACCAAAAAGTGTGCAAAAGGAAATGCTGCCAAAGAAATGATAAGGTTATTGAATTTAAGTACTTCCAATGGATTTCTCTCCCCAAATAGAATAATTGACAATGCAATAGATACAAAAATAATTTCTTCAAACAACAATCCAATCAGTAAACCACAGAACTCAACAACTTTTTATACAACTGATACAAGTATCAATTACATTGGTAAACTACAGGTATTAAACTACATTCATTTATTTTTATTTAGAAATATTTATTGTCAATTTTTAAATAATTTTACAGGAAATAGCCCAAAAAACATCAATTATGCTACCTGAATATATAGATAAATTATCAGTAGGTCCCATGCACCAGCTTAAATTTACAATATCATGCAAATTCAACAACATGGAAGAAGAAGCAGTTGCATCTACAAAAAAGGAAGCAAAAATATTAGCAGCAAAACAAATGCTTGAACGCATCACTAATGATAATCTGAAAGAATGTAAACCTGAACAAGAACTAAATAGTTATTTGGAAAGCATTGATCAAAATATATCAAGTTTAAAAATATCTGAAAATAATGAATCTTCTATGGCTCAATTATCTGAAAAAGCTCTCAAATTATTTTTACCTATGAGTAAAAATAATTTTGTAAAAAAAGTAAATTTACAAAACACACGTTCATACAATAGTTATCATACATTTTTGAGAGATGCATTTTGTGACACAGTACGAGAACTTGTGATAGATAAATTGGAAGATACAATAAGAGCATGCCAAGCTTATAAAAATGCCATTGGTGCAACTGATCCAATGATATTATTGAGATTAGCCTTGAAGGAATTGAATATTGATGTTACAGAAGTAGTGCTAGCTAGTAAAGAAGAAACAGTAATTTTGGTCTTACAATTGAATACAGTTCCTATTATTAGTGAAATTGGACATGGACCTACCAAATCAATTGCTATAGTACAATGTGTTATGCAAATGGCTACGACTGTTGCAATATTGATTGCATAAACACGTTTCTTGACTACTATCACAATGGATCTGTGATATTTGTTTATGTATTTATATCCACTTGTATAATCAACAATGTTAATAAGAGATTGCAGATATCGAGTCAATAATAATTTATTGACTCTAAACTACAATCTTTTACTTTTATAATTCTCTTAACAATATTTATATTACACTGAAATAGGAAAAATGTTGACAGGTCTTCCTTCCAATGATTTGCTGATTTGCTTAATTGGAAAACAATGGAAGTTGAACTAAAATATATGTTAATCTTTAGATTTCAAATCATTAAAGCTTCCGACATAAGTATTCCCCATTTGTCTTTAACTAGAACATAATTTACTGTTTGAAAAATATTATTCTATCAAAAAAATTGTATTGTTCAACAATTGAAAAAATGAATGAATAATATCTAATTACAATTATATTGTAATAATTGACTCAAAGTAAAAGCATTACAAAATAATTTTATTAGTTGTTCAGAAAATATGAAATATTTTTCATAATAACAAAACTAATCATTAAAATATGATTTATAGTATGCTATATATTATATTGAATTTTTTAATAACTGTGTAATACATATTTTTATTTATATTTCAACGGTTAGTTGAATAAAACATATTTAATTCACTCCGTTAAAGATGTATCATTATTCCCTGCGGGACTAACCGAAACCGTCACATTAATCCGCTTCTGCGGTACACTGTTCTGATGTGCTATTGCGCACACGTTTCGTACGGAAGCCCACGGTCATGACATGAGCGAGACAGAATTACCGTGCACAAAACGAGTTGGCGTGCAAGTTGTGCACACGTCGCGTTGGTTATTGGTGCGTTTGCGAAGACTAAACCTATAACCAAAGACCATTTTGAATTTTAAATGGTACTTATCGCTAGACTCTAAGAGTAATGTCAAAAACGATTAACAATGTTAATAAAGTAATTTAATGATTTCGATTATATTTGACGACATCTTTATTTAAATTTTTTATAATAAGTATGATTAAAATTGATATTTACTTTATAGGATATTTTCCTAATAGACAGCTTTTAGTTAATCAGATTTGTACAATGGAATTAATTTCAAAAGATGTTATAAAAAAGTATTTTAATAAAGGTTATAGTTACTTAGAGATTCAACAAATTTTAGAAACGTATATGGAGTATTTATGCGTTATAGACAATTACAAAGAATTTAAAAAATTTGGAGTTAAGTAGAAAAAACAAGGAATTAATCTCAGCCACAAGGATTTGTATTTAAGACAGCTTTCACTACTTTCCAGTTTGTTTAAAAGGAATAAAGTTATATTATCTAAATTCTCTTTCTTGTTTTTTCTACTTGACTCAAAATTTTTTGAAATTCTTTGTAATTGTCTATAACATATAAATACTCCATACGTTTCTAGAATTTGTTGAATCTCTAAATAACTATAACCTTCATTAAAATACTTTTTTATAACATCTTCTTTTGAAATGAATTCCATTACTGTGATTAACTAAAAGCTTTCGATTAGAGAACATCCTGTAAAGTAAATATCAATTGTAATCATACTTAATATAAAAAATTTAAATAAAGGTGTCGTCAAATATAATCGAAATCATTAAATTACTTTCTTAATATTATTACTTTATTAACGTTGTTAATCGTTTTTCACATCACTCTTAGAGTCTAGCGATGAGTACCATTTAAAATTCAAAATGGTTTTTAGTTAGGTTTAGTCTTCACAAACGCACAATGACCAACGCGACGTGTGCAAAACTTTCACACCAACGTCGCCAACTCGTTTTGTGCATGGTAACTCTATATGTCTCACTCATGTCGTGACCGGGCCCAGGCTTCCACCCCCCTTACCCCAGCCGGCAAAGCGTAATGGACAGTGAAAATAAAAAATACTATTCAAAATATCTCTAATTGAACCCTCCAAAAATGTTCATTATTTTAATTAAACCCCTTCAGTTATTCTAAAAAAAATTAAAAACTATGATAATTTTTTCGTTTTTTGCAACTGCGATATCTTTAGTAATAGTTAATATTTTTGCAAAGAAACAAGGCAAAAAAATTGAACCCTTGCTCGTTTTAATTGCACCCCTTTTTACTTTTTCAAAATTATTAATATATATGTAAAAAACAACAATCTAATTTTATTGTATGTTCTTTCCAAATAGACTATTGGATTATTGTAAGAGGGATGCAATTAAAACGAGCAAGGGTTCAATTTTTTTGCCTTGTTTGTTTGCAAAAATATTAAGTATTACTAAAGATATCGCAGTAAAAAAAAACGAAAAAATTATCGTAGGTTTTAATTTTTTTTGGGATAACTGAAGGGGTTCAGTTAGAGATATTTCAAATGGTATTTTTTATTTTCACTGTTCATTACACTTTGCCGGCTGGGGTAAGGGGGCGGGCTTCTGTACGTTCGGTTTGAGGCTCAGCGGCTGCTGCCATCTTCGGGTCATGACCGACGACGTAAATAGCGCGCAATATTTAAACAGACTTGGGGATGAGGGCTTTGGGAAAATAATCCTTTCCCCTCTGATCGCACAAGTCCGCCTAAGACTCTTAGTCAGTAGGAGGAAACCAACGGTCCAGAACGAAGTATATATAAATACGGGTCCACTGCGCACACGACACCGTTTTGCTGCCCTTTTGAAAGGATTTCCACATGAAGCATCGTTTACGAACATCATTCTCGCGTCGACATCCGCTCTTCTCCAAACCAGGTCGCTCCTGCTTGTGACGCGCCTGGACCCGACTACCTGCTGACGCAACATCTGCTTCTGTAGGCCGGCAGCGACTGTTGTGTTAATACGCCACAATAAATTTGAAAGCATTGCTATATTAATCAAAACTGCTGCATTCTTTCTTTTATCCATTCCCTGCAATAATTTTTTCAAAAATCAAAAAACCTATCATTATTTTTTCCATATTCAATATTAGTGCACTGGCATGCAAAGAAGATCATTTTTAATTAAAAATCAGCTAGGAAACGATTAATTAAACGTAATTTGCTAAACTACCTAACGTACGCCACAATGATACGACCCCTCCCCCCGAACCTATCATTAGAGAACATCCTTAACATGATTTTAACGAGGTTGCACACTAATTTTGAAAGTTAATCAAAAGCAATCAATACTTTCATTTCATTCCTGATAGTCACAATATATACATCAAACCTTTGAAGATCTCGATTTTCAGCTTACATAATTACAGTCAAGTATGCATGTATGTATACAAACATACGTACACAGACATATCTCTTATTTAGATGATGAAATTTTTGTTATTTCAAAAGGTCGAGATTAAATAAATTTTATAACAATTACGTTAGATCATTTTGGAAAAGATAACACGGTTTAGAAATTTGTTATAATACACATATATATATACAACATATACGTCGCATAAGAGTTGCGAATTTAGACCGTTAGATGTTGCTGACATCGGGGATGGGAAGATTGGAGTAGTGTTCGATATCGATATGTAGTACTATATTGTTTATAGAGTTACGGGATTAGATCGTCTTGTGTGCCTACTACCTCGAAGTTTTCTACAACTTTGGGGTTTCATTGTCGCCTGTTCGATCATTTGAAGTGTTAAATATTAACTTACTTTCAAAATGTTCAACAAGATCTTGCAACCTATTGCACGACGTGCGGCCCTAAACCTACGAGGTAATGTTTTATCGGATTTACTTTGCAAGTTATGTAATGGAATAAAACTTGCGGCACCACTTGCTTATATGTCTATCTCGTTACTAGAAAACGATTTACGAAGCTTGTAAGATAAATGTGTACTTAACAATCTTTTCTTTTGGTTTCTTTATTACTACAAATGTACTTTTCATAAACTACTATGTTCATAAATGAAAATATAAATTGTTTTATAACTTTTAACATTAGAACTGAAATTGTCTAGTACAATAGATAAAAATAAAATAGAAGTTTGAAAAGAAAGAGAACTTATGATAATGATTAATTTACTCTCACGTTAGTGAACTAAATAAGTATTTTTGACTTTTAAACAATTTAGGTAATCAACATCGTCTCTGTCATCACGAGAACCACTTCAAATATGTGACTTTTGAAGAGGCAACTGTTCCACAAGGCTCATGGAAAGAAAACTACGAAAAAATGCAAAAGAAATATACCATGCAACTTGTTGGTGGTATAGGATCATTAGTCGCAACAATTGCTATTGTAAGATATTTATATTTGTATTTTAAAGTTTAAAATCAACTTTATTTCATTTTTCAATAAAATTATTATTTACAGGTGCTGCAGTTTGAATTAATATACTTTAACTATGGTCCACCTAAACCAAAAAATGTGTAAATAGTAATAATGCAATTAGTCATAATTTCATAGATAATGTGAAGATGCAATGTTAAAATCATAATTTTCCTATTACTACAATGTATAAATGAGCCAATGATACCAACTTCATGTATATTGTTTAATAAAATTCATTATTTGTAAAATAAACAAAGAAAGTACATTCTTTTAGTTTTATTACCATATTGTTTTTAATTTTAATTGTGATGTTTTGAAGTTAGTGTACATTCATTTAACTTATGATTTTGTTGTTTTTGTTGAAATACATGGTAATACAACTATAAGCTTGCGTATATTTTACAAAATTTTTGGTATATAGTTGTAACTAATTTCATTTGTATTTCAATTGTTAAAAAATGATTATCATTACATCAATATCGCAAATTAATTGTTTCTCAAGATATTACCTACAGTTGCTCAGAACGACATTGCTGGCATTTAAGCAAATATGTCATGCAAATGTAGCGTGTGCGCGGCTGCTAGCTGCTCCATTTTCGAAGCGATACTGTACAATTTTCTAAGCTTTACATCATACTACTTTTGATGAAAATCGTATATTTATTATACTATATAATAGGATATCAATAATAATTGGCCAAAGTAAGTTTAAATCGTATTTGTTAATATGAATCTGATGTGAATTTATTAGGGTTAGAGTATCTCAATTTTGTAAACAAATCCAACCGTGTTAGCAATTTTAAAAACAAATTTGAAATTTGTCATGCTAAAAAAATCATTCAGAAGTAAATTTATATTAGTTAGTAATATTAGTATTAATATTAAGATTTAGATTTAATTAATCTAAAGATAAGTTTGAGTTATCAAATAAATTTCTCATGTTATCTAAGGATATATTTGTTTTACCAGTTTTCACTTGGCAATTTTTATTTGACTTATAATTCGGTATTCTCGAAGTTTTATTTTTTATTACAAATTACTTTTATTACAAACGAAAATTTTCATTCCTAAATATTATGTGTAGAACACTGGAAATTTCAAGGTGTACTATTAAATTTCTTTTAGATGTCAGCTACTAAATGCAGATCGTGTGGTACAACCGAAACTGAAACAGATCCATCTCGAGGAGATACAGTCTGTGTTGGATGTGGTCTTGTAATTGCTGAAAATGCTATTGTTGGTGAAACAATATTCGAAGAGGGTGCAGGTGGAAGTATGACAGTAGCTGGACATTTTGTTTCTAATGAAAGTTCAGGTGGTGCATCAGGCTTTGGACAAAGTAAGAAAAATAGTACTGGTAACAGAATAATAAACAGATAGTTAATATTATTTTGTGTGCAGGATTCCTTAATAGTGGTAGAGAATCCAAGGAAATAACAATACAAAATGCAAGGAGAGGTATTGCACATTTGTGCAGACAACTAGAGTGAGTATGAGATTCAAATTTGAGGTATTCATAATCATACAATAAATTAACATTTTTTCTATAATTTTCAGATTAAAACCACAATTTATTGAAACCTCAGTAGGGTTCTATAAGATGGCTTTGAACCTACACTTAACTCGAGGACGTAAACAAGCTCACAATCATGCTGCTTGTGTATACATGACATGTAGGACCGAACAAACGCCTCGTAAGTACATTTTACCAATAGTTGTTGAAAGTAATTCTTCAATAATGTGTGATAATAAATATTTTCGTACTATGAATAGATATGCTCATTGACATCAGCGATGTACTACAAATCTGTGTTCATGAATTGGGAAGAACATACTTGAAGTTTATTGAGGCATTGAACATAAAAATTCCTTCCATGGGTAAGTTAATTGACCCAATAGGTGAGTTAATAATCATTCAATGTATTACTTACAGTATATTTATTTTGCTTATAAGTAATTGTAGTGTTGGGTGAAAAAAATGAAGACATTATTGAGCATTTTCAAATAATATAATTGCTCTTGATATACTTTTCGCACTTGCAGATAACTTTTATACATCTAAAAGCACTTTTTGTATAATATACATTTTAAACGTGTATATAGATCTCTACTCCAACTTTTCATTTCAAAATTTTCGGAAAAAATATTCTTTTCTAAAAAATATCGAAAGTTTTTCAAAAGTAGGCAGTTTTCAAAGTAATAAACGATTACAATATTATCAATATTAATAAATTTTACGCTTGTGAATAAAATCTAAAAAATAATACTATTACAAATAAAAGGTTAAATATATTCAAATTTATATAATAAAAAATACATAATAACGTAAAAAATCGTCGATCTATTAGTTTTCACATTTACATTTTTGGCACAAAACTTTTAAGTAGTAAAGTCATGTCCAAGTTAAACAAAAGAAAATTTGTAACTTATAAACAGCTTAACTCATTATAAAACCTGAATTTGATAATGTTTATAATACTTATTTAACGCATTAATGATGACTCACCCTACTTACTGATTGGCCAGTAAAATTTGATAAAGTTAAAAATTATTTTTTTTATGATTTTTCGTTAAGTACAGAGTAATATGATAGTAATACAAGTAATACTAATAATAAATTTTAAAGTACAATTCTAACGTGAACCTATGAAAATTTAACTTCATGCCTTACATAGTGTTGGAACTGCTATTAGAATATTATATACATGTAAAAAAGCACAGCAAGTTGTATATATAACAGTTAAATGTTACATTTCTAAGAAAAAAATAATATAAAAATTGAAAAGTAAGTCGTACTCTCAGAAATATCTTATAAAATTAAACGTATAAAATTGATTTTCTGAGTAATATATTTTTAACGTTTTTTAATATCTAAATCAGTAATTTTTATTTTATTGATTGCATTGCGTACGTTATAACTTTGTTATAAAGTAATTTATATACGAGAAAAAAATACAAATAAACATAACATCTGAATGCGTATCGTCATAAACTCATAAGATCATCGCGTAGGTTGAAATTACAGCTAGTAGAATAACAACTGTTATTATAGGCTAAATGGCCTTGTAATATTCAGTGAAATTCAAGTAATTATTGCATTAGTATATGTGTCGCTTACAACGTCGTGAAATTTTCGAAAGATCTAAAAAATTATTGAAATTCTTAAGTAACATGTAAAATCCCTGCTCTATAAGATTGCTGAGGAAATGTCACTCGAGTTCGATCAAAGTGCAGATGTTGATTTGGGCAATGACACAATAATCTGAACTTGAACCTGTCTCACCTGCCCAGGATATAATTCGATGTGGTATCTTCAACGCGCATAAATCACTTGAAAAATAGAATTTAAAAATTTCTGATCGACGCGCGTGGAAAAAAGAAGAGACTATTATCGAACTCAAGCCACGAGTTCGCTGACGAAGCTGCGTCATTCATCAGAAGGCGGCCCGTAAAATATGAGCTCGGGTATCTGTCCACCTTGAACTCCGGTGCCGTTGGTACTTTCAGAGCTGCATTGAAATTGAAAGGTGACGCTGCCGACAGTGGCCTCGGACATGCCTTCTTGACCAAAATAGCTCAATTCACCTCCATCGAGAATCGCGCTTGCGGTATAAAAGTTTTCCGGTTCGATCTGTATGGGATTTTCAAAGTAGACGTGAAACGTATTACTTGAGCCGTCGGAGAAGAATTTAGTATTATTCTCAGACAATACTCGTCCGAGTCTCTTCAGCTCGATTCGCACGTTATAATCAGCCGCGCCGGACGAACTGCCATAAAGACCAAATCCTACAACGAAGATTCGCTTATCCACACTGAACTGGATGGAGTCGCAGCGACCACGGTAGCGCCATTGATTTGACCGATAGGCGCACGATTGAAATCTATGACATACCTGCAAAGCATTAAATTTTCAAATTAAAACATGACTTTAAGTTCTACTCGGGATTGTCTATTAGATCTTACCTGAGTCTTTAACCCTTGTCGAGATTTGACAGGGAAACAGAGCTGAGGCTTTGTGCTGGCAACAAAGTAAAGAAAAATATCGATAGTTTCTGGCTGCGTAAGAATTCCGGTTTGAGCCACACTGTTGGCAAACTCTTCTAAGCTCATAGCAGGAAGACGAATCAAATTCAAAGCAGATCCTGCAATTGTAACGCAGAGCAACGTGTAAATTAAAGTTCACGCGACGCCTACTTTAAAAACGTTTCTTTGTACCGCGAAATTTTTACCTAGTAATCTCCTTTGATTACAAGGACTTGGCTCCAGATCTTGCCGGAGACATTCCGCTTGCGCCCACCGCAGAGCAGCGTTCCACAAATGAATCTCTTTGCAATTGAGAGTCTCGCGAGATAGCACCGATTCAAGTGTATGGATGTCGATTTCGACGAAGCCTTCCGATCGTAGAGCCATTTCCGCCTGTACAAGATTTATTACTTTTTAGTTGATTTACATGATTGTTTTGATTGAATTTTAAATTATCATATGAGAGATTAATTTATAACAAAGAAGATATAGAATTCGAATTAGCAATTTTATTAAAAATTAAAATTATATTCAATTAAAAATAAAATAATAACTTCACGGTTGAATTTTGCAAAAAAAATGAACATAATGTGTTATTGAACGCATTTTATAAAATAAATGATGCTTGTCCGTTCATTGATAAAGTTTCCTAGGTTTAAGAATGATACAAAAAGACGTTTCTTTAGAAAAAGTTACTGTATTTTAATATCTTTTACTTTGTAACATCTTAACAATATTTCACGTTATAATTGTATTTGCAGCATTTTGAGTAAATGAACACAGCCTTATAAATATAAATCACAAATACTTCAACTTATTTTTCAAACCAAATTGTAGTTCGACGAAATATACGTTATATACATTTCTTGGACAATGCACAATATGAAGATGTGGAATAATAAACTTATAGAATACTTAGAGCCCCTTAAATTTAACAAAGTGTTTTGTTCAGTCACAGACTTTTTGACGGGCGACCTACACGTTAAGTTTTTTTATAAAAATATTCTACGTAGATGTGTGTCAGTTGAACGATAATGTTTAGCTCTATAAATTGTGAAATCATCGTGAATTAGCTTGTGGGAACACGATTTTTCAAATTTTTATAAATCATCAATTTCAACGCTACAGCAATCATACTGATCAAAGATTTTAACGTTTACATACAATTCTCAAATGGAATATGAAGAGCGAATTGAAATAGTGCCACGAGAGTACAATTATCACTGTAGAGTTGAAAATGTCGCGAGTAAATTCTTAGTGATTGTGGTAACCGTTGAGAATTCGTGACGATCGGCAAAGCTCCTCGCAGTTGCTATCGCAGTAAGCCTCAAGATCGAAATTGTTCTCACTGTCTTTGCAATCATCCGTGAAACTATCTTTGTAAGTGATATTCTGAATGACCTCAACGTCGAGACGTCCGTCAAAAAAGTGAGGCTCGCTTCGGGTGCGACTGAGCGCGAGATGTCTTGGCGGGTTGTTAAGCTTAATGTCAAACAAGAAGCAATTGCTCTCGGACAGGCTTAGTGGATAAGAGGCGAATAGGAGCCTGCCGGAGCTGCGCAGAGTCTGAAGGTCGCTGCAGCTCGAGCCGAGCACCTCGTCGTCGATCTGCTGGCCCTGCCACCTTTGCAACTGGTTCTCGGACAACGAGTCCTCTTCAGAGTTCCAGCTCAGAGCGCGATATATACATTGATTCTCGAAGCATGCCTGACTTTGACGCTTTCCAAACGATAGTGATTTTAGAGTCGGACTTACTTGGGCGTCAATAACTTCCCAGCAGCGTTGCATCAGGTCGGGTTCTTCGAACAGTCTCGATTGACTCAACAGTAGACATGCATTTTTGGCATTCAGGCTTGTCTCTAAAAAAGTAACGCAGGCACGAGCTAAGTGCGGCACGATGTATTTCTTCGCTACGTAAAGAGTCGCCAGCACCGTGTCAGCTTCGAGCTTCACGTCATCGCAGTACATGTACCTGCACATTCCAATCAATATACCTCATTCACTTTGACATTCTTTTACATTCTCTTTGATAAATATTCATCACTAGTACAGTCTACCTTAACAAGGCCAAAAATGCAGCTGGTTCTACATCTGGTACCTCTATTTCTTTCTTATTTTCTGCTAAACCTCCATAAAACATGGCATAAAACACAGAACTGCCTGTAGCTAGGACATACTTGTGAGCAGGTATAGTTTGTGTATGTCCTGGAATCATTAAATAAGCCAATAAGTAAATTGATAGATCACTGTAGCTATGTCTCATTTTTAACTTATTGATATTCACCTGGACTTCCAACAATAAACTGAATATCAGCCATGAGAGGATTATTAAACATTGCTGCATTACGTTCCCTAATTGTGGGCTTTGTAGCCTGCCAGTTAGGATCTTGAGTACAGTCTTCCAGAGACAGTAAATTAAATGTTTGAGTTATGGGTGAGGACACCGATGATAATGGTGAGGCTGGTGTGCTAAGTGGTTGACTTATCACCCCCTCTCGTTGTAAAACAATTGAAGATATTGGACTGATAGATGGTGGGGATCCAGATATAGCACTAGGTGATTCCGCTAAAAATGTTAATAACTACTATGTTACATACATTGGTGGTCAATTTTTAGTGGCAAGTGTTGATTTTCAGATACCTCTTCAAACTATCACAGTACCATATAGTTTAGAAAAATATAAGATTTATATTTAGGATTACTCTTTTGTGTACAATTATCAATTTTGCCTTCTCCATAGTCAGTATTTTAATACTGCTCATTCGTCAGAAAAAAAGTATTCAAAAAAAAGAAAAACAATTTTGAAAGAGTCTCCTATAAAGACTGAATCAGATAAAAGGGAGAAAAAAGTCGCGACATTGCGTTAAAAAACACTTCTGTCGCTATCTCTTTCTCATTATAGGGGGTATAAGAGCAGTTTTCTTTCTTCCCCCTCCCCTTCTCTCGAGGAGGGCTGTGAACGAGAACGTGCGACGGAATAAAAAGAGAGACAAAGTAAATAGAAAGAGAGAGATGGAAAGGAGGCGCAAAGTGATTGAGCTCTGGGCGAGCAGTGAATTGCACACAAGTGGGGCCAATTACGGCAATGTAGGTTAATTCAAACGTTTATACCATCGTTGTGCGAGCGACGAGCAAGTTGGTTGCTCGTGCATTTGTCTCGTTTTCTCTCCTGCTTATCGCTCTTCTTCGTGGCCGAAGACGAGGTCGAGGGCAAATGATGGTGATACGAATCGAGGATGGGCGAGGGCGGTGGTGACGAGGAGTTACTCCTCGACATCCTCGAGTGCCTTTTCTTGCCCGTCGTGATGTAGTTGTGTCGTGATTACCCTTGGTTATTGCGCTTTATATGCTTGACTACTTGTTTCGAGCGTTCTACATTATCGCGCCAACGTTTTATTTGACGTTTTTTTAGAGCGTGACTTTTGCGTTCCTTTCTCTTGTAAATCGCGCGCGTGCTACGAGGCTGTCGTGTGTACACTGTCACTGTCGCCACTGCTGACTATCCTCACGTGCGTGTGTGCGTATGCGATGTTTCATGGACAGCGACATACATACATATACACGTAGTCATGCGCACATGTGTGCGCTTCATGAGTTCCTGGTATCTGCGCGCGCCCCCCGAGGAAAGCCAACGCTACGGAATATCGTTGTGTTTGTTTGTCTCTCCGAACTACGATGATGCAGTTTGTGCGCGCGTGCGCGATGCATTTATATACGCCCGTACCATCACTACACTCGTTGCGTATGTGTTCGTAGCGCAGCAGCACACCGATGCTCTGCGCGCCTAAAGATTTCTTTCTCGCCCCTTGCACGACGACGCGATTCCACGGTTATTCCTTCGACAATGCCTTGGTATTTCGTCGAGCTTTTTTTACAACTTTCTCAGAATAAGAGTCGTCAGCTTCGTCAACGAATTATAATGCTTCGATGCGACAGAACTAATAATCAATAAAAGCGGCTATTAATATTTAACGAAACGAAATAGACAATTAACGGTTCGGTATTGAAAAGAAGCACAAATAAGCCTTGCGGGCTTTATTGGCCAGACGTTCATGTATATTGCAGTGACTGCGTGAGCTGTTTGGGATGAACGAACTTCGCCCAGCGCGCCACCCCACTAGTGCAAGAACCCTTGACCCCGTCGCAGTTTTGCACTTGCAGCATAACGGCAAAATGCAAGATAAAGAATAGCAAAACTGGTTCTATTGTTCATCTCTCCGTAACCTCTCGAGAGCCAAAAAAAAAAGTAGTCATCCGAGCCGTCGTAGTGGAGTGAAATCTTACCGTTGACCCAGGCATTGGTTTGAGTGACGGCAATGTTGTCCTGAAAGCGCTTGACCGGCTTGGTGGCGATTTTGGAGTATAGATTTGACATGGCCATCGCCTTGGAGCCGCCGGCGTTTCCGGCAACAACAGGCGTACAGTAAGTCCTTACCGTTGCCGTCTCCGTGATTTTAGCAAAACTGACGAAAATGAATGGACAACTTTCTGTGGAAGCTCCGCCTCTGTCGCCGACTAGGCTCGTCTCGCCATTTTCAGCGTCTGTCTATGTAGCCCGCTGCTGTTGCTGCTGCTGCGGCTGCTGCTGGGTAGCCAGCCGCCGCAGAGTGCGCGCGCTGCACGGACCACCCACCGCCCCTCGCTCTCTCTCTCTCACTCTCTCCCTCTCTCTCTCTCTCTCTCTCTTACTTTGTCTAGTTCGCTCTTTCTCGTTCTTACACACGACTGTTAGCCGCTTGTCTCGCTTTGATTTTAGACATTGCTGCGTCCTTTTTGCTCGTATCTTTGGCTGTCTATTTCTAGAATCATTTATTTTTGCGAGTTAAGGCAAAGAAAGCTCAGTTGCAGAGCGTTCACCCCTTTTTCAATTTTCGCATTGAATTGATTTATCCGTATGACCGCCTTCGTCCCGAATGTTTCTTGTGAGAAAACATTGATTGGCTTTACTAGTATAAGATTGTTAGGCATGCATTCCTTTTAGATGCTTAAAAGCTCCTCTCAGTAGTTTTCTACTTTACCTAGTTACTGTTATTAGTACCAATTAACAGATTTGTATTCTTGATTGAAATATCGATTAGTGCTAAATCAATGATATAAGTATCTCCACCACTGTTTAGGTTTTACGTTCGAATTTCTTTGCTGATCTACTTTGAGCGTAATTGTGATGTTCTACCGCGTTGATGCATTGTTGTTGCTTAAATTCTTTTAATCTTTGAACACAGTTTCATAAATGTTAAAAAATATCTAAGCAATGATGAAACCATGTTTAAGTGTTAATTTTTGGTTAAATTTGAGCTCTTAAATGTTAAAAGCTCATTAAGTTTGGTTTACTCTGGAGGGCCGCACGTCCCTCTTGGTTTCTCGCACTTTTCCCTCTCATTGATGATGTGAAAGAGCCTCTCATGTGTATTTATACGCCGTCGGTCGATAGGAGACGACGGCGCGGCTTTCGCACATCGTTCGTCTAGTGTGGTATTCAGCGACAGGCATTTTGCCGAATACGTTCTATAGCGATTATTGATTAATAATCGTGAATTAATATTCAGGGAGAAAAGCACAAACGCGAGTATTTGGCTTAGATTGATAGAGAAATTAATCGAAATGTCATACCCATGTCGAATGTGAAATGGTATAGGCAAAAGCAATGGACAATTGATTGAAATACAGCCTAAGCTGATGCAAACGGAGCTTATTCATATATATACCAAGTGCCTAAGCTACGGCCATGTTCTCAGCTTAAAGTACTTTTTTAGATCTTAATCCAATTTGTGCTTTCAATGGTTTTTCCGTAACTTATTGGGTTCAACATGACACCTTCAGAGCAAATCGGCATTGATATTATTTTAACAATTTTTAATTCGACAGTTCTGACGGACGGATAAGATGTTTGTGTTAATATATTAATCGCAAAAAAAAGTATAAGTACATTTAGAAATGCAAATGACTTTGAAAAAAAAGTGTTTATGCCATTCACATGTATGAAAATCACACTGTCTAATGCATCTAGACGAACAGAAGTTTTTCCTACTTCAGTCCATTTCCAGACGCAAATCAGTTAGTAGGCGTTACAATGAATTGTAAGAAGGCTTATTATGAAAATGTCGCATTTTGCTTTCAGATCCATGTTTATATGTAATGCGTTTTGCAAGCCAACTTGAGTTTGGAGCCCAAACCAATGCCGTATCAACCACGGCTTCCCGCATCGTTCAAAGAATGAAAAAAGACAGCATACACAGCGGTCGCAGACCATCTGGCTTGTGTGGCGCAGGTATTTATTTTGCTAATATTCCTACAGCAAACGAAATATTCATATTATTCGTCACGTCGCTTGGAAAGCTTGATTTTGATAACGTTTTCGTATAGAAGCTTGCGCTAAATTAAGCTTCGCGCTCTGTGAAAAATACAGTTTAATGCCTATACGAGGGAAAGCAATTTCTTTTTCGTTCCAAGATGAATTCACGTTCACACCAAGTGGATATCACTTGTTCGCAATTTTAATATGTTAATATGTATTATTTAGCAATTCTAATGGCTGCTAGGCTGCACGAATTTAACAGATCCCCAAGCGACATCATCAAAATAGTCAAAGTCCATGAGTCGACGTTACGAAAAAGGTAGATTTTTATTTTCGAATGAAAATGTCACTAGCTTTTTAATTTTTTTTATCTTAATTTTACACATCATTTCATCAATAGGTTGATCGAGTTCGGTGACACGCCGTCGAGTCAACTAACTCTAGACGAATTCATGGCGGTCGATCTTGAGGAGGAGCAGGATCCACCAGCATTCAAAGCTGCGAGAAAAAAAGACAGAGAAAGGTTACAAAAGGTCAGTTGAAAATCTGTCGAATCAGTTGAACTTTTTAATAATGTTTTGTATGTTTAGTTGGAAAGTATGACGAACGAATTCAGTGAATTGCAGTCGGAAATCGATCGACAACTTGAAGAGCAGAAATCAATTAAAGGAAGAATACGTCATTGTAATTAGCTCTTATTTTCGAAATAAATGCAAGCTTTTTTACGACGTTAACAAATGTTTACCATTTTATAGCTAGTGCTCTTGAAGAATCAGAAGCTGAAAAATTCATTAGAGAATCCAATTTAAGCGTCATAGAGGAGTGCGTTGGCAGAGATCCTGATGATCCTGATGAATTACAAGTTCCTTCTGTGAAAGGACACGATAGTCATCTTGTCACTGGTCTAGGTAATTAATGCTTACTAAATCTATTTCGGTCAAATTTATTATTATTTTTATTTATTGAGTTCATGATAAATTCTTCGACATTGTCTTTCTTGGTCACTTCAGGGCCAGACATCAGATCTATGGGCCTCAATGCGCATTTACATAACAGAAGTAATTCTAGTATTAATGACAATGAAACTTTGTCTTTTGAAAATGTAAGTTTTTATTTGTATACAATTACCCATTAGAACTAAATGTACTCGATAGTGAAGTGGAGTATGATATTCATATCGCGCGTTTTATCTTTTAAATAAATTTATATTTTTAATTTTTCTCACCGTAAGAAAAAAATAATTGAATTTTAGAAAAATCTACATTTTGCTAGTAGTCGGCCATATGCTCAAATAGTCATTCGGGAAAAATATTTGTTGAGAATGACAAATATCCTTTTTCTGTTAATTAATCATGCATCGTCTTTATTTTTATTTATTAAATATAAAAGACATACTTTTACCCTGGTACACCAGCTTTCGGTCAGGTATATCTTCTCCTATTCCTTATGCTAATCCCTTGGTATCGTTAGTTCCATTCGCCTATACGTTATTTAGAACATCAGTCCTAATAATCATGCGGTTTCCTCAGTCTCCTCTTCCACTCGGCCTTTGTAACTATTAGCATGTTCTTCTGTAGGACTTACGCGTCTTACATTTTTCTTTAATCTCTCACACCTACGTTGATTTCGTCACTAATATGTTGTAATATGGTCAAAGTGGTAGATGTATCTGAGAAATATATTTTATAATTTTCTAATACTACAGTTGACAGGCGAAATCGATATCACTGATTTGGATGACGAAGAACTCGACAGTTATATTATGTCGGAAAAAGAAGCGAATATCAAAAGCAATCTATGGAATAAAGTCAATGAAAAATATTTGCAGGAACAAAAAGGTATGCACCAAGATAATATCTTCAAAATCTGTAAAGCGGTCAGTAAATATTTTATTTTTTACAGAAAAAGAAGAAAAGCGTCAAAAAGATATAGAAGAGGGTAAGCCCGAAAAGAAAAGGAGACGAACTACTAAGAAAAACAAAAATCAATGTCCAGCTAGTACCGCAGGTAAGTGGTTAACATACTTAAAGATTCTATATTACAAAATCATTAAAATCTTGGTTAAAAATACGAAACATGTCAATTTTATAGGCGAAGCAATAGAAAAAATGTTACAAGAGAAAAGGATATCGTCTAAAATTAATTACGAAGTATTAAAGAGTCTAAACGTTGGTATTGGTACCAATAATCAAACACAGCAAAAGAAAGCAGATGATGCATCGTTTGCTACACCAAAGCCTATAGAACCAATTAAAGAAACTGTTTCTACTCTTCCAGTGATCAATACATCGTAAGTGATTTTTTTTTATCTAATATAAAATTTACCTCCTCATTTTTTAAAGCTAAATCAACTTTTCAGACCTAGAAAAGTACCACCAAAGTTATTTGAATCAAATAGAAGAATTCCAAATTTGAATAATAAAAGAAAAGCATCTTCTTTGGATGATGAAGCTGAAGAAAATGTGGAACAGCTTGTTCATGTTCCTACGGCAATTCCAATTGACGACCACAACGATGATATGGGTTCGTTTTTTTATATTTAAAGTTATTTTATTAAATGTTATCTGAAAATTTTAAAGAAATATTTCTAATTTTGTAGACGATGCTGACGATTATTTAGACGATGAAGTAGAAGCAGAACCAGATCCATCTGAAATGTCTATGGGTCAATTACTTGGGCGTCAAGATGACGATGGTGATTATGGATATGGATACGACGATGAAGAGGATTATTAGAAAATGTATTATTTAACCGTAATCACTTACTGTTAACAAATTCTAACCCGAACATTTCAGTGAAATATGTTACACTGAAGAACAAAGACTGAAAATCCGCAATCAGAATTGCAACTATTTTAATTTATAATATTGCTTATAATATATTTCATTAATTAATTTATGCATGAAAGTTATGCTTTCTTTTAAATGTGAAGATTGAATGTAAAATATTTATATTCAGAAAAAGTAATGAGAACATATAATTTTTCCAACTAATGCAAGTATTTTTAAAATCATTTTATGTTGTTTCAATATTTATAATAATGTGTCTTATGATGATTGTTCTACACGTATTGAGTAGGAATGAATTAGTTATTAAGTTGATTTTTTAATGTAATAAACTTATTTTTTAAACGATATTTATTTTAATTCTTTGTTAAATACTTTTTTTATTTTTGTATACGGAACGCGATGTAGCGAAATTAGTATTTATTATTATAATACTTTATACAGAGTGAGATAATTGCTCAATGATCTTTTGCTGTTTTTTATTATTAAATTAAATTAAATCAAAATTTAATCTATAATTAGCAACATTATATGAAAAGACGACATTTCGACGTACCTTCCCAAAATCCTTAATTTTAATTAGAATTTTAGTAGTATTTTTAAATTCATTTTAGTGAACAATTTAATAAAAATTTATTGTAATAATTCATGCCGCAGATTGTTGCTACTGTTCTTGATTATTAATTTTATGGAGTTTTAGTGAAAATAAAAAAACACTTCATTCTAGTTTGCCCAATTTATTCATTCAAATAACAAGTTTTAGTAGCTGAATTTGAACCATTTATTATATTTTTTACATAAATAGAATAAAATTCTCAATGAAAAACATAAATGATTACAATCGCATTAAAAAATTAATTAATAAATATAGCATAAAAGAGGTGTGGTCCCAGAACTCATTCGCCAACTTTTAACGGGACAGGAAATATCTGCTTTGTTTGTCCAGTATGGAAAATTCCATAAATTTTGGACAACTTGCGAGATTTTCCAAATCGCTTCATGTAAATGGCTTAAGTTTGAAAATCGGAAAAGCTAGGATAACCATCGACCAGATTGGTCGTTGGATTCTTGGACAAGTTCGTGTACGAACTGAAGATTTTCCAATAATCATTCCAAACACGTGAAGCAGAAACTACTCTAAACAAGCTAGCAGAAATAATTTTTGAATTGCGATGTAAACCGTGAAATATTTATTTGAAATCAAGCGTTAAACTGTGATTATTAACAAAAGCGATTTCATTTATTTCCTTAATCATTTTTTTTGCTGGGCAAAACGAATAGAACAAAGTTGTGTGTGTCGCCATCTTGGAAAATTTTTTTTTTTTTTTAATACCCTCATATATTTCGAACTGAATGTGAAGAAGCCCACATAGTCGGACTGGCTGCAGTTGACCGCGCTTCTTATAGAAATTCGCGGGCAACAATGAAGGTTATCAAAAACCGTTGAAAATATAAACATCGTAAAATCGATATTAACGACAATTATATGGGGTTTGGACTTTGGAGAACTGTTCACGAATTAGGTGATATATAAGTATAAAATATTGTGCGCCTTTAAATGCCGCAATAAGATAACCCTTTTTGTGATTACCGGTCTGCTAAATAAATTTGCGCGAGTGCCAGTGGGAAAATAAAACGAATAGACTCACGTGAACGTGAAAAATATTTCTGTGAAAATTTTTTTCTCTGTAGAAAAAAAACGTTTTTTAAGTGTTTCACGACAAGAATCAAGCAGTAAGGAGAAAATACTATCGTCATTAATAAATATCCATTGGAAAAATGTCAGAAACTGAAGAGCTGGAGGTAATGGCTTTTAATTTTTTTCGCAATAATTTGTTAAAATTACTTAAAAAGGCTCGTTTTGTACTTATTGTTTGTAGCAACTGTCATTCTAACCAATTGTTCGTATATACCTATTATCGTTTCCGGGCACTTAACGGTGAACATTACATACGAACAAGTCTTAAGTTTATTCTTATTCTCCGTATCTTTCTTCGAAATGTAAAGTTGACAAATTAGAAAAGGGTGGGGGTGTGAGAGATCTCTTTTTCTAGTACGCTTCCGTTGATTTCCCGGCGCGGTGCAGTCGCAAACTCGCAAGTCGTCCATGTGACGCATACAGTTACAAATATCTAGAAAGGAATTTTCGCGTTTAGCAAGGCGTCGGACAAACAAAGAAAATTTAGTCGTTGCCCATTTGACTTTTTTTTTCGTTTTTAGTTCAATTTTTTGTTTGTGTTCCTACTACATTGTGCCTTCAAGTTAGAAAGAAACTAAAAGCAATATGGGCACGTGCATGGTGTTAAATTAGTCTGTTCGTTCATGCGCTAACCTAAAAAATCTAATATTTTATTGGATCATATTCTGTAAACTTTTACAGTTCGTGTTGTAGTTCCTACTTAAGAACTTAAGATTTGTTATAAATAAGAAATGTTTGCATTTATCATGTATTTAAAGCGAATTGCTAGAATATTGTTTCTTCTATTACTTTTAGGGTAGGTTTCGTCATAGTACTTGTTATAAATTGAGTAAAAAAATATTTTGTATATGTTAAATTAAATGATATAATTTAAACATGAACAGTACACACTCCATTATTGATTGTTTACATAGAAAAGAAAATCGTTATTATTATTTTATTATTTAAAATAAGTTTAGAGATAATTGAAGATTGTTATTGTTGTTTTGTAGAATATGGTGTTGAGTTTTCGAGTATCTGAACTGCAGATGCTCTTAGGATTCGCTGGTCGAAACAAATCTGGTAGGAAAAACGAACTCCAAACTCGTGCCTTGGAATTATTACGTCTTCGTTCACATCCTGTTGAATTAAAAATTCGGGAGCTATATAAAACAATACAGTAATTATAATTTATTATATATCTATTTTATTTCATTTTCAAGTGATCAAAATGCCACTATATCAAATTATGATCATAGGGCAGATCAACTTGCTGCTCATCAAATGTATGGCCAGACTGGCAGTGCAGCTGAGCCACAAATTGAACAAAACATGCATTCCAGAAACTATTACACAAGGTTAGTTCTCAGAGAGTTTAGGAGAAATAAAAATTTTTACCTAAAATCTCATTGTGTAGAATTAATGTGTATTATGATTCCAATTAATACGCATGTTGTGTATGAGCATATATTTATAGACATATTTTTATAATATAAATTATTAAGAGAAAATATTATTTATACTAATATTTTATGTATAGCTGAATACAATAAATTAGTTTAGTTTGAATTACAAATATAGTTGCTTTAACAAATAATATCTTATACTTAATAAACTATGGATTATGTAAAATATTTGGAAACCTAAAACTGGTATTATTCAACAGGCAAGGTCATGCTCAAGCCATGAGCCAACAACAATCGCAGCAATCAGTCTCAGCAGGTAAAGATTTACCACCTGCACATCAAGCATCCATTCCTCAATCACAAGTTGCACAAAGATCAGCATCGGTGTATCCAGCTCCAGGTTACACAAGTGTCACTCCTCAAGTAATTAGTTGAAAATAAAATAAGTTTTCTAAGTATTTAAATAAAAAATTAATGTTATTAAAATATATCTATTTCATCTACAGTCTCGATCAGCTGCTTGTCCATTTCCTACATATCCTGCTTACACACAACAAAAGATCATACCTCTAGCAACACCATTAACCCTTCAACCCAATCAGTACCCAGTTCATCCTGATGTTAAGTTCAAAAAGTTACCATTCTTTGATATGCTTGGAGAGTTGCTGAAGCCATCAAGTCTGATGCCACAAGGGACCATGAGAATTCAAGAAAATACTTTTATTTTCCATTTGACTCCACAACAAGCAACGGATATTTCTAGTTCTCGCGATTGTCGACAAGGTAGCAAAATGGATTATACTGTGCAGGTATAATTTTAATTGCCAGTATTAAACTTTACATTTGTCATTCTTTTGAAATCTTTGAAAAATATCATTTCAGGTTCAAATGCGATTTTGTTTACAAGAAACTTCGTGTGAACAAGAAGATTATTTTCCACCTAATATTAACCTCAAGGTTAATGGAAAAATGTGTCCACTGCCTGTAAGATATTAACAATATCACATTAATTCTGTTGAATCGATTATATCTCTTGAATTTTTGTTTTGATTGCTTTTAGAATCCGATTCCTACCAACAAACCTGGTGTTGAACCAAAGAGGCCACCAAGGCCAGTTAACATTAGCCCTTTAGTCAAATTGTCTCCTACAGTTGGTAACCAAGTCACAGTTTCATGGTCTGCAGATTATGGTAGAAGATATGCAGTCGCCGTTTATCTTGTCAGAAAATTATCTAGTTCAGAACTGCTTTCGAGAATGAAAAATAGAGGAGTCAAACATTCTGATTACACTAGGGGATTAAGTGAGTATATCTCTATATAATGAGAAAAATATTTGAAAATTGTCTTTGTATAAATAAACTTATTTAATTCCAGTCAAAGAAAAACTAAATGAAGATGCTGATAGTGAAATTGCAACTACGTCGTTGAGAGTGTCGTTGGCATGTCCACTAGGAAAAATGCGTATGAGCACACCATGTAGAGCTTCTACATGTTCTCATTTACAATGTTTTGACGCATCATTGTTTTTGCAAATGAATGAAAGAAAGCCAACATGGAACTGTCCAGTTTGTGACAAAGCAGCATTATATGATAATTTAACTATCGACGGTTACTTCCAAGAGGTTTTAAACTCCAATAAGTTATTACCAGATGTCAATGAAATACAATTATTACAAGATGGCTCGTGGGAAAATTTAGTTCTAAAGAAAGAGAAAGATAAGGACAAAAGCGACAAATTAGAAGTTAGTCCTTCACGGTCAAAACAAGATGCGGATGTTACTGTTGATCTTGGTATGAAACGATTTTCAAAGTTTTTTTTGCATAGAAAAAGTATGCTTTCAGTATATAAATATTTGATTATAATATTTTCTTTGACTATTTTAGATGAAAGTAATTCATTTCACACTTCTTCCACGCCATCTGCGCCGAAAGAGAAAAAGCGTGCCCTCGTTATTGACTTGATATCAGACAGCAGTGATGAAGATATTGAATCGCCTATTCATAGTTCTAGTAAAAAGCCAGCTCTTTCTACTTCATTAAAGCCACAAGCTAGTGCTATAAGCAGTACGAGCGATTCTCCAGAACTAATGATTATTGATTTAGATTAACTCTTGGATTAGTTTTTTTAAGTCGAATTTAATTTATATATAGTCGAATCATCTATTGTGCGCAGTGGAATATAATAAAAAAGTGCATAATACGATGCATATGTGTGTACAGTTGATGTAATGTACGTTTACGGCACAGAGCCGTTGTAGTAGTCCATTGCCAATGACACTAGTTTAAATATTTTACCCGTTCCTAAAGTGTTTTTTTTTTCTTCGATGCAGTCAATGATGAGAGATTAACAATCGTCGACTTATTTTCATACTGCTTAAAAATAAAATGACGAAATGTAAACCTTTTTATATTTATAAGTACAAAAAATCTATTATTTTAAATCGAAAAAATGACATTGGACAAAAACGAATGAATACACACGTTGGAGTAAATTCAAATAATTTATTGTTTATCAATATTTTGTTCAATAAGAAGATTGCATACACGAAATGGAACAATAAATTCGTTTTTGTGCGTCAAAATTCACGATGTTGAGTCGATTATTTTTTTAATCGTCGTTGAAAAAAGGCTGGGGTGGAAGCATGTAGTTACCCCTTCGAAAAGGGATACTTGACAATTGCCGATCTAGAGGCTCGCGGGTGTCGTAGAGACTTGGAGCTTGGCAAATAATTCCTGCAGTTCCTACAATACACGCCAGCGTGAAAACCCACAGAAAGAACCGATCCAATACCATCGCTACAAATTTCCAATCTTCGATGATCTGAAATTATAAAATAGAATTTTATTTTCATACATTATTCGGTTTTAAGACAAAATATAATTGAATCTTGTGATTCCTTCGGGTAAACAAAGCTTTTATATTTTTTTCTCTGTAAATAAAAAGTCTCTTTCAAGTAAATTATTGTTTTCTCTTTTTGAAAATGTATCCGCAAAAATTGCAGCTCTTGTAAAACTGACTGGACTTTATGGTTGATAAATCAAGATAAATATCTGAATAATTGAAAAAAAAGGAGTGAAAAAATTTGCCGTTGGAAGTAGATTGACGTGTTTACTTTGTAAGATATAAGCAGTAGTTGATGTATACATTTAATTGAGTACCTCGTTATCTTTGTCCGCATCTTTGATATGTTGAGCAATGAATCGGACTCCTTCTAGAGCTGTGATAATTTCGGGCGACAGATTTCTTGGCCACATATTCTCGCTGTCGGTCACTGCGCTCGAACATTTCATGCAATTGCAAACAAAATCGATAAATCGCGTCAGATAAGCGATGATCGAGCGTGCTTTTCTCGTCGACCATATTCAAGTTTCAACGAGTGGCACGCGGCAGTTGCAGTCAAATAGAACATAGTGAAGCTCACCGGAGGCGTACGGAGTGTGGCGGGAGTCCTCGTCGCGCATGTTTTTGTAGGCATTCGTGACGCTCTCGAAGCCATTTGGGCTCTCCTTCGACTCGGACGGGTAGTCGCTTATGCTGTCGCGGAAACTGCGGCAAGTCGAATGTGGGAGAAAACAATTCAGCCGGAGACAAGGTAGTAACGAGTAGCGCGTGCAGTGCGGCGAGAGAGTCGACTTGTCAATCGAGCGAATCGCCAGCGCCCAGTGTCGGCCCGAAGCGCACGCTCTTTTCTTACCTAAAGTCCATTTCGTTGGTGTAGCCACTGTCCAAGTAAGTGTCGTCGTATTCGGGCGTGGCGTACGGGGTTCGACGCATCATCAGCATCTTCGGCATCCAGTGCAAAAAGATGGATTTGACCCAGGGCGACATGTTGTGCGTTGACGGGGATCTGGAACACGAGCAAAGCGTTAACGGAGAGCGTGGAAGAAGCGCGAGCGAGAGATCGCGCCGCTCCTCACCGGAAGTAGACGTTGAGCACGCAGACGGTGATCCATATGGAAAGCGTGACGAGGAGCATGGTAAACAAAAGGTATTTGCCGAGGAGCGGCACGGCAAGCGAAGTCGGCGGGATGATCTCTGCCAATAGCAAGAAAAACACAGTCAGCGACAGAAGAATCGAGGAACACAGTGAGACCTGGCAACACACAGAGAGAACACGAGGAACGTTCGATTGTCCTAGCATGGATAGCACGGATCCGATGGTTCTGGGGTGGATTACCTTTTCGCCCGAGTCGCTCGGCAGGTAGAACACCAAAACCGTTAGGAAAGTAATACCAACGCAAGGTATTATCAGATTGACCGTATAAAACAGCGTCTTCCTCCTCATTTTAATATTAAACGTAATATCTGCAAGCGAAAGAAACGCAATGAGAGAGTCGATGAGGTCGGCTGGATCGATCCTCATTACCGGAATAAGGTTCCTTGCAGCAAGGATAATATTCTTCGTTCCTGGACGCAGGCACCTCCAGTATGTCCCACTCGACGGACAAGTAGAACTCGCTCAAATCAATTCCCCTGGCGACTAAATTGCTCCCCTGCTGTTGGTCCATGTGTTTCAAATCCACCTGCGAGCATCGAGGACAGCCTTGACGTTCGTCTCGCGTCGAGCTTCACCGGGGACAACTGACCTGTGCGCCGTTGTAGGTCCACGAGCCGAACTTCATGTTGCAAGACTGCTCGTCGAACGGGAAATATTCGACGTTGATCTCGCACGAGGACTTGTAGATTGCCGGCGGCGTCCAGAATACCTCGCCCGTGTACTTGAGCGTGGCCTTGGTCATCAGCGTCACCTCGTAGTTGCCGTCCCAGCTGCATCGCCGGAAACAGAAACAGCTTCGCTCATCGGGCCTCGGACGCCGCGTCGGGCAACACTCACTTGTTGTACATGACGATGTCGGGCAACCATATGTTTTCCGAGGGCACGTACAGCATCTCGACACCGCCGTACTCCTCCGGCTCCCAGCGCAGCTTGTAATCGAACCATTTCTGCGCGGCGCGCCATCGTTATTACTTGAATTTCGGCCGGGTTCTCGGCCGGGTTCTCGGCCGGGTTCTCGGCCGGCTCGAGTCCGCGGCGCGAGTCCACGGCGAATAAGCGCGCAAGTCGCCGGACGCGCGTCTCGGACGGGCAGAACCTGTTCGCGCGCGCCCTGCATCATTCAAAAACGAGGCCGAAAAAATACGCGCGCACCTGCGAACATGCAATTTTAACGACGGGAGCAGAGCGCGTCTTCGCTCGCGGCAATAACTTTCGCGCGTTTTGCGTCGAGCGTGACGTAAATATTGATTGTCCGCTGAACGATCGACGCGTCAGCGCGGCGGCTTACCTGCTCCACCCAAACGTTCGTTGTCATAACTTGGTTCTTCAGATTCTGGAAAAATGGAAAAATAACACGGCCAAGTGAGCGGTGCCTTTCCGGTTGACGCGTCGCTATCGATGTATGTACATATCTATTATATTTGTGCGCATATATATACATCGATAGCAATGAGAGAGCGAGCTTGGCCAATTACCATTTCAATTAGCTGAGATAATTTGAGATTCAGCCATACCGTGAGCGTTTCGGTATTGTTAACCACCGGCCGGATGAGCCTATTGTAATTGGACAATAAATCATCGTACAGCCGCTTCGCATCGGGATTCGCCTCGAAGCTTTTTATCTCCGGGTGAAAACCTGCCGATGGAACCAGCAGAGGGATGTCAATGTTACGCGTGCTTTTCATTACTACGCATTACGAATAATCGCTTCGCGTAAATCTTCCCGATCTGACCATTAATAAAATATTTCCAAAATAAATGTCCAACTTGAAACGTCGCGCGGACAATGAGCGCGTTCAAGTTGGCGCGTTTGACCGAGCAATTGAATCAATGAATATTACCAAATTAGCGCGTCAATTATCCGATTAATGATTTATTCGCTCGACGTGATTCTCGACTCCTGCAATTACAACGCCAAGGCAAGCGAGATTAGAGCACGCGTAATGATCGCCTTCGGGCGAATTCCGCGTGGGAATCGAAAAATACGGAGAGCGCAAGTCTGCGCAGACCCACCCAGCGCGAAAAAGGGCAAACACAGCAAACCGCTTAACCCGCTTTGCGGATATGGGCGTAGCGCAAACGCCACTGGCGCGAACGCGCACACACTTGACTTTTGCAATATTCACCGCAAAATTTGCATTTCGCGCAGCGCGAGGCATGTCCCACACGGTAAAGTACTCGCGCGTCCGCTCGAAAAACTCGTGAACACGAGCGAGCACGGGGATAGGCGTCGATCGCGAGCATCGAAGACTGGGGAAGCTGCGCGTTCGAAGCGGTTTTCGCAATATCGCGAGACTCACCGTCGACAAACGAGCCGAGAAGCGAGAGGAGGAGGAGCGCGAGGTCGCAGCGCATCCTCCTTGAAACTGCCGTTGCACTAGCAGCCGATGGATATCAGTTGGCGTCCACTCTTCTCAGCATCCCTGTACACTGATTTCTCTCTCTCTCTCTCTCTATCTCTGTCGCGCTCTCTGTGTCTATTCGTCAGCACCTCTCGGAGTCTCGGCACACGATCGATGCGCGACGCCAGCGCTACTGCCGCAAGCTCCACCCTACTGGTTAGCGTTAGCCCCACGACAGGCTGCAAGCATTGGACGTGCGAGGGCGCTCTCGCGATTGTTTCTGCGCCAAAACTGGCCTTTCGTATTCGATCTCGCTCGCAAAGCTCCACGGTTTCGTTGACTTTAAGCGTTGTGACGCGTTCTAAGTCTATGGAAAAGTTGGATTTCCTTGGCAACAATGTCAGCTACGGAAGCTCGCGGATTCCAAAGCTGTCGAAGAAGAAAAGAGACTATCTTATCATACGTTGGATTGCGAGACAGCGTTCTGGACATTGGCGTGCTGCGGAGAAAAATTGATCGGTCCGCAGCTCGACGACGAATTCGTACGGATATCCAGGCTTCCCGGTGGAGGAAAGAAGGCTTATCGACATTAATTATCAACAATCGGCCGATTTATCGTGGCTTTTAGGCGTAATTTAAGTGTAGCCGAGCAGTGGGGTATCGAGAAGAGCCCGGCGCGCGCATTACCGTAGTCGCAGTTGGCTGTGCTTTATGCTAATACGAGGAGTCGTCGGTGGCTCGCGTGCCAGCAGTCGCATTAGCGGCGCTCGCGCCGCGGCGACAAGTAATCGAAGCGCGTCCCACTGTTGGCAGTCGGAATTGCCGAGCTCCTTCCTCGCTCGGCCTTTCCCCGCGCGTTTCAAAAGAAGTCGAGGGCTGCGCCAGTCGAGTGTGCCTTTGCCCTCTCTCTCTCTCTCTCTCTCTCTCTCTCTCTCTCTCTCTCTCTCTCTCTCTCTCTCTCTCTCTCTCTCTCTCTCTCTCGTATTCCCTTTGTCCGAGCGAGAGAGCGAAGCGCCAAGCCCGATGGCACTAGACGCCAAGGGAAAGTGCGGATGGAGAGCGTCGACGCGAGCTCCAATTTGCAACGGAAGCGCGTACGCGTGGCGCGCGTGGCTCCCCGATGCCGTGCCTCGACAGCGCCTCGGCTCCGCCTGGGCCGCTCGGCCGGCCGTCGGCGAGGCGCGCGCGCAACGAGCCGAAACGGCGCCTGCTCGCGCGACGGGAGAAGGGCAGGAGAGTTAGGAGCAGTCGCAAACAAGCGCGACCCCCGTCGTTCGCTCTTCCGCTTGTTTCGCGCGGGAGGCACGGAAGAGCTTTTCATCTCCAAAGGCCGACAACGAGGACGGACCGATGCGCCGGCGTTGCGCGTACGCTTCCTCGGCCGTACGCAGCCGCTGCCGACGAATTGCTCCGGCGGTCGTAAGTAAACGAAGCCGACCGGTCTCCGCACCTGGGCAGGCCATTAATGGCGGGGCTCGCTCGACTGATCGATGTCCCTCGGCGCTGCGTTATTTACGCGCGCGCCCGGCCCCCTCTCGATCGCTTTGATTTTTCAGGCACTCCGCGCGGCGACGCGCCGTGGCCTGCGGACTTCTCGTCCGCATCGATCTCATTTCCGTGCTCCATCAAAGGGAAATTGCTACTTCATCAGCCGGTGCCCGCAGTACAAAGATTAATGTCGGAGAGCTGCGCCTCCCGCCTTCGCTCGCCAATCCCACGTCAGCTGCAAACTCCCGGCCTCGTTGGCCATTGTCAACTCGCGCGCCGATCGAGTTTTCCCGAGAATAATTAGCGCTACGCGGCTGGGCCGAGGGGCACCGGCGCGGAAGGCATTTCGAAATGGCCATCGCGAGCGGCTCCTCGCCCTCTCTCGGCCGCCGCCTTTGACGTTGGTCGCGCGCATCGAGGCTCTCCGGGCTCTGATCTTCGGAGGAGATTAGTCATTTAAAGCTGGCTCTCTCGCTCGACGCTCTTCTGCTCGCGCGCCGCGCTTGCCGGGTTAATTACTTGGGCGCGCGAGCTCGGCGCTGGCGCAGCGCGCGGGCTTTGCCCCCCTATTACCTCGACTAGCCGCGACTACATAATACAGAGCTGCGGCCGATCTTTGATAATCTGCTCGATGAATCCGCTATAAACAAGATGTCGCTTGGTTGCGCCGCCGTAGCTGCTCGCAAGCCCCGTTAATATACAACAAACGAGCCAGGGCGCAAATGGTGCATTCGAGGGGAGCGCAGGTCCATTAGCGGCTGCGCGCGAATCGTCCTCGTGCGCGTTCGCGTCTGCGTCGTCGTGCATCATCCATAATTTATCGCGAGCCATTTACGACATTGTCTTGCAATGCTTTATGACGTCATGAATAAACCTCTATACCGTAGACTCGGCGAGCGCAGCGGCGAAGGGCGCTCCGTATATAGTTACTTCGTGTAACATTGATTCGCGCTAAAACCCCATAAAACCGGCAGCGCGTTTACAGCTTTCCACTGGCAGGCGACCTCTCTCTCTCTCTCTCTCTCCTCGGCCTCGTTGGTGCGCTGCCCACTCGCCTTCTTTCAACGGGAAAGGGCCGCGACAAGGTACGGCGCGAGCACTCGATAATCCCGCGGCCCCGAATCATTGCCGACGCGGGTAACGCGCGCAGAGCGGAAAACTTTCCGCGTTGCGCGCAAGCTCGCGCGAGCGCACGCACGTGAATTGTTATTGTTGTTGGGAGGTGGTGCCACTCGAGTTATAGTGGCAGTAGTGCAGCGCGCAACATCGTAAAAGCCGATCGAATTGCCGATCGTTCTCGAGCAATAAAGAGACCCTATAAACCTATACTCTACTCATACGCACTCCCTCTCTCTCTCTCTCTCTCAAGTTATATTCTCGGCACAAGACGCCTTCAATTCAATACGCGCGCGACGCAGCTACTTCCCGCGCACACGTACTCTTCTGCCGAGGCATATGGGCACGCAGCACCTTTATGAATACCATTTCGCGCGCACGTACAAATTAACCGAAAGTTGGCTCATCGATTCCCGGACGAAGACAAAGCACGGCCAGTAAATGTCGAGATTTCCGTGGCGTGCGCGCCTGGTGTTTCTCGCGAGATGATGCTTTGCGAGCCGAAATGTTGCTTTCGGACCGAACGGCTGTAAGCTTTAGCTGCTGCCCGGCGAAAGTCGTTAAAAAGTTTACGATTAGAGCGCTACTTGCGTTTAGTTGATGACCGACGCTTAGCTGACGCGAAATAGTCCGTTGGTGGTAGTGTCACCGCCACGCGCGAGCGCGCTCTCACTCGCGCTCACAGGCAGACACAGCCGTTACGTAGGTGTCGCGAGTAATGGCCTCATTGCCAAAGAAGCGTTATAGTATATTATTTTACGTACGCTGTTCTTTTCACACAAGCTGCGCAACGTTCGGTCTCTCCGAAACAAGCTTTACAACAATAATAACGACGTGCGTTAATACTGTAAAGCAAATCAACGATATAAAACTGTGGTGCAACTTTACAATTTTTTTTCTACAATTAGCTCTGTGCTTTGAAAAATAATAATTTTAGCGAATGAACCGTCTACCACAAACGTCAACGGAGGCACCGGTCTAAAACCATTATTTTGCTCGTAAATTAAACAAAACATGACAATAATTTCGAAAACGTACGTTTCCTTATAACTAACGAGCAAACTAATGTACTTCGAGCGAGGAACAAATTTAATCTAAATATCATTACTATTCGAATCGCAGAGCTGCAAATCCAAAAATAACGCTGGCCAAGCGCGCGCGACTGTAGGCTAGCTTTCGCAAGAAAACGTTCGAGCGCATACGTTGTTCGCCGAGCATGCGGCAAAGTCGTACTTTCCGTACGACGCGATGAACAATAAAATAAAGGCAAGAAGAGAGAAAGGTTAAGACGCATTCGCTGCTGCTGTTGCTGCTACCGCTGCTGGGCACCGTTACCAAACAATTTATTTAGCCAGGGATCCCGTGGTGCAATAATGCCCCGCGCCACTATCAACTTGGCTGCCGCGCCACTGCAAACGTTCATTACGACTTTACGTATGTGTGTCTGTACAGAGGCTCGCTAATACGACTGGCGCGACAAAGGGGCGGACAGTTTAAAGGCCGAGTCCTCTCCTTTCCTCTTTCCTCTTCCGACACACCGCCACTTTATTCGTCTTTGCATTATGATTTAGTCGCGCATCTTTTCATCGCGAGTCGCGGCGTCTTCTTTTTCCCTTTACGAGGCGACGAGCACGTGTTTATTGCAGATTTATGTTGGTAGTTCGGTCGTTAGGCGGCTGCCGATGACGACCTGTTTATGCGCCAGATTTGCGCAGATACCTACCCAGGGACACACTGTGCGTCTGTGTGTGCACGCGCGTGTGCGTGTACGTGTACGGATGGACGGATATATATCCTTGGCCCTGGCACGCTCGAGATAAGAGGATTCCCCAGGCTGCTTTACGTCCAATTAGTAGCCAACGAGATGTTTTTATAAAGCCATCCTGCCACGAAAAGCAGAAAAGCATCGAGATGTTGTTTTCGTTCGGCCTCGAGTACTGCGCGGCACTTAGAAGCCTCGGATATGACCTTGCTCGTTCGCGGCTTATCCGCCAACGTTTGCTCTTTCTTTCCGCATTTCCCAGCAAAGAGCTTTCAAATTTCATATACTTACCCGAGAGCTCGCTAATTGAGAGTGCTTTCAATCGCGTCGAAACGTTTCCGTGTCAAGAGTCGCGTATCTTTTCCAAGGGAGGGGGCAGGCGCGGGCGAGCCCTCGTCGAGACGGGGACCGACGGGTGGTCGTCGCGCGGTCGCGGGCGCAAAAAGGAGGAGACGCGAACGAGAGTTCGAAAACAAGAAAATTATCCGGCTGTCCGATTTCGGTCCGGCCAGCGGGCGACATAACGAAGGGTCCGGCAACTCGTAACTGCCGGCCGATCCGCGCTCACCCTCGCGTCGTCGCCGCCGCCGCCTCCGCTCTCGGCCGCGCACTCATCAAAATTCACACTCGGCGAAATTCCCGCGAATATCATTTGTCGCGCGGATAAGCGCGCGGACAGCGACATATACGACTCGTTAGTCGTTATACGCCAGAGATTTTGCGGGCAGCCGAGTGTGCGCGCTCGTTTCACAACTGAAACTATGCGCGGATGGCTCGGCACTTTTCCGCGGGCTGAGCGCGTAATACAC